CATCGCTAGCAAGTCCTATGAGGACACCCTTCCAACAATGCATGTGACGTTGAAACAATACTAATTCAATCAAACAACGTTTAATTAAACGTTGATTCAACCTTATCTATTTGGTGGGATTGGATTTCGCAGTCGATCAACAGCCCAACGATGTCCATTAATCAAACAGTTGCCAACTTCTAGCGCAATTAATATCGCCCTAATCGAATTGTCTACTTCCCTAAGCTGGGAAAGAAGGTCTTATCTTATCAGGGTCTCGAAGGGACGGTATCAGCTTTCTTTTCTCTCTTGCCTGATGATCTTACGACAAGCTTTATTTTGTCCTTTCATTTTCAGAGCTTTTGTTTGAAACTCAGGGTTAGCTGGTACCTCATCTGAAGTCATGACTCGTGATTTGGAAGAAATGAGCATCGGTGACGACACCCGGAGAGGATCTCGTCTTCAATAAGAAAGAAAATGTCCGCTAAATCCGAAGAAATTATACCCCTTATAACAAGAGGATTATCATTCGGCGATTGAAGCTCTGCTGCAGTAGGCTCAGGTTTGATGATTTGAATTTCTGCTTCACAACTTCTCTACGTTCGTTTGAAATAGAAGCGACAACTACTCGGTTCATGTTGCAACTGACTTCCTCTAGTTGGAAAGCAAGGCAGAGTGCCGTATGACCAATTTTGAAATAAAAAAAAAGAAATAATTTATTTACTTGAAAGTCCATAATTTATTCTATATTTTTCGTTATAATTCTCATTAATATTGAGGCATTTATCGTGTCTTTTGAGCAGCTTTTGTACGCCATCGCCAAAGAACCTTGTTCACGCCTCGTAAACTCGAGCGTAATTAACGACAAACTTTTTTCATGGCAATATAATCGATTAATCTGTGCAATCAAATCTAATCACTAGTCACTAAGATGATGGGAAAGCAACTATCTGCAACTCAATCGCAATTGTCATCACTCCTGATATTTTGCACGTAAAATTTAAAATAAATACCTTATTTGCCATTTAAAACTTGGTTCATTCATTCCAAATTAGGTTGTAACTATTATGCGTATATATGTAATCTGAATATCCCGCTCGTTCTTTTGTACTAATACCCTTGCAGAGTCCACTCACGACGAAATTCGATCCTATCGCATGTGTGAGTTTGTGGAAAATTTTCAAGATGCTCTTAAATTAAAACTGCATTGACTCAAACTCCCCGGATCAAAAGAACTACCATATTGATCAGCTTCGTGAAATTTTAAGATATCCTGAATCATTAAATCTAAAATTGACCAAAAATTCACATTGAAGAAAATTAACCTTTTTATAATGAAATGCAATAATTATGAATTGAATTATGGCATATGGGTGAACTTTCTTGACTTTTTCTTCGCCTTTGAAGAACTTGTGAAATATTTTCCTTTAGGCAATAATATTATAATAATATATAATAATAATATTTTCCTCATAACCATTTTGTTGTGCAGACCCGCGGGAGGCGAAGTGGAGTCTCATGGCTTCTTGTCGTGAGGCATTGCGTCTACTCCACCACCTCTGGCTGTCGTTGGACTCTCACTTTGGTACGGTCAAATTTAGCGGAATATTGGAAAATGTCGCAAAAATTTAGCGGTATTTTTACCACCAAAGATAAAAATTGTATTTCTCATATGCGAAAAGATAAGATGAGACGCTAATAACGCGGCTTCTTTCCAGCCAGCTTCAGCCACTGAAGACCTCCCACCTCTCAATTGTGGGTGATGAATGATTTGAGGTATTTTCAGGAAGGAAAATATTTGTGATGATGTATACATATTTTCAACTTCAAAATATTTTCAACTTTCAAAAACAGATTAATAGCTAAAGCGCAAGGGCTCTAGCCTGCCATGCTTCTGAGGAGTGGCAGCTATAGTGAGAGCTCTAGACAGTCGTCTTCTTTGTCCAAGAAAGCCCACGATTATAGTCATCTACAATTTTTTCGATAGTTAAATCTATGCCTACTAAAAAACATTACTGAACTATAATTCAAATTCGAAATAATCAAATGACTTCAGACTCAAATGAATATCATCCACTCAATGGAGATGATGCGACCACATTATACCAACAGTTGTAATCTACATAACTAGAGGCGATATGGACCTGAAAGAGTAGGTGAAAGCTGTAATTATATTCCTGCTTAATACATAGCTCATTTCAACAAATTTATGTCCAAAGATGTTGTAAACAAAATATATGTTATGATGTCATCATTTACGTGCATTGAGCCAAACTATATATTAAAGGGATCAAAAGCTCATGGAAAAGAAACCCCCCCTGGAAAGATATTATCGGTGAAATGAAACATTATATGGCTTTAGGTTCTGAAATGCCAGTCACTGTCGCTTCGTGGATGCCTGTTTAGATGGGATGAAATTGTAATCCTTTCTTTGAAGCCATCATGCGTCCAAGATCAATGATCTTAATGGCGCTACAAATTGGCCTATAATTTGATCACTATTACAAGAATTTTTAAATTGCTGCACCGAGCCAGTTCATCTCTATTATGGAATACGATGGCACGACCATCTCGACATAATACAGAGACAAAAAAAATACAATTTCTTAGTTTTCCTCCCTTTCCATCAATTCGTTTTTTTGTCGAAAACGATAGAATTTATTCTTGTCTCATGAACAAGACTCAGTATAGCTTAACCGGCGGTTTAATTTTCGTAAGTAGTCAATGCAAATATATGAGCGAGAACGATGGTTAATGATATCGATATATAGATAGACATATTATAATAATCGATGGTTCATTAAAGTTTGTGCGGTGTCAGGTTGAAACACACACACTCGCATTTCAATTAAGGTCTCGCGTATGTCAAAAGTTATACGAATGTAGGAAATTTTAGTGAGGGGGGGGGGCATGCTGCACAAAAGACAATATTTATTCAAAGAAGAATACCAACGAATTTTTAACGGAGCCTTAATAAAAGAATAGAGCAATATTTAAATATCTGTTCGTAAACCGTCAGTTGAACACTTCATTAACGATTAGCGAGTCGCTCATACACGAATGATCCGAAATGCTGTGATCGAAAAATTAGCGAAACTTTAATTGAATATCGGGGATGATTTTTATCTCAGAATCTCTGTTAGCATCGTCTTGAAGACACTAAAAGTACCATGAGTTCAACAGAGTGTGATGCAGTTAATTTACACTTACCTCGTCTTACCTGATTTATTGATATTTTGTGGCCAGTTGTGGGCAGAAGCTGAGATCCTGTCAATTTCGATTAATATAGCATTTATATCTGATATTATACGTTCAATAAGATTTCGGAACGTTTATAATCATTTACATCACAATCGAATTGGAAGTTGGAGCAGCCTTTGAGTTAAGATATCGCTTGGAGCTCTGTTCCTCGGTAAAGCTACGATCATTGGATGAAGTAATTAGATTACAATTCACTTTCGTTGTTCGATAGCTAATGTAATTCGCTAACAAAGGCCATGCCCCTTACGCTGCTGCATTCTCTACACAGCATCAACGTACAGCAGCGTCGTTCACATGTTAGCAGGCGGTGAAAAGTGCCATTATTTGTAAAACTATTATTCAAATGGATTTACCAAAATTTAAATATTTTATTGAATTTAAATATCCTAGTTTTGATTTTCCTGTGAACACCTCACTGGTGAGGGATGTCGCCCGAGAGTCTGACAACATATGATCACCTGCGGACTTTTCCTCGAGATCGGCATCAAGATAAAATTTCAGCACTGACAATATCTTCCTATCGTTTCTCCGAAATTTTCTTCTATGGAATCCATTACTACCAGAGAGTTTATACCTCATTTTTTAGTAATTATTTTTTTTTTATTTTAGGCAAAAAACCCCTCATTATATTTCAAACTTTCCGTTTTAACGAGGACTCTTAACTTATCACTGTGCTGTCGCTTTCAAATCGTAATTTAGTTAGTACGCAATCATGGAAATATTTCACATTTTCTATTTCCCAACCATTATGGAATATCGACAAAATGAATGGCATGGTTAATGGGAGAAAAGTTCAATTCGAAATCACTGACGCCAAATAAATGAAGTCTTCATGAATAATACGAATGACATTTCCTACCCCGGAAACAATAACTGAAACTAAACTGAACGTTAATCCATTTTCTACGTAATTCGTAATAAGTTCAAACAAAACTAAGAATTAAAAATTGCAAACCTATAACTACATCAAGATTAAAATTATTTAAAGAACAGCAACAACAATCCTACAGATAAATTCACCTAATTATGCTTTTCCATTCAGCGAATTCGAATTAAAAATTAGATTTAATTAGAATCAGGATACTTTTAATTCTAATCCTAAATGCAACGGACGTGCTATACTCTCTATTTAGATACGAAGGCTTGCGCTGGCGCTCTTATTTACATTGAAGACTTGAGTGGGTCAACGGTGTTGATGCTGAGCAGGACGCTGGTGTTGATGCTGAGCAGGACGCTGGTGTTGATGCTGAGCAGGACGCTGGAGTTGATGCTGAGCAGGACGCTGGTGTTGATGCTGAGCAGGACGCTGGAGTTGATGCTGAGCAGACAGCTGGAGCTAACTTGAGCAGAAATTGCTGGAGATGGAGTTATGCCGCGGTCTTAAATATTGCCCCTGGCATGAAGATGGTTTGTCGGAGTAATAATGATTTATCTTACGTTGCTAAAAAAACAATTAATTTTTGAATAATTTTGGTAGTCAAATAACGGACAGAATTATAGTGCATAAGTTTTTATCAGGCGCTGTGCCACCGCAATGTCACAGCCCACTGAATGTTCAACCGTCCTGTCATCAGAACGCGAGAAGCAAGTTCCGTTTCGTTGCCCATATGCAAAACTCGCGGCCATGTACTCCTAAGACTTTCGATTAAAGCTCAAAGCGCTGCCGGTAAATCATCTTCAATGTCCTGTTGGGAAGGAACTTCGAGCGCGGCTATAAATACGGCCCGCAGACGCGGGTAACCTCTCATTAGATGATCGGCTGGTGCACCGTGTGCATCTGGTGACGGCACGAGCTTTACGAGTGGGCAGTGGGATATTGTTATCGAGTCTACTTTACATCATCTCTACTATTTGTGAGTTTATTGGAGAATAAAGTTCTCTGCTGGGAATAATTTGTTTGTAAAGTGCAAAATGATTATAGATGTTGCCCTAAATTGAATTTGGTGTTTGACCGTTAAATCGGTTATCACATTTTATGAATCAGGTTATGAAAATAAAACAATTTTTTTTTCAATCCTTAGATTAAATACCAAAATCACATGAATGCTTTCAAAAAAATGCAAGAGCTGGTGACCAAAATTGTCTGATAGTAGTCATCTAGGCATGAACTCTCAGGTCTCTTTGAGCGGTAGTTGTTCATCGCAAGATGCATCAAGTACAGCGTGCTCTTCCGTTATTACGCCACTTCTTTGAAATAATTGCTTGAACACGCGAATTTGAATCATAATTTCATGAATTAAAATTCACACTTTTTATGAATAACAATTCATAATTTTATCTATTTTCATTCATAATTTTTTAGAACTCGCTGTGAAGACGTGAAGCATTTATCAACGATAAAAGAACGGGTAGGATTGTCAGCTAAAAATCTTTTAGTGTTATTGAAATGGTCGGATTCATTGGAATTAGATTGATTAGGAAGGGAAATTTTGTATAACCGAATTCCAGATATTTTCTCATAATGGTTCAATTTTTAAATACCTCTTTTGTGCGCCGAAAAAACTACTTTCAACCAATCTCTTCAGCTTAATAAAGCTAAAAATATTATTGAAAACATAAATTAATAATAATTTATATTTTTTTTGTTTATTTTTCATATTTGTTATTTATTTTCACAAATAAATATTAGTGAAAAAACATTCAAAATTCAGAAGCTTTAAAATTATGCATCTGGAAATATAAATAATTTAATCTATCAGTACATGCTTGATGTACGACATTTTTTATTTTGCCGGAGATTTAAAATGCGACATCAGTGGAAATTTATTGGCTATTTCAACTGAGTATTTATAGAGAGTTTTACTGAAGTTTTTAAAATTTATTTCACCGGAGATTTAAAATTCTTTTCTATCTAAAATATTTTATAGGCAATTTTATTTCAATAACAAGCTAGGGAACTCCTCGCCAAGTGCCCAGTTGTTTGATCAGGCAAATACATGAATATAATAACTATCGGAGACCATATAGTGTATCGTTAATGATAATCTTCTTAAATTCTGATACATGAAGCAGTACTGTCAACTAGAATTAGTTTCTTTGCCCATAATTGATCCGTGATGGCAGAATTTATTTATTCGTGAATGTCTTTTCAATTCAACTGAAATATTCCTTATAAAAACTTCAAAAACATTTTAAGTTATACTTGTATAGATGGATTATGGGTTCGTACGATCCTTAGATAAGATTAGTGCACGATTTTGACACATGCACTACAAATAAAGAGAATATTGTATAGAAATTGAAAATTTAAAACAATTGCAAAAGTCCTTGATCTATTTTGAATTAGTTTAAATTGTTTGCACTTCATCAAGTCAGAACAGATTTCATTCAAAAATTATTCTTCTTCTACTGCATAATTAATTTCTGAACTATGCAAAAAGAATTAATGAATTGTAAATTCAAGTTAAATTAATTATGGTTTCCTCATTGTAATACAAATTGTCATTGATGGTACAGGCGAAAATTTCAAGCGTATTTTGCCATTTATTAAGCGTTATTAAACGTTTTAAAAGCTAATAATCACAATTTCAGAAAAAATAACATTTTTTACCTCCTGCAATCAGCAAAAAAAAAAATTCACAAAAATAACTGAAACAGGGCAAGCGCAACGCGTAGGTTTAAAAAATCAATATTTCTTCAATTTGTTACTGATCTTTACACAAGAACTGGCCATGTTTTTGAACTCATCATAGCGAAAACAAATCACTAACTGAACGCCATGACATAGACAATAAACGTAGACCCGATCATGACGTAAATCATAAACGTAGACCCACCCGATTTTGATGTTAATTGTAGACCATAAACGTAGACCAGACTATGACGTAGACCAGAAACGTAGACCCACCCGATCATGATGTAAACCATAAACGTAGACCCGACGATGGCATAGACCATAAGCGTATAAGATTCGACCCATCCGATCATGAAGCAGACCATAAACGTAGACCCCATCATTACAAACACCGTGAACGTAGGCCTGATAAATTTGCAATCTGACAGCATCGTGGACAACTTTGCTATTGTTTTCTCTAAATTAAAATTAAATAGAACGAGTCGGCGACTCTGAAGCTGACTCTAACATTGCAATTGGTGCTATGCCATTGTAAAGATTTTTTGTTATCATGAATGGCGTTCAAGTTTATAGTTGGACATAATATTTGTACAATTCAAGTAATGTTCGGCAATAGACGCGATATGAAGGTTTGGTCGCGGATTATTTTCGTATGGGAATGATGACACTATCTTTTATATGCGTTGGATAACTCAAAAGTTTTCGCTTGGGGTAAATTTTTTCGGCTAGGACTTGCACCTCATGTGTCCATCATGGGGAAAAAATGTACAGATATCGTGCATGACTGACGTAAAATAAAATTGCTTCCTAAATTCAATTTAAATTTTAGAAAAACGAAAGGATTAAATCTGTACACAAGTTATTTATAGAGTTTTTCGATGTGACTGTTCTATACATGCCACGAAGTTCCGATCACAAAGTTTAGTCTCTTAAAAGTTTTGTGGCCCTGTCGCAAAAAATATGTGCATCAACGAAAACCGTAAATTTGTAAGCCAAAGTTTCCCTTTCAGAAATCATCAATTCTTGTCAAATTTTTATCAAGTCTGCAAGATTATAGTTTAGTGGCTCTTGGCTCACAATACAGAATCGATCCCGCCAAGAAAATTCGTCATTTTGTCTGCATATTTTTCGCCTGAGCAGCAGGGTATTCTATTTATAGTGGGAGTCAGTAATGAACTTCAGAGTATGGCTATCTCATAGATCCATCGATGATATAATCAGGCTTTCGTGGTGTATATTCTCTGCTGCCTTCGAGTACTTGTTGAATATTCTTTGTGTATTTACTTATTCAAAATACTGTTTACACAACGAATTAATTTACCGTTTTCTGATCGTCTCAGATTCTGCCGCTGGGGCTGCTTACCGACTTGACAGTCAAATTTCAAGAGAGAAACTCAATGGAGTTGCCATTTGTTCAGCTTTTGTCGCTTAAATCATTCCAAATATATTTTGGTTGCGATGTTTTGTGTTCGAATCTTTGCTGAAGGCCACGAGTCGGTGAATAAAGCTTCATTAAGAGGCCGGATACCTTCCTAGAACTAGATATAGTCTATGCAGTGGACATAGTCCACTCCACATGCGAACAAATTACAATAAATCCCTAAGTAAAAGGATAAAGGGGGATTTTGATAACACGCATCGGCATTGTTAACTAAAAAAGGTTCCAAAATAAAGAATCTCACTAATTTCTAGTAACTCTCAGTTCTTATCGTTGTTTTCAAAGGAAAAGCTATTTCACCTTTAACTTTCTCTTTATAATCCCGAGGAGAAAGAACTTGCCTGAAAGAGAAACTTGTACCCCACACTGCCCCTATTTTCCTGCGCCAAAAACTTTCCCACGACGAGGCTTTCTTTGCATCCTCGAGCGGCGTGCACCATTAGTGCACTAATCGAATTTGATCTGACTTCGCTGCCATCCTTCAGGCACTTTTTCGGCCTCCATTAATGGACTGTTCACTGCTTGGGAGGTTTCCTTGCATATAAGGCCCGCGATAGGCATGCCATCAGCATCCATCTCATTTGTATGCGTTTGATCGATGAGCTGTCATTCCGAAAATCGGCTGCGGCTATTGTTTAAAGACCAACTGGTCTGTAATGGACTATGAATACTTCATCATACCTTCTCATTTATACCTAATCAATAATGATGAGAATTTTATGTCGATCTTGAGGTCAATGATGAATGACACATTCATCTAAATTTTACTTTTCATAAGAACCATTGCTATCATTGAATGAATGATATGGTGTATGACTCTTTTCACGAAGAATGTATTTTATCTTAAATTTTAAATTTGGGTTGTTCTCATTGAAAACGGATAAGTAGACTGGAAATTGGATAGGGACTATTGGAATGACAATACGAACATGGTCATGAATTTCGAAATTAGGAATGCTAAAGTATTATGTACAACTTAAGTATGTCTAGGTTTCGATGGCTGCGTTGCAAGGAGTGACCATTTTTAAATTTTCAGTCTCAGCATGTGATAAGAGGATAAACTTAATTTCCACTCTATACCACTTTTCTTACAGAACTATTCAAAGATGGCCTCCAGCTCCAGCGCAATGTGGACCTCTTCATTCAGCGTTTTAATTGCGCTTGTTTTAACGCTGTCGACTGCGTCGGCATGGATCACCTCAGACTACGCCGACGACTCCAGCAACTCCGTGTACGACAACGAAGATGTCAGCGACATGGTGGAGACTGGGCGGTTGGCGTACGTAACCATCGGTAACAACGGTATTGTGGTCACCGTTAACAAGACGTCTATAGTTCTCGGGACGATTAAAACGATATTACTTTTAGGGTTAGCAGCAGCAGTGGCAGCCGGTATTGCCGCCGCCATTGCTATCCCTCTGGGCGTAGCTATTCCGCTCGGGAAGAAACACAAAAATGGAGATGAAGACTACGAATATTATTCCGGAGGAGGTGGATATGGCAGCAGTGGTGGTGGATACGGGGCGTCGGGTGGCGGCTCGTCCTACAGTAGCTACGCCAAAAGGTGATTAAAGTGAAAAAAGGCGATTAAAGTGGATAGCGAATTTGATAAATAATCAACTTCAAATATTATGAATTAGTTTGTAACTTTTGCTGCCGAAAAATTAAATCTAGTGATGTAATGCAATTTATGTGTTGGTTTTATGGAGAATCAGATTAAAAGATTGAAATAAATTACAAATTATATAAAACCAGAAAGCTCTGTTACTATGTGTGTAAAAGATCGTACGTTCAGATGATATAAGAAAAAAATATTCAAGTATAACTCTCATATGGCGACCACATTGGTTGAATCCGAACAAAAGATGGTATATTTTAACAACGCATTAATATACAAGAAAAGCTTCCCCTCTCAGGTCTCTTGAGGTGATGTCGCCGATCATGAACGCCCTGTACTCCGCTTACCAGAAGTACAGCGGCGACGATGAAGAGAAACCAGCGCTGTAACTGCGCGGACGCGCGTCTTCTTCAAGGGGAACTGAGCGAGGTAAGGCAGCCAGAAATGTTCTCGCGGTTTGGTGCAGGCCAATAAAAGTACGCGACTGATCGAATTCGTTCACGACGATTATCTAACTTGCCGAGAGCCAAAAATTTGCGTGGTTATCTTATCAGCAATTAGTATTATTAATAAATCATTTCAGAGTTTACCGACGTCACTTTCTCAGTCGTTTGCTATAAAATGAATACAAATGCAATTATGAAACTGCAGCATAGATTAATAATTTAATTTATTATCAAAGCCTAGTCTGAGATTATTTCTTAACTTACCGACTGTTTTACTGGTTACAAAAAAGTTATGATGAATTAAAATTTGTATCCATCTCGAACATTTATAAATGAAATGTTCATTAAAGCGCCTCATGAGGAATCATAATCAAAATGATAGAAAGGATTATACACATCAAACCTCTTTACAATTTATTCCGGTGCTTTTCCCGTCATCAAGATAAATTAAGAGAAGGAAACTTAATCGACCATCAAGTGTTTATTTACAACAAAGGCGTACGTGCCTTCCGATCGAAAAGATTTACCTATGCACGTCGAGCGTGAAGTTGCACAAACCGTGCATCGGGTTCGTATATATAAAGATAGATTAATTCCTCAAATGTTTTTTGCACAAATCACGAAGAGCACAATCGTCGAACTCATATTTTACTTAATTGTGATAGTTAATTTATGGTTAAAAATTCAACAGGGAAAATCTTTATGATTAATTCTTCAAATATCTTTTGTACATATCACGAAGAGCACAATCGTCAAACTCATATTTCACTTAATCATGATAGTTAATTTATTGGTAAAAAATTCAACAAGGAAAATCGTTATGATTATTTCTTCAAATATCTTTTGTACAAATCACGAAATGCACAATCGTCAAACTCATATTTAACTTAATTATGATAGTTAATTTATAGTTAAAAATTTAACAGGGAAAATCGTTATAAGTTTTCGAAATTTTAGTAAGAAGTCAACGAGCAGAAGATGGTTCGCACACTCGTGAAAGAACCTTTCGTAAGCACAGACTTCAGCCGACATACGCTAAGCCTATAAGCACTTGACAGATGATATATTACACAGGTATAAATTATGAGTTGGTCGTATATCTATAGGGCCTGCCAGCACAATAATGTAGGCAGGCTTAATTAATGCGTTAATCGGACATTTAAGCACCTGCCAGCATAATCAGCATAATGTGTTACGCAAGCGTAAAATATGAGCCGCCTGAGCTGATTAAAAAACAAGTCTCTTTATATTATTACAATGACGCAGAACAATTGTAGTCTCCCTAATTTATTGTCGAAACAAACTAATTTACTTCGGGAAACGAACGAAGAAAAACGTCAAAAGAAAAAAACTCCACGACTGGAATGACTTCTCATTTTGTAAAGGTATTGAGGTAGAAAGCAATTTGTCATTCAAGGCTTATGAACGAGCAATGAACCGTCGCTGGGTTCTTGTAGAATGTTTTGTAAGGGTTATTGCAGTACCTAGCTGGCATAGTAAGCATGACGTGGCAGATATGAACCCTTTTGTCCCGGCCTTTGGCACGCCAAAAAACGACACTGATTGCTGCCCACGTCTCAAGAATGGCAGAGAGGAAATCAAGCTAGTTTTTCCTTGTGCGGTCTGTTTACTGAATATTTAATAATATATATTTACTAATTATTATTTTCACTTCTTCCACAACAGAAGTAATTCAAGTAAAGAAAAATACTACAAAGTTTATTAAAAATTCAATTGTTTTCGTTTAATGTTGTATTGTTAACATCCTGTGCTGAGCATCAAGGCACTTCAGGATGGCAAAATCCTGAGTACGGAATTAAGAGGACGGTCTGTTCGACCTCCATCTCTGAAGGGATTTTTTTTACTTCTACAAAAACTACAACAAGTTCGTATGAACGTAATCCTCGTAGTCGAGTGGACACGCATTTTCGAAAATTGAGCAAATAAAAACGAAAATATTTTCAGAAAAATCAAACTTTTTATAACTTATTCAAATGTAAACTCATGAAACTCATGAAACTCATGAAACTCATGTTTATCTGACATGCTTTGGTTTGCTAATGCTTGTAATTTTTTCATGATTAGAAGTTAAATTTGCATGTTATTTAGTGCATCAAATTCTTAGATTCTAACAGAACAGAAGCCTACCAACAGATATCTTACTTTAATAAAAGTGAATTTCATCAGCGCTGCCACTCATTAATTAAGTTGTTGCAGATAATGAGGCAGTCAGGTTATTAGTTATGATGAATAATTCATTTATTTTTAAATTTCCCGATAATTCTAACAAAAGTAAAATTAAACGAGTTCATTCAAAATTACAGTGAATTCTTGTGAGTGAATGAAAATTACTGTGAATTCATTAAAAGCCGTTATGGAAAAGCGAAAAATGATATAAATTCTCATATAAACGCAAATTTCGTGATTTATTCGTCTCTCAAGTGAAGGCTTGTCGTCTCAAATATTTTAAAATCTGGGTATTTCTGAAGAAAATGATGGCGAAACTTTAACATAAAATCAGAAGTAACGTCTTGCAAAACGATATTATGGGAAGAAAATGTTTACCTGCCTAACGCAAAGAAAACGTTTGTCTGCCAAACATAATGAAAATGTTAGCCTACGAAACGCTAAAAAATCTATGCCTAGCTAACGTGAATAAAACTTTTGCCTATGAACGAGAAGAAAGTCTGTTGAACTGAGACTCCGAATCAATATAGCGAGACTTTTCATACAATGACGACGGGTCATATTGTCTCAATGGTTATCAGTCACGGTATCTTTTTTCCATGTGATAATCGTCTAAGTAGAAAATTAGGTACCCGAAGCCAAGAATATTTGTTTACGTTCAAAGGTTAACCTTTTGTGTACGGCTACATTTATCGCCGTCAATGCTACCGTCAATGCTATTCGTACATAAAGGCTTAGGATCGAGAGGCCCCGTCAGTATACAAATGACCTCAATGGACCGCGAGGAATGTATGCAAATCAACGTTATTTACCCATGTGAAAAAGCAAGCCATTTTTAAGCAACTTGGCTGCCATTTGCATTCAATCATAAAGGGAAGCAGTCGGTGTGGACCAGAATCCCTTATTCAATACATAAAGAATAGGAAAAACATATAAGAAGATGTGGATTTACAGGGATCCTTTGAATGATGACGGCGGAAAATTATTACTTTAGATCTTCACGACATTTTTCAATCTGATCTGAATCTAATAATATTAATTGGTCTGCTTTGAAATTATTTACACTTTTTAATGTTTTACACTAAAAACTATTGACAACTGAAGCAAATGCATGACCTTAATTGTGAGCTGAAAAATATGAAATTATGACGTTGTTATTTTTGCAGACAGTTGACGTCCGACGATGCAACCAAACTGTCAACTGACAATTGGTTTACCAGTTGACATAGACTATGCTCATCTGACAACTGACATCTGACCAAGAAGACAAACTGCTGCAAACTCTGGGCAGCTGCTAAATGACACCTGACAAAGTTGACGTATTGACAAGAACATTGTGCAGCTGACGCCTGACAAAGTTGAAATGTTGACAAGAACATTCTGCAGCTAACGCCTGACAAAGTTGAAATGGTGACAAGAACATTCTGCAGCTAACGCCTGGCAAAGTTGAAATGTTGACAAGAACATTCTGCAGCTAACGCCTGACAAAGTTGAAATGTTGACAAGAACGTTGGGCAGCTGACGCCTGACAAAGTTGAAATGTTGACAAGAACATTACGCAGCTGATTCCCGAGGAAGCTGACATGTTGACAAGAACGTTAGTTGGTTGACCCCTGCCAAAATTGACATGTTAAATTGATAAGAACATTTGCCGGATGACATTGACAAAGTTGACATGTTGACAAAAACATTGGGCAGCTGACACCTGACAAAGTCGGCCTGCTTACAATGACAATATGCAGCTTCCAAATGACTGTGCGTTGAAATCGCCAAGCACGTTTAATGTTCTGACGTTCGACAGCCCAAAGTATGACTATCAGCACAATAGCCAATGAAGACGAAGTCTTTTCTATGTATATTGTGCCAATAGATAAACGAAGTGACAACTATTGTACCAGACTCGCTTGGCCGATAGAAAAAAAAAATTAAAAAGACTAGCATGGCCGATAAAAGAAAGTCAAAACGAACGACTAGACGTGACCACAACTAACTATGAACTTGACTTTAAATACAAATGAATTGAAAAAAACAATACAAGGTCCAGACCACAAATTTTGGAATGTGCAAATTTGACTGAGAAAATGCCAAGGACTTTAATTCACATGTTCACATAGAAAGCCAACAGTGAGATGTCAGTATCTTGAATTTTCTTGATGTTTCTATCGTTATACGTCAGATTTTTGTCATAATTTATGCTTGCATTGGATCCACATTGGAGTGACAATGTCTCAATTTATTTCAATTCTAAAGAAAAATCTGTATTTTATGGTAAATATAATGCCTTAATTTATTGAATGCGTTAATTAGATTAAATTTTGAGCCAATGATACAAGAAGTATTTGTTGAAACTTTCACCAAAAATACGTGAATGTCTAGCGTGCATGTTATTTATTTGCAGATATTTTGATTTAAGAACTAACTTATTATGATTTATTACATAATATCGCAAATCCTTAATTCACTTAGCACCGATCTATCGATCCTTCCGTGAAACTACCAATCACATTTGATTTTGTGCCAATAAGCAATCAAAAGTTATTCAATATACTCATTGGTGACGTTTCTCGGGATTATGTTAAGAATTACAGCAGAAAGACGAAAATCAAATGACTCTTCATAGTTTTTTAACAAAGTTAAACTGCAAACTTGCTAATGAGGAGGAAATTAGTTGTTGGCTAATTTCTTAATTTGTTAGAAACTGAGGCAGCTCTGCTAATGATCTTTAAATAACAATTGAAAAGCATTAGGCTTACATATGTCTTGAATGTTTATTAACAAAAATAGTAAAGACAGCTTGTAAAGGTTTAGCAATTAGGTAATTCAAGTACAGCTGCATATAAATTTTAGCTCGAAGACTGAAATATCTTGGATTACAGTTTTATAATGATTCTTTAGCTTTCCGCCTATTTTTGACCATAATTCCACAATATTTTGGCGGACAACAATATCTGTTACCAAACACTCAACTTGTATTAAGCGCTGATGCCAATTTCATTATCATAAGCCTTTTCTTCATACTAGTTTCGTCGTCAGTTTAACAACTTTTTTTATGACTCTTTTGTTCGACGAGCGACAACATGTGGAACTTGTCGTAGGTAACAGGATTACTGTTTAGTTTTTTGAGCGATGACATGTGAAACTTGTCGTAGGTGACACGATGACTATTTTGTTAGATGAGCGATAACATGTAAAACTTATCGTATGTGGCATGATTACTGTTTAATTTTAATAGCGATAATTTGTTAAATTGGTTGTAGGTGACACAATGACTGTTTTGTTTGACGAGCCACAGCACGTGGAACTTATCGTAGAACGCATGATGACTGTTGTGTCTGATGAGCGATAACATGTGAAACTGTCGTAGGTAGTTTTATGGCTTTTATTTGCCGAGTGAAAACATGTGAAATTTATCGTTGGTGACACGATGACTGTATTGCTAGATGAGTGACAACATGTGAAACTTATCGTAGGTTACAAGATGACTGTTTTGTTTGACGAGCGATAATATGTGAAATTTGTCGTAGGTGACTCGATGACTGTCTTGTTTGACAAGCGATAACATATAAAACTTGTGGTAGGTGACACGATGACTGTTTTGTTCGACGAACGATAACATGTGAAACTTAGGTGACACGATGACTGTTTTGTTTGATGAGCGATAATACGTGAAACTTGTCGTAGGTGGCATGATGACTGTTTTGGTTAATGAGCTTGTGTTAATGTCGTGAAAAGTGAGACTTGTGGCATCACGACTGATGACTTTAATGTTACCTATGAGGCCCAGTATAAAGACGCGGAAACTATCTTGCTGTAAGATTTTTGTTGAAGAATAAAAGAAATATTTATTCGTTGTTGATTATTGTTTAATATTAATTCTTATTTATGCGTCCAGCAGCTGACGATTCGAATGTTGCTTACATTTTCATGAGCTGTTTTGGACTGTCAATCTCGTCCTATTTATTGTTATTAGTAATAAGACCTGTTTATTTCCCAATAAACGAAGTACATCTAATTTTGCTTTCTTTTATGCCTGTCGGTGTAGAAATAGTTTCGGTAAGATAAGTATACCACATCTAAACAGTAATTTGTTCTGAAAATGATCGCACTGGACAGTCAAGCGCATTTGTCATTGAATGTAATGTTTATGACTGCGTTGATCACAATTTCATAAAAATATATATCCTGTAATTAATAGCTAATAGCTTGTAATGGCTGCTCTAAGCATAAATTGATTTTATCGATTCAATGGATAGACCAAAAAAATATAACTCAGTACTCACTGCAGTGAGTGACAGAGAGCGCATTTTCTCGTCGACGAAAACGTGAAGTCAAGGACGGACAGAAAGACAGACGGATGGACAGACGGACAGACAGACGGATGGACGGACACGGCGAGCAAAATAGTGCATTTTTTCCACAAATGAGAAAAAGCGCTAAAAACAGCATTGTGAATACAAATTTATTTCGCAAGTCACATTTCTTTATGTCACTCATATTCAAAATTTAGTTGTATTTCAAAATTCGGAGATGTATTTATGCACTTTTACATACAGCATAATGAATCGAGAAAGTAGAATTTGGAATACAAAATTCGGGAATACAAAATTCGCAAACGTATTATTCTGGGTGTGGGCAAGAAAGTTGCCGAAAGAAGAAGCACAGGTTATGACAAGAAAAATGTCGCAAGTTTTATTAGAAAGTTGTCAGAAGTTTTATTAGAAAGAAGAAGCACCGGTTTTCACAAGAAACATGTCTGAAGTTTTATAAGAAAGATGAAGCACGGGTTATGACAAAAAAGATGCCAGTAGATTCATTAGAAAGTTGTAGGAAGTTTTATTGGAAATTTGTCGGAAAATTTATTAGAAAGTTATCGGAAGTTTTATTAGAAAGTTGTCGGAAGTTTTATTAGAAAGTTATCGGAAGTTTAATTAGAAAGATGAAGCAACGGTTCAGACAAGAAAGAGGTCGGAAGTTTTATTAGAAATATTTCGTAAATTTTACCATAAAGTTGTCGGAAAATTTATTAAAAATTTGTCCGAAGTTTTATTAGAAATTTGTCGGAAGTTCCATGAGAAAGATGAAGAAGCGGCTTTGACAATAAAGTTTTCGGAAGTTTTATTAGAAAGATGAAGCAGCGGTTGCGGCAAAAAAGTTGCCGTAAGTTTTACTAGAAAGATTAATCAGCGGTTGTAGCAAAAAATATGTCGGAAGTTTAATAAGAAAAATGCATGACCAGTTTTTGCGAACGAGTCATCCGAAGCTTATATTATATAAGATTTTAGACGGGTTTTGTCAAATAAATTCAATATTTTGTTTTAGAACAATGCAAGACGGCTGTGATGAAATAGAAGTCTGAATTTATATTGAAAAGATGACGGACGGTTTGTCGTGAGAACGATTTTTCATTGGTCGGAAGCTTTCGATTCGTCCGAAGTTTTTGATTCGGTGGAAGTTTTTGATTCGTCCGAAGTTTTTGATTCTCTGGAAGTTTTTGATTCGCCGGAAGTTTTTGATTCGTCGGAAATTTTTGATTCATCGGAATCTTTTGATTAAATTTATGCTAATGGATCTAGGAAGAAAACTGGAGTTTTTCAGAAGGTGGCACGGCGGGTTGTAGCGAGCAAGATGCCTGCTGTCATGACACAACATAAACGTCAAACGTCAGTTGGTGAGAATGATTTGGCAAATATTTGATTTGAGATATGCAGAAAGAGTTGAGATGAATAATACATCGGATGTCAATAAATTCTTTCATTCCCTTAGCACAATATAAATTCTTAATATTCAGGCAACTTTTCGCAAAGAAATGATGGAGTTCCCGTTTTTAGCAGATCCTACTTAGCAAGAAAACCGGGGTTCAATAATCAATAATCAAAATCGGTGCTCTACTAAGCTGCTGAACTGCCCAGTGCTGATTAATATACTTACATTCTCTCATGCTGTCATACAGAAAATAAACTGTCCAATTCAAAGTTTATCAAAGATTTTTTTATCGTTCGAAGCATGGTCTAATCGAAGTTATAATGGGTTTGTTCTGTATCCTATAAGTTCACTTTTATTCTTGTCAAATCCTGGACGTCAACTGGAGATCTCTTTCGTTCGTAGGTTATTAGTAATTGTAATTGGTCGATGGTCGTATGCTTATTAAAGTAAAAAGAGCAAAGTAAAGTTCAGTAACAGAGGAGGAAATTTCATTGGTGGGTGGATGGATCTCTGACTCCTACAAACCAACATATATGACATATTCAAATGAACAATTATTGCAATAAACCAGGTATAACCAGATAATTGCAACACAATTATCAACTTATTTTATACAGCTTTTTGTTGTATAATAGATAACCAAAGCACTCGAAATCCAAATATGTCTGAAACTTGAAAAAAGGTGAAAAACAAAAGCAGTTATTACCAGAACATCCGCTTCAAAATACTTGAAATTTAATCATTACAGGATTATAAAACAAACTCTAGATATTATGCGTTCTCATAGATATTATGCGAACTCACTCCTAGCATAAACGCTAGCGCGGAAATATTATACGAGTTTTTTCAATCGTAAATTCGACATTTAAACGAAAATATTACGCGAACTTTACCCGCTCATATGGAATCTGTATTTTGACGAAAATCGTGCTCATTTATTTCACACCCGCTCTTGTGGACGACGCGTTCACGGCCACGACGCGAAGACGACGACCAGTTCTCACTGCGAAGGTCACGACCACAACACACAGAGACGATAACAACGAACACAACACACAGATACGATAACAACGAACACAACACACAGATACGATAACAACGACCACGACACACAGAGTTGATAACAACTACCACGACACACAGAGACGATAACAACGACCACGACACACAGAGTTGATAACAAATACCACGACACACAGAGACGATAACAACGACCACGACGTAGTGCGACAACGTACAAAGATGACCACGCCCGTCCTCGTCATCTCCGCATAGCAGCATCGCTGCACGCGTGCGGCTATGTGCCTTCGACCAAATTTCTCGCAAAATAATAGCGGTTTCAGCGTTTATTAGGCCATAGGCCTGTCGCCAATTCTTAACATCGCAGAACATCCACAGCTTGTTGCGGTCTCGAACACGCAACTCACTGATTCAAATTCTGCTGTGCTTAACCGCCCGGCCTCCTTGCCGATTCTGACCAGAAACTGACGCACAGAGCTGGGATCGAACCCGCGCCTCTCTGCGCCAATCCTGGTACTCTGAACTTTAACCACTGGGCCACGCAGTGTTAAAGTTTGCAATTTTTAAGTTTAACAATTCTTTCAATATTTTATCCCCGCGGCCACTGATGGAACGCAAGTGCTTTCCTCAATCTGAGGACTCAATAGCTTAGAAATTCAAAAGGCATTCAAAAGGTAGGAAAATTTCTCACGCAACAGCTGTCGACCTTCCGCCATGTGCGTGATGGATGGAAGAACGTCCTGCTCAACATATTGCCTATTGATTCTCCTCAACGCGGAAATCCACTTTTAATTGCTTCGATGTGAGTGGATTAAAATTTAATAATAATTTTAAATTGGTAGGATATGAGTTTTATTTCGCAATAAATATATTCATATTCTTTTCCTTTTACTGAATTCTGGAGCTGGCAAAGTTAAAAAGCATTTGTGTTTCAATAATTGTACTTCAATGAAGCATTATTTTTCTCTAGAGGAAAATTTTTGATCTAATGCATATGCTGTGGTAACTTTGGACATATTCATCGTGATAGTTCTTGTAATGTAAACGACATAAAACTACTCAGTTTCCCTTCATTACAAAGACACAACACAGGGAGCCGGATATTCAAAGGTATTTTATTAACGCGTACTTAAAAGAAAAAAATATTTGATTAACAATTCGATTCGATTAACGCGTAAAGTGCCGGCTGTAATTCATAGCTCTTTTTCAGGTCAACGTTACGTGGTCACACGCTGTGAGCGCGGCTATAAATACGGCCGGCTGATGCAGGTAACCATCATTAGATGACCAGCTAGCGCTCAGTGTGCATCTTGTGTCGGCACAAGCTGTACGAGTGGGCAGTGGAAAATTGTTATCAAGTCTACTAGTAATTCATCATCTCAGCTATTTGTGAGTTCATTTTGTTGTATTTCTGAAACTGCCTGTTTGATTATTTCTATGTTAAGGTTTTTTGAATGAGTAAATGCGGCTAAAGCACCCTAACAAAATTCGAGCAAAAGACACTTTATTCAAGCCGCCGCACTGTGCTTGGCCACCCAATCGAAATAAGCTTCTGGTCGGAATCTCCTTTCTGTCTTGAGAGATTGGGAAGGCCTGCGAGAATGAGATGTGTTGGCCGAACCTAATCATGCTGAACTTGCAAGCTGCCCAGAACCCAGATGCTGCCCGTCAAACCCTGAGCCGAAGTGGACATTGGCAGCTGATTTACGAGCTCACCGAGTCATGGGCAGCACATATTTCAGAGTCGGACCCTGTTATAAATTTTGTCAGGGCACGTGTATTCGAACTTCATTGATGTAGCGACGAATATGAAAACAGATTCTTTCATTGGAACTTGTTTTTGAATTTAGGAAAAAAATTTGGAATCTATTTTACGCAAGAACAATAATTTTTTGAAACATTAAGGTTACCAGAAAAATGAGCAGGGAAGCAAAGACAAAGATATAACATTATTCCGAGAGATCGTCACAAAGTTATCTGTTTGTACGAGTTTGCACGACTTCAATGTGAGTTCTTAAGCTGAAAACATTTTGTGATATCTGCTCAGACCAAGCTGCTCATTTTACTCAAAGGCAGCGAAACCAACACTCAACTGAACCCTACACGCCATGTTAAGCAGAGAAGCACAAGTGTTGCAAATCCCGAATTGTAATTAACATTCTAATGATACTTTTTTTAGAGGCAAATATTGTTCAGCAACCGCCAGTCCTTTTTACCACGTTTTTCTTAGCTCGCTTTCGTGTCTGTGATGATCAAATCTTGCAATCGATATTTTACCAACTTTCCCATTAGCTAGCGCTCTGAAACTTTTAGGGAAGCTCATAAACAGAGATCAGTAGCTGCCGAAAAATTATTTTCTACTTTTGAGTCCACATGAAAAACGTGGTCTTTAAAAATTTTTTTTATACATTTTATTAGCTGTGTCGATCGCAGGAAAACGTAATAAAGTCCAACTTATATGTATGCATGGATACGTTTGATGGTCATCTTCTAAAGTTATAGAATTATCAGATCAAACGTCATTCTTATTAGCAGATACTTGCTGTCAACTATTAATCAGCTATTTTTTGTTGAACTTTTCACTAAGGTTTATTCGAGTAAATCTTCAATGTGCGACGGATGGTGTTTCGCCCGATGTTACAAGCAATTTAATAAAATGACTCGTATACGAAAATTACTCTTAATATGAAATAAACTTTGGCTACCATTAATTATCTGCGCGAAAATAATCAACTGGTACTCATTACTTTCTGTTCATTGTCTGAAAATTATGTCAATAAAATTTTTTCATTCCCGCAGCAACTCATATGGTAGTTCACCTAAAAATGCCATTTTACAGACAACTTATAGAACCTCTGATGTAGCCGATCAACGTCCATTCCAATTGAGTCAACTTACTTTTTTATTATCAACTTATCTTTTCGTCTAGTTTTTTTATTAGGTTCAAGTTGTGGTTTGACGAGGCAAATAATTATGACTGTGAATAAATGAAGTTTCACAATATTTCGCAAGTAACCGAATTATTTGACAGGTTTCCGTGAAATCATATATGCTTGAGCTGATCTGCAAGTTAAATTTTATTATTTCGTATAAAGTGGATGCATTTAATTTGGATTTTAGATTTAATCCCAAATCCTATTTGTATATTATTAATTTTATAATATACAAATATTAGGCTACCGTGGCAATATGAAATTTTACATACCACACAATTTCTCTTGATTCGTTGTCGTCAATTCGTGCAAGTCACGCTTGGCCCCTCCCGTAGACACGCGATCGCTCGGCCGGTGGAAATTCAAGGTACATTTTTATTTAGATTGAATGGAATTAGGACGGAAGAAACTCTTACTCAATTGTTGTTCGCGACGTGTGAGAACTAATTTGAAAGCTTTTATTGTTGCATCTGTTTGCAGATATTCAAGAAACAGAAAAATCGTTTATCCAATGTTCAATTTTATAGTGGAGCTTCACTCTAATGAACGCCGGCCAGTTTCTAATGCGGTTTGGGGAAACTTCGGTTCAATGAGAAACTTCCCCATACTTGTAATTAATCTAGTATTTTTTTGGTTTGGTACCAAAGATTGATTTGTGGATAAGTGATCTTTGAGGGACGAACATGAATGTTCCGTTAAATCATCAGAATAGTTTCAAATAATTCGATATAATTTTTCTAAATTACTTCGAATAACTATTAGATTAACTGCCGCAAACAAACTTGCAATAAAATTTCTTGTGCCCTCATGTGGATTTAATATTAATTTGCATAATTTGAGAACAGTTAATGAGTTCGGAAGGAAAATTCGCATTTGTCATTTTTGGATCGAACTAAACAAGAATTTTGTCGCACTGACTTTGGAACGCAATTTAGGTTTAGGAAACTTTAAGTCTGCCCAGCGTTGATTTGATTTATATTCAATATAAAATTTGATTCAGATGAATTTTGATTTACAATCCAAAAGCCTTAATTTTAATAATGAAATAATTCCGCTGAAGAAGAAGATTATCAATCTTTTATACATTATACATCCCTTTATCAATCATTTATACATAATACATCACATTATCAATCTTTTATACATTATATATCCCATTATCAATCTGTTATATATCCCATTAGCTTTCCAGGCGATCATAATGCAAATGATCAAATCTGCGTCTTTGAACTAACGCTTGCACTACTATTAAATTTGATCAATTGCGAACTTCAATATCATATCAGCGATTTGAACTCCGATATTTTATTTACAATTTTGAAAATAGAAGTTTCTCATTTCTTGGAAACTACGATATTTTACAAGCATTATTATTAGTAATATTATTATTTATAACGAAAAGCCCAAAGGCGTGTTGATGCGTTAACGGTGGACGTGACTAAGCAATCAACGCGACGATATAAATATAAATCAACAGGAATTTTTTCAAGTAACGACTTTCAAAAACGATTATGATTTGATTCTGTTATTGCAATAAAATTGTTATAAATGCTTTTCCTCTGCCTGGTCATGTTGTCTTTGAGTTGGCCCAATGATATAATAGAAAATTTTTTAGGCTTTCTCCAGCGTATATATACAATACTAGCTCTCTATAGGATAAGCTGTGGGCAATGAAATTTCATATCTCCAAGATGTTGAATTTAAGATCTTGATGGACACTGGTAGCAGTGATACGATAGAGGCCTAAAATTTTCATTCCATTTTGTCTCACATTGGGAGTCGTTGGGAACGAGGATAAAAATATCGATCTCACGAATAATAAGTTTTCATGTTAGTTCGTCATAGTGAGCTAGAAATTACATTAAATGTAGTCCCTATTCTATTTTGGATATTTCTTACAAAGTAAATTCATGGTGTAATTGTTCATATAACGGATATTTGCTAGAAATCTTGATCAATGCTAACAGAAAACGGTAGCAATGCGCAAAAGTAATTTGAATCATTGGATATTGTTAGGAATAAGCACCGCTGACTTTACTGAGGTGCGTATTTTCAATGAGGTAAATTGAAATAATAATACAAATAAATTAGGTTTATTTTAATATTTTTTAAGAATAACGATTCAATGTAAAAAATACATTGTAAAACATTAAATACCAAATGATAAGCTAAACATCTAGTCAACTTAACTTACTAAACCGCAATATGATAACATAAAGCTTCAAAAGTATTTTTTGAGAAGCGATCTCGCCTCATGAATTCATGAAGATAGGAATTAAAAAAAACTCCTTATGCAGCCAAACATTTTCTTTATCCGGCTCTTCATTTTATTCAAATATGACTCCATATTTTGAGTGTGTACGCCAGTTTCAGGTTTATTTCAGGTCATATTCTTAACAAGGTCATACTGGGGCGCTTATTCTTAACAAGATCCGAATCATTTTCCGTTGTCAATCTTGATAGGCAGGGTGGTGTACAATGAAAAGGTTAGTATTGTCTTCCTTCACTTTCCTTTAGAACTCTGAAGAGGAAGTTTACACAAATTACTCTGAAAAAACTTTCCAACGACACCACTTTCATTGCGGTTGCATCCATGGCCGCGTACCCGCCATTTACCATTAACGCGCTGTTCAAGTCACTAATGGCCTCCCTTTCTTCTGTGTAGTTTCTTTTCACTCTTAATTAGCAGAAACTTTACTACATAATAGGAGTCTTAATCCAAAATAATAGAATAGGTAGGTCTAACAAATTTCAACTTCTACATATATGCTTATGATTGGCGCTTATTATTGCTTTTATACTTATAGGCAATTGATTGGCGTCCATCTAGCTTGTACATGTCCTTTCAATATGATTTTGTTTCTAGTCTTGCCTGTATTTTCATATCGAAAAGTCTGATAGAAGCACTCAATTAGAAACTTCTTGCATAAAATATAATTTGTTATGTTGTTTTGTTTGAAGTTGACGAGAAATTAAAAATCTCTGTTCCATAAAGTTTTCGATTCAACACATTTTTCGAACGGAATTTTGAAGAATTTCAATCAATTCTTAACTTTCTCGTCTAGAAAGAATGTGATTATAAAAACAATACAAATTTCATAATTCGACTGCAAAAATATTTAAATTTATTCATTCAAAATACTCGCCTGCGAGTATTTTGTCTAGCTCCCTGGACAATCAATTTAGTGCACGTTCTAGATATTCTCTTATTAATCAGGCAGTTGAGTTCGAGTTGAAAGTAAAGTTAATATCATCGCTTGATTTCAATTATTACTGCTAAATGTTCGTCAGTGATGAATCGCTACACTTTTACGATGATCACAGCTTTGCGGCCTCCCCATGCACGAAATTCCCCCATTAACTTTTGCACGTAAAGGCTGTGCTTGAAATTAGAAGTCTCCGGTGCTGATGAACCGTATTATCCGTATATTTAAAAAAATTTATCTCAATAACGATAAAAAACTCCATTGAAGAGTTACTCATGTCAGTGTAGTTCCACTATTTTTCTGAGTCATTACTTGAACCTGATATGAGATGATTTGAGGTCAATGACTGTTATGTTGCTCATGGTCACTTCATTAAATAGATTCTAAATTTTAAATTTAAATAGATTCTACTGTAATTTCCTACATTCCTTCCATACTATTATATAAACAAATATTCAGCGTTCATGTTTGAGAAATGCGTACAATTACTTACTTGTTAGTGATAGTCTTGAATTACGTATCTAAGTAAAAGAGGAAATAATTGTCTATTTTAGAATACTCGAGGTTTTAATAAATATGCCACAAGCTGCGATTATTTCAAATTCACTCGTCTTAATATATTATTTGCTACTTTAAGAAATAACAAAAATTAAATATTATCTCTTTTTCCAGGAAAAAAAGTATCGAAAAGATGGCTTCTAGCTGCAGCCTAACATGGACCACGTACCAGAGCGTCCTAATCGCGTTCATCCTAACGTCGTCCGCAGCGTCAGCATGGGAAAGCTCCAACTACATCGCGGACATCAGTAACTCCCTATTCGGCACTGAAGAATCGAACGATTCCTTAGTAGAAACCGGGCGCTTGGCCTTTGTCACCATCGGGAACAACGGCGTTGTTGTTACTGTCAATGGAACGTCTATTTTCCTCGGTGGACTTTTAACTCTAGGTGCCTTAGCGATAGCTGGAGCGATTGCCGCCGCCATTGCTATCCCTCTCGGCGTTGCCATTCCTCTCGGGAAGAAACACAAAAATGAGGGCAACGAGTACGAATATTATTCAAACGGAGGTGGTGGATATGGCGGCGGTGATGGTGGATACGACGCATCGGGTAGCGGCTCCTCGTACGGCAGCTACGCCAGGAGGTAAACAAACTAGAAAAACACAACTGCCATAACTCTTGAATAAAATAAATTCGTTTTTAGTGCCTTACCACAGACCGTTTTAAGTTAAGAACGGCCAGAGATTACATCAAAAATACGACTGAATGACAAAATATCTGTTACTTTCACTTGAAATTTATTATTAAAGTGCATTTCAATTCTCTAGTTAATATACCTGCCTATCCAGGGAATTCAACTCCAAGCAGAAAATTCTGTATTGTTGATAAAAGACTTGTCAGTTCAACCTGTGGGACTTGTCTTCGGTCCGCATGAAACTCTCAATGAACAGGGCTCACATTCATACATCGATGCAAAACCCTTACTACGTTACTCAAAGCATTTGTCATTATATTTTGCACATGATGAGTATCACCCCTCAGGTCCCTGGAGGTGATGTCGCCGATCATGAACGCCCTGTACTCCGCTTACCAGAAGTACAGCGGCGACGATGAAGAGAAACCAGCGCTGTAACTGCGCGGACGCGCGTCATCTTCAAGGGGAACAGAGCGAGGTAAGGCAGACAGAAATGTTCTCGCGGTTTGGTGCAGGCCAATAAAAGTACGCGACTGATCGAATTCATTCACCACGATTCGCACGACAGGCTCAGGGTCGGGTTAGATAGCGTGAGATCATTCGAAGTCATGCTGGATCTTAGCCCCAATATAGAGCCAGGTAAGGCAGCCAGAAATGTTAGTCCAGGCTTGGTTTTTTTAGGGTTACGGGTTTGGTACGTTCCAATAAAAGTGCGAGTGTCACACAAGGGACAAGACGAAGATTCAGAGGCATAACCGAGATTATAGAAGAGCATGGTATATAATTCGGAATAGTCGATTAAGCATCTCTCAACATTAGGTTTTGCTAGTTTAAAATTTTGAATACTTATTTTTCATGACGAACTTCCTTTCATTCTGCGAACTTAATGAATTTTCGTTCCGGTTAAGTCGAATCTAAAGCATTTTAGGTCAATGTACCATTAATCTGAACTCAACGATTAGCCTATAAGGACGAAGCAGGCAGACACCTTTTTACATACAATTTTTTGAAGTATGATCGAAAGTTTAATAGAGACTCGTCAAATTTATTTAAGCACTAAACAAGCGTAATGGATGGCGGAAAAGTCTTTAATATTATCCTAGGTATTTTATTTCGGTAAAAAGATGGTAGAATCTCATTGTACGGGCTATGTCTCCTGCACAGCGTTCATTGTAGCTAGGCTACCTCACTGTTTAACCGCGCTCGCTTCGGTAGGATTTTTGACTAGGTCGTCTCAGGCTTACTGCGGGTGGTCCTTCAGGGTTATTGCGGCTCTACGCTCAGCATGACATGGCAGAAATATTCCTCTTATTCCTTTAACAAATATTTAGCATGTCTGTAGATGATACATTGTTGACCATGTCTTATGACTCGTAGTGTGGGAATCTAGCGACTTTCTATAATGCTGTTTACTTACCGAAAATCTTGTCTCGTGCCAGCAAACTTACAACATGACATGTACAAATGGATGCTCTAATGTTTCTTGTACATATACATTCTTCCATAATAATTCGTTGACATTATTGCAATACTTGCGGTCAATGATTATGTATTGTTATGGAGAATTTTACTTCACATTTTTTCTACGAGTTGAAGTTTTTCCCAGCTGAAATATAAATAAATAACTTTAAAAAAACTCACATTAACATTTTCCTAAAGCCAAATAACGGATTTATTGAACCAACTTTGGTAATGCACGCTCACTCTGAGTTCAACATCTGAATTTTTGATATTCTAACCTCAATGATAGATAGGATTTATTATAATGGTAGAACCGTTACGGGAAAAAGTTATTTATTATCAGTTGAGAGAGAGAAAATCAATTATATAAAACACTAAACTAAACTCTAATGACGAACCAATGAAAATTATTATAATCAATTGACAAATAATGAACATTATTTTATTTTAACTTTTGTAGCGAGATGAAAAAATGCGGATAATAGTCAAGTGAATTTGTTGTGTAACATAAGAGGCGAGGAACCTATTATTTCTTTTATTGGAAGAATCGAGGTAATCGATCAAGTGATTTTAATCCTATTTGAAAATATGCACTTTTGATCTTTTTTTTTTGGCAGACAGTTGACGAGAGACGACGAAACAAAATCAGTAACTGGCAGAGTTGACATGGACATGTATTGCCGACTGACTTCTGACAAGACAGAAATTGGCAAGGAACGATGAGCAGCTGATAATTGACACCTATATTATTTGACATGTTGACAAGAATATGCGCAACTGCCAACTGACACCTGACAAATTTGACCAGAGCATTGTGCAAAACAATGTTGACATGTTGACAAGAACATTTGACAGCTGCCAACTAACTCAGAAATACTCGACCAGTTGACAAGAACAGTGTGGGCAGCTGCAAACTGACACCAAGCCATCTTGACTTGTTGACATAAGAATGGCAGCTGCCATCTGACATTTGAAGAAATTTAATAGTTGGAGAAAATTGGGTGGCTGCCCACTGACTGAAAAAATATAACACAGTACTCACTGCAGTGAGTGACAGAGAGCGCATTTTCTCGTCTACGAAAACGTGAAGTCACGGACGGACAGACCGACAGACAGACAGACAGACGGACGGACGGACATGACGACGATTTTACTACATTTGATTGACTGAAAGTCCCTTTTGAAATATGACCAGTTCTAACGGTAATCTCCTGCGCTCAGTTACGTCGAATTCTAGGTAACGGTAGAATTGTTACGAGGTCGCATGCTAATATAGTGGATTATTCAGCCCAAGTTTTACTGTGCATGACTCAATGGCTGATACTTTCCACTTGTAAACCAATTGCAGTTTAGATTATTCTGAGGATAGGAAATTTTTGTAATCGGCAGTTAATTGTGAGGACCTAATTACAATCTGTCTAAGCATCCCATAGGTTCAACTTCAGTACCCAATCCATAATTATGTTATTAATGAGAATTAGTTCGAGTTATAATTGAAGAAGGAGTGAATTTTTACTTAATTTAAATAAATCTGTTCATAATTATCGGGACATAGCGGCAAAAACAAACGATACGATGGAGTTCCAGCAACATAATTAGCACGAGACCTGACACTTGAATTCGCACTTGACTTGGAACCTGTTATCATATGCCTACTCGTTAGGATAACTTTTATCTACGCTCATGTTCTATTTTCTTACGCATTGAATAGTTTATCCGGCTATATATTGCTCGTAAGGTATCCAATATAATGTAATCATGCGCATAATAACTGTATCATTGTTGGCGAATCTGCGAACATGGACTTGATTAAAATGACTGCGTTTTGCGCGATTGTAAAGTATTTAATAACAGAAATTATACCTCATGATATTTAGATCATTTGATTTTAAAGCAATAGAAGCTGATGATATCAGACTCAGAACTGTCAGACTAGTCACTTTTACAATGCTTACGCATAAATTGAGATTCACATTTCAAAACTCTTAAAAGCCGAATGAAAATTCACAATAGAATAAAATATAATAATATAAACTGTTCAAATCGACGGTTATATGTATGTCAAAGTAACCTTTCTATTATCACCGTGCGTTGAAATAATCAATCTTTTAACTTCAGAATTCATTATGATAACTGATTACCAAATTTAAATATTGCTATTACTGAACCTATATTTTTTTCTCATGACCTGCATGACCACGATGACTGATGACTTAAATAATCCTCCAATGTCGCACCTAAAAGGGATAACTGTTTTTTCTGTGATGTTCGTAAGAAATAATATTTATTATTCATGTAAACTATTTATTTTATCTCATATATGTTCACTAATATTAATATATGTTCACACTTTAATTATGAAGCCTATTTTAAAGAAGAAATTATGTGATCTTGTCTATTCGGAAATATCAGTAATTTTCGTTATCCTAATCCTTGTTTATTTTCCTTAAATAACAATTTAATTTCAATTAGGATTATTATTGCCCATGTTCTATAAAAAAGTTAAATATCATTTGAAGGGCGGGACGTCACGAAAAGTGAAATGAAGTCTTGTATGTTGTAAGTAAAAACATATCAGATTTTTTCTGGCTCATTTCCTCATTTATGGAAAAAAGGCGCTATTGTGCTCGATCGTCATGTCCGTCCGTCTGTCCGTCAGTCCGTGACCACGTTTTCGTCGACGAGAAAATGCGCTCTCTGTCACTCACTGCAATGAGTACTGAGTTATATTTTTGTATATTAATATTGGCATACATGAGAAAGATCTCTAATGTTTTCTGAAGAGCAAGAGGTCGAGTGGTAGAACAGATACAAGTCGTTTACTAGACGTCACGGTATATATTATATACATATCCTGTACACGTAATTCAGCGTTGAGAAGCTCCGAGTGCAAGAGATATTGTTGGCTGTGTTCTAATCAGCGATTCCCAGAACTGCTTTCGTTATCAGAAGCGAGTGAGCAATCACTTAGTTGCCCAAACATATTGCAGAAACTAATGTTTATCTATAATGTATTATCGGAGATGATGACGGAGGATGCGAGTCTGTATATAACTTCTTGTGTTTGTGTGGATTGCGAGTGAATGGAACTTGCTTGTGGATTTCGAAATAAAGTCGATTCATAACGAAATATAAGAAGGTAACGCAGTCATATCTGAGGACTTATTAAACTATAATTCTAGTTTATTGCAATTGTGGATACGATCTGTCCTTCGGTAATGTAAATTTTAATGACATTTTAAGTGCAATCAATCTTGTGATTGAATGTTATGCGTACTTTGTGATCAACAGTGGTGGGCACAGTTCCGCTAATCCGCTAACCGCTAATTAGCGAAGCTAACTTTTTCCTTATCGGATTAGCTGTTCAGCTAACTTTGAAAACCTTTAGCGGACCAATTAGCTTCCGCTAAATTTAGTTCCGCTAACTGGCAGTCCGCTAGAAATGTTTAAAAATCTCTGATTTAATGCTAAGATCGTAAGCCGTGTGCCACGCCCACACTGGCGGCTGACTACGTCATCATATGTTCGTCAGCCAATCACGTCTTGTGTTACTGGCAGTAACACAAGACGTCCTTTACTGCAGTCCTCTGGTGGACGCAATGCTGGCAGGCATCACGAAAAGGTTTGGGTCCCTCCTAGAAGACAAGGAGTGCCAGCTGGCAGCGGCCTTCCACCCTAAGTTTCGCCTGTTCTGGCTGGAAAAGCATAATCACAGTCATCTCAGCTGGGTACAGAAGGCCATGGAGACCGCTGTGGAGACAACCCTGAGGGAGACCGTTGAGGAGGGCTGCAGCACCACCAGCAATGACGAGGATGGGGAAGATGACTTCTTCAGCAGCTTTACTCAGCCCATGGAGTGCAGGAGGAGCCACGGGTCACTGAAGTCCAAGGCACAGAATTTGGTGAAGACCTGGCTGGAAAGCAGCTCGAAGGAGGAATTGACTGACGTTGCCTTCTTGGGCGAGCAGGTGTTGATGAACCTTTTCGTTGAGTACAACACAGCCATCCCATCCAGTGCTGCAGTTGAGCGCCTGTTTTCCATAGGCAAGGACATCTTGAGTGCCATGAGAACCACCCTGTCAGATGCCAACTTTGAGAGGCTGATGTTCACGAAGGGCAACAATCACCACTTCGAGGAGATGAAGGCGAAGGGCAAGCCAGAGTAAAAGGAGTGTGTGACCCTGGTGTAACCTTAATATTTCTTATTCGTTTAATAAACTGTATGTTGAATGTCATCTACTGCCAAATTTCATTTGTTCATTTATTTATTTATGTTACGTACATCTTGATCATCATCTGATCTTGGCATGCTACATCTTTTTGGAAAGCTCCTTTTCAAGGCTGAAAGTTCATCTCTCTAGGCCTGTTTTTCAGAGTTCCCCCCCCCCCTCCTCCAAATTAAGCCAAATCTAAATTTATATGTTAAAAGTTAGCGGTTAGCGGCAAATACCGCTATATTTTTTGTTGATTTATCGGTTTAGCGTTATCGAAGCTAACTTTTCAGTTAGCGGATTAGCGGTTATCGAAGCAAACTTTTAGGTTAGCTGTGCCCACCACTGGTGATCAACAACAAAATTGGGCGAAAGCTGAAAATTTGAACGTATATATGCTTTATCTCGAAGTGGTACGATATGAATGCCCTTTAGCCCAGGCTTTGCATGAGTTTTATTACTAGCGCGGAACTACAACGAAGATAAGTTGAATACATGAAAGATAAGATATAAACTATCGCTCTCTCTAGGGTACGACGCAGACTGTGATGTCACGTTATGAAACTGGTCCCAACTGTGGTTCAACTTGCTGCTCATGTTGGCCTTGGACGCGAAATACAAATTGCTACTCCTAAAATATTTCACAAAAATCGTTCAACTTTGCAGATGTTTGAAAGGTTACCCGTTTCCGTGATAGATGTTCGTCCCTTATTCATATTACAGGATGTCTTTGTAGAAATACTGTAATAATAGAAATACTGTAATTTTCTGTCATTCCTATACAGTATACACCATACAGTGTACAATAAGTATACATGGCATGTCATGAGACACTACCTCATCACATCCCTGTAAACTTAATCAAGTTCAATACTAACTTTACGCATGAAAACCTAACTCAGAGGAATCTTTTCCAACTGCGAAGTGGCTTCAATTTAGTGATGTATAAGCCCGGTCCACACGCTCAGTTTTACACAACGATTTGTCTGCGCAGTTCTAATCGTTGCAGACAAAACGTTGCGTGTGGACGGGAAAACTGCGCAGTTTTCGAGCCGGCGGGAAAACTGCGCAGTTCCATCGAAATCTGAGCTCCAGAGCATAGATTTCGATGAACTGCGCAGACAAGTCGGAACGTGTGGACGGTAGCACAGTTTTCCGATTCAATTTGTGCTCAGTTTAAATGATTCTGGCGACCATGGCGGACATTCGGTAATGTTCTCGGGAATTTATTGCTCTTCTATACGAACGTTTTTCTTGCATTCGGCGAGTAAAATTCAAGGACTATAGTAACAGGGACAAAAAAGGTGGAGACATAGGAGGGCTTAGTAGAAAAATTCAAAGAAATCGATGAAAGCGCAAACAGAGAAACAGCTGTAAACTAAGTTGAGGAGCATTTACCGTAAATAATTGGGAATAAATAAAAAAATCGATTCCATCTGGACCTAGAAGAAGACATCTACAAGCCATCTCTCTTGTATTTTGATTCCTAGCATTCCCTAAATGATTCAATTTCTTTTTTAACAAGTAGATATTCCATGCTCGCCGAATTTGGGGAGACCGGCCGTAAAATTTGTCCGAGACGTCTCCATGGCGAGATCGCGCAAAACTGAGCAAACTACTCAGATAAGTCGGTACCGTGTGGACGCTCTAAAAATTGCAACGATTTCAATCCTACTTAAAACTGCGCAGACAAATCGTTGTGAAAACTGAGCGTGTGGACCGGGCTTTTTAATACGAACAGTTCTTTCGTTGAACGAGAAGTGAACGAAATGTGGCGGAGCGGTGAAGTGAACGCGTCTTCGTGAGTCATCACAAGTACCAAATCGTTTCGTCGCGACGACGAATAAAACAAAAAATATATATATCAATGATATATTAATTATATTGAATCGCCGTGTACACGTAGTGTTACTCAAAAGTTTTTACTGCAAAAGAACAATATGAGGACCATTCATACTCGATTGAAGCACGTTAAGACGAAGTTTAAACATATTTCTTCTCCGTTGCATTCATGTGTTCTTGGCTTTAGTGCATTCAGCATTGCCGGCCGGGGCTGCGGAAACTCTTTCATTGCAGCGGCTACTGCGACGTGGAGAGGTTGTGGGTGCATGAGGCAGCGCATTCCAACTTATTTAACGGACTCTTTCAAGAACGGTAAGTTTGTTATATTGTTTTAATGCTGGAGTTTTATTTGTAAGTGAATTCTTGCCTTTATTTCACGTTTTCCTTAATATTTAATTGCTCCGGATTAAGTGGAATTATTATCTAACGATGTTATAACAAATTATCATACTTTATACTCCAATCAGCCTAGAATTCTAGGAATTGATTAGGTATCCTCCAATACTAATTTACAATAGAACCATCGAAAATAACAAATAATTACCCGAAATCACATCTTGTAATAACGTTAATGCCCGGCTATGTTGAAAAATTGTGACATCGATATAACATCTTGTGTTCAATCTGCTAATCATTAGCAGATTGAAATTCGCATTAGCAGTTAAAGCGAAATTAAATTGGAAAAAATTAAAAGTTCTTCGTGGTTAATTTCCAAATTTTATTGAATTAGTTGCGCCTGAGTGTATTGAAATAATACGCTGATAATGAATATTTAATCTACAAATTTATCATTGCGTGTCCATGGCCTTCGGTGCTGTGTTAATTTCTAAAATAAGAACAAATAAATAATTCTAAACGGAAATACCTATATAATTAACATTTTTATGTATTAATTCATGAATCAATGTCTGGTAATTGGTGTTCATTCCTATTATTTATTTCAAGTTACGCTGTGTAATTCCGCAAATTAAAAACAATTAGGCTTAGGCAATTAGTTAAAAACAATTAGTGATTTAGGTATTTAAATAATGTTGATTCTTATCAATCAATGCCAGTACTCCATCGTGCAATCTTGACCGAAAACTGAATTGAGAAAATGTTGAATGAGTGACTAATTTAAAAGTCCTCGTGTCAAAATAGGCCTCAAATTTTGAACAAGGATCATCGAATATATTAAATTATTGCATATATGTTGAATATCATTTGGTTTTTTGTAATTAATACCATTTAAACTAATCAAAAATCTTTTTCTTATGATCTCGAGCATCAAACTATTCAGTGTTTGGGATCGTTTTGTCTCTTTTGAGACTCAGTCCATGTTCAATCTGTTATTGAAAATATTTGGTACTGTTGTAATATTTTTAGAATATTTTTGTTGCTGTGACTCAATGAAAAATCAAAACTTCATTGTAACTGAGACGTGCACTGACATCTCAGTTTCCAGGAAAATAGTTGATGATTTTTTTCGCGAACTAGCGTAACCTCGCCAGAAATTTCGACGGAGGTGGAAATTTTGTTGTAGTGAAGTTTGTATTTTTCACTTTTATTTCATAAATATCTTTCCGATAATTAATGATTTTCTATAGCAGTGCAAAACAGAATAATTTTTCGAAGGCTGAATTCCTCTTGTAGTTATTATCATGTTTCTGTTATTTTTGAGGGCATATTTATGTTCTCTAACCTGTACTCAACCTTTGGAATATTCCAGAAAAATTATTTTTCTATTTGTTGTTTAGTAATCCGACATTTTGTATGGAAAATAAAAGAAGATTGACTTGTCACTCGACAAACAAATTTTCCCTGTTCGTAAATGTTTAGGTAATCATGGTCCAGCGTGAAAACTCGTGAAGAACCTATAATCTCGACAACATTGATTATATTTCATAGGTAACTTAATCAATTAGGTAAATTATTTGGCTTAGATCATCACAGGACGAGATGCAAAAATGTTTAGATGCCGGGTTCTCCTATTCACTTATTGATAGTGATTTGTCATATCTGATAACAGTGTAAAGCCTCTTTATATTGTTCCACTTACACGTACCCAACCCTAATTAAATTTATCCGGGTCTTTATGATACCACGCATCACTTAATCTATTGTTTTGTATACAGTGCCGGAAATGGCTATACGACCACCCAGTTTTCTCCAAATATTTTTTCTTGCAAAAAATTATGGGATTCTAATTATACGAGGTTAAACTACGTTTAAAAACGTTTCCGAGGATATGCGAATAAAATAATTTCCTCAAAATATATGAGATGAAATTATGAAAATTAGAAAAACCTAGGTGGAAATGGTTATAAGACCAAGATATGTTTTTCTCTATTTTGGTATCTTTCTGTAATATTTTCACTTTAAAAAAGACAGCAATATAAAGAATAGCTTGATTTTCGTCATTTAGGGCCTTTCTGGTGTACTTCTGGTGTAGTTCAGTGCCCTCACTTATATTTTTTGGAGTAAAAATATGCTAAATGGGACAAGACTCACTGAGGCCGAGAAGGCGCAGATTTTCGGCTCCGTGAAATGCAGTGCCAACGGGACATCGCAATGGGAATAAAACGCTCAAAGCCCATTGCACAATCATTTTTTGCTAATCCGGACGGCTACGGGTGAAAAAAGCACACTGGATCAACCCCAAAAATAACCGACCGGGATCTTAGGAGACTGTTTTCTGAGGCTTCTAAAACTTGCGCCACCTCTACTTTTATAAAATTGGCCACTGGATTTGATACAACTGCACGACGCATCCGTTAGATATTGAATGACTCGAAGAAATTCAAATACATGAAGAGGAAAAATGCCCCTGTGCTCCAACAAAAGCATATTATCGACCGACGAAAATTTGCTAAAAAAATTTGCTTATTGTAAGGGACGGCACAAGATTATCTTCAGTGATGTAAAAAGTTCAATCTTTATGGTCCAGATAGATGGCAATGTTATTGGCACTACTGGACCGTGAGCCTGAAATTTTATTTTCCAAGCGACAATCTTGTGGTGGTTCGGTCATGGTTTGGAGGGCGTTTAGCCGAAAGGGAAAATCAACTCTAGCTGTTTTACATGGGAGACAAGATTCCGTGGCTTACAAGCACACGATGTTTTACCAACTTCTCCCTTTTGCCGATGAGAGACATGAGGGATCATGTTTTTCAACATGACAATGCTTCGATTCACACCTCAAAATTGGCAAACATGCGGTTCCTAGAGCAGAATATTACTCTGTTTGCCGTGGCCGGCGCTTAGTCCTGACCTCAACCCCATTGAAAACTTATGGGGCATCATGGCGAGAGATGTTTACCAAAATGAGCTCCTGTTCCAATCTGTGAGTGAACCGAGCACGGCTATCCTTCGTTCTTGGGATAATATTTCTCAAAAGACACGTACTGAATTATATGGTAAATAGCTTGGGGAGAAAATGCATTGAGGTAATTATGGCGAAAGGAGGTGAAATTGCCATTAAAACGAGTGTATGTGATCCACAAACGGAAAAACATATCTTGGTCATATACTCATTTCCACCTAGGTTTTTCTAATTTTCATCACTTTTACTCATATATTTTGAGAAAATTGTTGTTTTTTTTTGCATAGCGTTGGAACCGTTTTTAAACGTAGTTTAAACTTTGGTAATTAGAATCTCATTTTTTTGCAGGAAAAAATATTTCGAGAAAACTGGGTGGTCGTATAGCCATTTCCGGCACTGTACATGCAAACTTCTAAAACCTATATTTTATTTGTTGTTTCAGCTGTCGGAGAGGATTATCGCCGACATGATGTCCTCGAGGCTGCTCCTGCCGGCCAGCGTGTTGGTGCTGATGTTGCTTCGTTTACACGTTAGCCTGGCAAATACGATGTGGTTCCACACGGGATCTGACAAGAAAATTCCTCCAGTGACGAACTTTAAACTTTCGCTGAGAGGTTACGACGTCCTACTCGCAGATCCATGGCAGGCTGAAGATCCGGGGTTCGGAGATCAAATTTTCGAACCGTTTTATACTCAGAATGGGCGAACTTATTTCTACTCCTTCATCGACGAGGTTGAAATTAACACTAAGTGCAACACAAAATTTACATTTAGCCACATCTCAAATTCAACTGAGTATTTGAACGAAAAGTTTTCCGATTACAGCTTTGTCTTGGGTGCCTTTAACAATGAAAACAACGAATCTGTGTTTTCAGATGAATCTCATCGAAGTGGACTTCCAAAACAATGGCATCAAGAAATGGTTATCGGCCGAGCCAAATGTCTCACTCACAGGGTGCAAATTGCCCCTTTTGAGAAGCCAGTTTTCACTGAAAACTTCCGTAACGCTCTCCGCGTATTACACGAGGCTGCCAAGGACCCGATGTCGGTTCGGAGTCGGGAAACGATGATGATGTTCTTCTTGACGTTCGGAACTCACTTCATGAAAACGGTGGAATTAGGATCGAAAGTTGTCATGTGGAAAACAGTATCGGGCCAAGAACGTAGCCTGGACTTGAAATGCCTTGAAAACTCAATAGATGAAACTGTGAAAAAATCCAATGGGAACACGGCTTCTGCAAGCTCAAACTTCCGAACTCATTCTTCTCAGTGCGACATGAAAGATGGAAACGAAATCCCAACCTCTGCTGAGGTTGACAACGGCGCCGATATGTTGATAACAGGAATTTTCCCGAATAAAACAATGGACACTTGGAATCTAATTGCCAAAGCCTCGCCTCGGCCCATTGGCGCAGAGTTGGTAAAGATCTCGTACTTTTTCAGGGACCAGTGGATGGATTTCATAGGAGAGAACACCACCACTACCTTGGACACGGAAGCCATGTATGAGTTATATGAAATTGGCCTAAGTTATTACTGTCACAAGATCCTCAAGAAGAATTGCAAAACTTCAACGCTTGAAGAATTGAAAAACGTTGCGAACACTCGAGTCGCCATTGCTGCGGGAACTAACGAACTTCGATTCCAGTCAGACCAGCCTTACGGGACGGCTATGTTATTGCAAGGTAAATTGTAAAAAAAAATTAACTATGCCCACGTCCTCTCCTTCATCCAAGCCACTGGAAGCGATGACATGAACTTGTGCAAGTAAAAATGAGATCTTTGAGCTCAAGATTTAAGTTTCCCCTTTATAGTATCCGTGTTGTTACATTATTTCGACATTATTTCAGAGAAACCTCGAGCATTCAACACAGTGATCTTGAGTGGAGGGTTCAAAGGAATCAACGAAGCCTTGGGTTCTGTTGAAGTTTTGAGCCGCAATGTCTCATTCAGCCTCAAGCTGCCCGATCTGCCCGTCAAAGTCGGAGGTCATTCCCTCAGCCTGGTAGGTTCCCTTCTTGTCAACTGCGGCGGCTCGACTCCTTGGCAACTCAGCGATTCGTTGTTCCAGTGCTACGAGCTGTATATCGAAAGCCCAAACGCATCATGGTCGCCATCTTTCAAGTTGCCGGGAGACATGAAAACGTTTCACACCGCCATTTCAATGGACTCGAGCATTTGGTTCTTCGACAGGGGCTCGTTTACTGTGTACGTGTATGAACTGCAGTCTAAGACATTCACACAATACTTTTTGCCATTTCTAACGACCAGTGAGATGTGTATCACAAAGTTAGAGGCGACTGTCATTGCAGTGGACACGGAAAAAAATACTATCTACATTCTAAAAGACCCCAATGATCCCCTAGATTGGCAAGCAATTCATACAAACCTGATCACGCGTTACTCCCCCACATGCACCGCCATTGGTTCTCTCGTGTACATCACAGGCGACGCCAGGAATGAAGTTGGTCAAGATTTTGAGGTATACGATGCCGAACGCCAGGAAGTTCGTCTCATAGCGCACTTCAGTCAGCCTCGGATCGGCTACGGCCTGTTTGCTCTTGACGGGAAACCCGTCGCTGTGGGGGGAATGGTTAGGACTGGTAAGACTATCCTCACTTCCGCTGAAGTTTATGATGATATCCAAGGAGAATGGTTGACTATTGAAGAACAATTGCTTAGTCCTCGCACACTCTTCGCCTGGGCCTCAGCCTCTTTATAGATGGTTAGTAAAAAGGGAAACTTGAACCTTCAATTTGACAATTTTTCTGTTGCCATATTTCACATTCATTGCAACTCCTGGTTTTGAATTTTATTAAGAACTTTCTCAAGTTCAATGAACGCATCAAAGTTGGTTTTATGATCAGCCATATTCATGACTGATCGCTGTTATTTCTTTTACGCAATGCTTTTTTACTTTTTCTGCATTCAATGAGCTGACATTTTCATTTTTACAAAACCATCCTATAATTTTTTAACAAATCTGTAGAAATCTCTGTCAATTAAATCTAGAATTTCTGTATTTTTTATCTAGTATATTAGGTTATCTCTTATGTTACCATATATTCTTCTTGAACTATATTCACATAACAATAATTGGTTGAATCTCGGTTGTATGAAAAACTGCGATTCTCAGTTGTCGCCTTATATTAAGTAATATGTCTCAATTTTTTCGGAGTTTTATGTTCACAAATCCTGGAGCGGGCTTTTCCAAAATATGAATTTTTATTAAGGTTACTTATTTGAATAACGTGTTTGAATTTGAAGAAATATCTAATGTTTTAAATTATTCTTATTCGTTGGTCCATGCAATTTGTCTCTTCGAATAAGAACTAAAGTCTACGATGTAAAAAAATGTGCATTCTATTATTAGCATGAAGCTCATTCTTTCGTAAGAAGAGTTAACTCCCACAGTTGCGGAGCTAAAACAAATCATGACTAATAGAATTTTACGATATTGTCATTTCATGGTATATGGAATCACTTAACAATCATAATAAAAAATTATGAAAACTGCATTCTGCCTGCTAATAATTTTATAGAAATCTTCATCACGAGGTTCATTCATTTGACACGCATTTTCTGCAATCAACCCACCATGTCAGGCAGGTCTCAGACGCTCGTCGCAATTAAGATTGCGAATTAAGATTTATCGTACCGTAGTAAATCTCGAATATTTTATTGAGTTCAAAATATTTAATTAATATCATCCTCCACTTTGAATGAAAATAGAAAATTTAGAGCCACCGGCTGTGGTGGTTATGTGGCGAAAGGTAAATTCCTCCGATTGATCGAAAAACTCCTGATCGATCAAAACTTCGGCTCAATCGATTGAACGATCAAAACTCCTGAAAGTTCGATCAAACCTAGCGATAAATCGATCAGTCCTCTGGATCGCTTCGTTAAACTTCATTGTACGCTGGTCTAATTTTGCTAGTTATAGAAGTCACGAATGGTGTTATTTTAATCACTAAGTGAAGTTTGTAATGTTTACTTTCTTTCTTTTTTACTGTATGTTAGATAACGCACGTCTATAGCCGTGCTACGCTGGAATTTGTTTATGGCATTGATTGTTGAATATTCACTCTTGAAATGAGTTTTATATTTACATCGTTCACAAGCTACAAGATTGGAAGATTCCTTTCATCGTTTTGAAGAATTGCTAGAACCAAGAATGCATTTATTAAGATATATATTAAAATCATGTTAACATCAGAAAAATTGCTGAACTTGTTGATAAGATTATTGTTATATTGATTAATAAAATTAGTTTTGAAATTCACTGTTGATTTGTTCACTTGTTTAGAGTTTGATTATTTCAGCTATTCTTTAATATGAAGTTTTTTATCTTTACCTTGTTCGACTCATTGTCCTTTATTGCAATTTTTCTTGGATATATGGTTATTATTTTACTATACAAATGCAAATGAATGACATTGGTCGTACGCAATGCAAAACTTTGTATGTTCAAGGTAAACTTTCTTCACAAAACTCTCTTCCTAGTAAATTCACTAAAAAAAGCCTTAAATTTTGAAAGTTCTACTCACGTTCCTAACTTAGCACATGAGAAGTACACTTCATATTTTTATAAGAATTATGTCGTATTTTTGCATGATCGATATAACCGAACGCAGCATCTGACAAGCCCTCGCTATACCTGGGGTTTGCTGTATTGCCTATATCTAATACTAGAATAATACTTCAGAAATGTTTGGGGTAGCGATCAATGAAAAATAAATAGTTAAACCGACGTATATCGAAAAATTGCTAGAAAAGTCACACGCTTTACGAACATCGGGGTGCAAAATTTCATCCTCCCTGATAACAGTTGAAATAAAAAGTTTATATAATTTATCTTAATGTCTTCGTATTTAAAATAATTAGCCGGGATAGCATTCTAAATTTCAGACTTATATCTTATTTATGAGGGGAGTTATTGGACCTATTAATAGTTAAAAACTCCATTGGCGACTAACGCAGCTGAGCGCGTTGATGCAGAGTCTTAGTTAGCAAAGGTGCAAGTTTTATTCTTCTCTTCGCATCGGAGACGAAACGCACAGACTCATTCTTTTCCCCATAAGATTCCGACATTGTCAACGTTGCCAGAAATTCAATATATAAAAGCCTTGTGTTGTTGCCGTGGAGAAAAAAACGCCTGCGCAATTAATAATTATAAAAAAATTACCAGGTTCCTTTCTGTCGAGCTTTCCACTCGTGATATGCGGAATGAAACAAGCGACTTGCTCACAAATTAATTCCTACCAAATCTGACCCGGAACATCGATTGAAAACCTTTATTGTTCACTTAAATTACAAGAAGTATGAGCAGGAAACGTTATAATAAATTGTATACAGACATGTTTTCATCACCTACACACAAAAAATCAAAGCCCGTTACCTCTATTGTGAGAGATGTTTCAATGTCATATAAAATCAAGTGAGACAGTATTTTAAATTTCTCTTTAAAATTCAGCTCTCATTAATTGATTTGATGATGATGTGTGACGAAAAGCACGAGGTCTAAAATACGATTGAGTGTTGATGTCAAATCACACACTTTTTGATAATTTGCCGCATTATCAGCAAGCTTGGACAGTTTAGTTGATAAACTAGCCTGACGCAAGGAACGTATATGAGAATCTAAAAAAAATTGTTTGCAAAGCATACGTGGATCATCGCTGCTAATGCACGCGCTTCATCTTACGTGTTTGATGAATCTTTCCATTCAAATACACAACCCGAACAATGAAACCATTTTTATTTAATAATTCTGATTAAAAACAGTAGATGCATTAAAAATAGCGCGATTAAAAGAATATTAGATGATGATGCTAAGTGAAATATATTTTCCATATGACTTCTTTAGTGATGCGATGAAGATCTGTAAATGCTAGAATTCACGTGCAAGAAACTCAGCAATGCGCCTACCATTAGCTTTCCACTTGAGAAGACCATTGACAGTGTAAACAAAAACTTAAAAAGTATGCCTTCGTCGAAAAAATGTTCTCATCGCTCTCACGTTGATTCGAATCGCTTTCGCAGTCCAGACTTCGGTCAATGAGGAAAAAAATCTCGTTAATCAGTAGCTCGGCTACTGCAACTCGTCGGTAAAGTCTATAAGTGAAGCCAGTCACGTGAGGTACTCTCATCAACTTGTGGATTAATACACTACCTTTAATTATTCTTTTGTACTGTACGATATGTACGTCTGTATACATATTATTTTTGTACTGTACGTCTGTGTTTGTAAATACGTCCATGTTGCGGTACACTCATCGCTGATCATATTGGTTCACTCATAGCTCATAATATTATGGGTTCATTCATCGCTTATAATATTGAGTTCACTCATCGCTCATAATATCGGTACACTCATCGCTGATCATATTGTTTCACTCATCGTTCATAATATTGGTTGATTCATCGTTCATAATATTGGGTTCACTCATCGCTCATAATATTGGTTTACTCATAACTCAAGTACAAACTTATAAATTTCAAACGAGCATGGTCGTCATAAATCACAGGGACAAATTGATCTCATTCATTTTATTCAGACTTTTCAGAAACTTCGAAAGAAAACGACAGTGGTTCTATGCAGTTGTCACAAACATGTTTCTGTCAAGTTCTCCTCTTTCCTTAAGACGAAACACGTACAATTTCATGAACTCTCTAGTACTTCATCTCGTTCACCTGCTCGTGATGTCGTTAACTTATTTTTGAATGGAATGCAAGAATTCAGCGTCTCGTTGCTTCAAGTTGTTCGAGTTTCTCTGCTCTCGCATAGGTTGAGATTTTCAAATTTTTACACTTACGATCCAGCGTAGCGACATCGATTGTCCACGGCTTCGATGCTTGGACGTTCGAGAGCGGTTAGTGTCGGACGAGCGTGTCAATTTCGATCAGGAGGTGAAACTTGCACTTATCTTTGGTCCAGAAACACTCGAGGAGGATTTTTAAAGCTTCTGGTTGCTATAGTAGCTATAAATGAGTGTCAACGCTGGCAAATCGAGGCAGTGCTGGTCTGGTTTTCATCGTGTAAAGACAAGTGGTGATTAAATAAGTGTTGAAAAGCTCCATAATGACAGCGCTTGCATGTAACTTCTGAACTAACTTTGATGCGTGTTTAGAAATATTTCATAACACGCGAGGATTCAACAGTCATAAAAGTTAATTCCTATGGAATTCACGAACTTTCATATCATATTATTGAACTTTTGTAACATTTTTGTCACTCTTGAAAATTTCACGAAACATTGAACGAATTTTCGACACTCTAAATCAGTTCAGTTTGATGAAATAGTTCCAATTCCTCTACTAAAATTAAAATGTATTCATACCGACACAACTAGCAAGGTCGATGGACATTCGAATGCTTTAGTGTTCCATGAAACCCGTTGGAGCTGGGCACTATAAATCATGTCGGTAGGTCGTCATTGTTTTCCAAGTGATTTTTACAGCAGTCTTGCGCCTCCACCAAGTCTTGCCGAAAAGTGTTCGGGCGACTCACTGTGCAATCGATTTTCTGGAATCAATTTCAATTATTTATTTATTTATTATTTGTTCAATTATTCAGTTCAATTATTTATTTGTTTGTCTGGTGTAGAACTTAGATATGTTCAAAAGTACATCGGACATCAATTTTTATCGATGAGGAGAGTCTAACTAATCAAGGCTAAACCAGACAACCCGTGAATTATTTCAAAATTTACATTAATATTTTAGGTTAGATGTCTCCGGCTTATTCTTGCCTACACGCCGCACGTGATATGGTATAATACGCGGGCCATGGCCCAATAAAACGAGGGCCACTATGAGACTCGTGCCCGGCCTCGACCACAATTTCGTGTGACGCTACTTCAATTTTGACCACTGGAATACATATTCTCATGCTTATAGGTATGAAAAATACGAGTATTTGGTCTCTAGATGTTTTAGCACAAGAGATGGCTCAACTTCCAGTAATTTGTCGCCAAGTAAGTGTGGGTTTTCCACCGCAACCGATAAGTGTGGAGACGAGGTCAAGTTTTACTTCGAAAAATTGTACGCCTAGCGCCACACAGGCATGTAAACAGATAACTCAATGGGTGACAGCCATCATAGAATCGAATAGAATAGAACTGAAATAGATAGGGTGTCGTCACTGAAGCAATAGGCCCATGGCTTGTTGCCGATTCTTGAACTTTTCGTGACGTGATTCACAAGGGATCCGGCCTTTGGAACCCGATCTTTCCATAACTGACGGTCGATTGAGATAGCTGCTGGACTTATTGCCTGGTCCGTAACATGCAATAACGTTGGCTGAATAATCACGGCTGAATGTTGTGGGCCGGAGATCGCAGGCACAAGAAATTACGTTGCGGTAAATTTGTACGAGTTGTCTCATATCTCATCAAGGAATTTATGTTTTCTAGTCCCGTTAAATTTATTTTCCTTAAATTATGCTCACTTTCACCATTCTGGGCGAACAGCAAGAATTAATTTAAAAGAAACGATTCCGAACGTTAACCAGTCATTTGCAGGCACGTTGATATTCATAAAGAGCATTTCATGGTATTACTCCAAATTTAGCCGCTCTTGCACTGAATTAAAATTAGTTACATAAATTTCACACCGTAATGCCAATTTTCCAGAATCCACAACTTTAATTTAATCGTAACTTCAAATAGAGTAAAATAGTTCCCAATTTTCATCACTTTTCGAGTACTAATAATTATTCAGTCTTTTAATACAACTCACCCGTCACGGTCGCAATATGGATGACTTTATCACGGACGCAGAGACCGGACTTGAATCTTTCACCGGCGAAGTGCGCGAGTTTCTCTACGGCGTAGACCTCGTCTACATTTCCCTTCTGAGCTCAGTGTTCTTCATAACTCTTATAATCTTCGATATTGCCTACAACTTCGCATTTCCTGGCCGCTTTGAGGTCCAAAAACGAAGAAGGCAATGGCGGCATGGAGGAGGCAACCGGGACGACGGGACGAACTGGGCACCCGCCAAGCCGGACGGTCAGGGCGGAGCGTTGGTGTATCCGTACTCAGAGGGATACTGGAGGGACAGGTAAGCTGCTTCGCTTACTGCTATATCCTATAGGAAGATATAATATATATTTGCAACAAAAAATTGTATATAAAAAGAAAATGTGTTTTGAAAATACAGCATTTTAGTTTAAAATTACTTTTAGTTCATTCTGGTAGAAGTTTTTCATTCTGAGGGACTATTGAATTTTACACACATACTTTAGGTTTTATTAGAATCCTACTGACAGTAAGGATGAATAATTTACCCAGCATTGCCATACCTAGGAAAAAATCAGTGAACTAAAGAATATAGTACCGCCATAAACAACAATGTGTAGAAATTCTGTATCTTACCTTTTTTGCAGTATTTCTTCAAAAGAATAAAACAAAATAGTCAATACTCGTACATTATTTTTTTTGAGGATATTCTTGTCATATTCAATAATGAATTTGAACAATAATGATAGTCGTCCAAATAACTTCTTGTCTTAATCACATACCTACATAAAGCGTACTTTAGAACCGTATTTTTTAGCGTATTAAGTGTAGCTTTAATACATCTGCGAATAATTATTCTGTTGTTCACCCGTTAAATCTTTCCAGATCCAACGACTTGGCGGGAGTTGTTCACAACGCCATCGAAACAACAGCTAAAAAACTCTCTGATTAAAGTAATAGAATCCTAGCTTAAAACACTAAAAGTCAAGCGTGTTTTGGTAATTTTATATTCGATACCGTGAATGTGGAGCACAAAAAAATCCAGGGCATGTATTGGATGTCTACAATGCGACTTGGATGTATTATTTAATGCTAGATATATTTTTAACTCGTTTATATGACATATTATTATTATATCTATGTCGGAACTATAAGGTTTCCGCTAGCAGTGGGTGCGTTCTCTGGTCAAGAAAAATGTAACCGATCTAGGTTGTTGCAGAAAACCCTTTTATTATTTTTCCTGTACATAATATACAGCGATGCCAGCTCTTGATTACATCATGTTAGCCGCTAGCCGATTCTTAACCACCTGACCAACTGGCACATTTTAACCAATATTTTCACAACTTGTTGCTGGGTTCGATCTTACTAGTTCTAGAACATAGCTTGCTCCGATTAGCGATCTAAGAAGAGCCGGTTTCTCGAAATATGATATACAATGAGGAAAAGTGGCCATTCAAGAATTAAATAGTAGGTCGAATTTTATAGGTGTTAACGAGAAATTATTTCAAATATTTGAAACAGCTAAATAAATTGGTTCAAACCATTTTCAACAGTCGGTTAAATTGCATGATGTCATTCGAGAACAGATTCTGCGTCGTTTACGAATCATTCGTCCGACTGAGCGCTACACGCAAACAAAAGCAGTTGATGCGTTGATGATGATCAACTTTGGACGTCCCTTGAGAATCTGGAATTGTCAGGGTAATCTTAATCATTGTGGGTAGATATGCTCCAAAGACGAATTTAACAAGTTTTATTATAATGTTGCCTAAGGTTTGAATACAAATTATGCATTTTTACGTTAAATTAGTATTAGATGTCAGATTAAGCTTGTGTAAACAAGGGTGGTTAATTGTCAGAGAATTGTCTTATTTACATTTTCAGAATCTAACAATATTCTTCGGATGATGTAGATTGATCAAAATGAAGGTTTAAGGAAGTAATTTTAATTTATTAACGACGTTTCGAATGTAACAACATTAATTTTCAAATTATAGGGTGCATTGAATACAGAAATTTTCTGAAAATAAGTACATGACACACGTAAATATAATACAACAAGAAAATTTGGAACAGTGAAAATAACGCCAAAACAATCTCAAAGCTTAGAAAATCCGGTAGTTATGATATATATAGCTGAAGTCTAATCCGTAGAGATGAGGGCTTCAGCTATCGTCGGTCGGATAATGTCGAACCACTGCAAGATGACGATGCTGGTGGGTTCCTCCAGCACAGTGTGAGTGACGGTCTCGTTGAGTTTGATGCTGTCGAGTGTCACGGAGTCTGCTGAATTCATCGTGAATCTTGAGATGAAGTTGCTTGATTGTAATACTTTGAGACCTGGTGTGGTTGAGAGCTTGTCTCGAGTGGTAGGATAAGCGGCTGCTCAATGTCGTAGTAGTTGCTTCAATGCAGTTCAAATAATGAAGAAGTCTACAACATTCATTAAAGCATATTTATGTTTTTTTAATTCTTATATTAAGTATATTTATAGATTTCAATCGTCATTCCTACCCTTACGATTCTTTTTGTTTTGTTTATGCTCACATCCAGATATAAAAATCTGTAATTACCCCAATCACACATCAGTACTTAGTGAAAAACCTAGCATTCTTAGAAAAAGAAGAGTGCACCACATGACCCATGCATTGCTAGTTTTGCGTGCTTCTTAAAGAACAGGGCAGTCTTCAGCATTCACTGCGCAGATGGGAACTTCACTTGAAATGTGCACTCAAATCAGGCAACTCAAATGTTAGTCGTTGAGGCAGAATTAATTTCACTGAACCAACTAAACTTAAAAAAAAACGTAATACGAGACTTCCATGATGAGAATCGCTGCCTAAATAATAAAAGATTTTGCCAGCCAAGCTATTTTTGCGCCAACAACAAATAGGAAATCAAATTGCATCATGTCGATTTAGTAAGAAATGAATTTACCTCAAGAATGTTATGACATAGTGCGTGTATAAGTGGATTGAAACATCGGGACATGTTGTGTGGTTCTCATTTATATGACGAGACACGAGTTCAGCGGGTAGAGTACAGTGGTGGCTGTATTATGAAACTCTTTAATCGTAAAGTATTTGTGTGTCATTATCAGCTGGTAATCCCAAGCAAATTCCATTTATTTAATTCACACGAAAATATAGACCGAGACTAGTATTAAATATAGATCCAAGCATGCATTGTATAAGGTATCGAATCTCGCAACGAAACTCCAGTCCAACATTCAGACATGAAATCTGATTCAACTCAAAATAACCGAGACTGGCCGCCTGGGGTCTGGTAATTCAAACACATTTCGGTCCTGTAAAATAAACGGCCAATTGTAACCAAGAAAAAAGATGTTGCAAAACCGGAAGGCTGAAATTCAATAGGGCACGATTGGAAGAAAATCTTGAAAACGAGATATTCAAAGTGACGAAAAAAGTAATGATTCCGGTACTTCATGTCTGAAATCGGGAAACTGCCAATAATTCATCATTCAACGAATGATTATCAATTACTCAACACTCTTCGGAGAGTTTCAACTCACTAAGCGAATTAACATCCACGAGAAAAATTCATTACAAACCCCTTTGAACAGCGCTGCTTCAACTCATAACCTAGGGCTTCATTCAACTAAAAACGAGGCTGAACGCTCAAACTTTTCATCGCACATGAACAGCACATTATCGCCTACTCAGGGTCGCCCTCGCCGCGCATACTAATATAGAAAAAAAATTCGCCGTGCGATCTCATCTCTGTCGTGAGGCCTAGTGCACTAACATTAAATAATGCTCAAATTTAGTCCCGTACGCAAAATCTTCTAATTCATTGAAATACATGCCGAGATTTTCAATGTAAAATAGAATTTCAGGTGAAAAAATACTGGGAACACAGCATCTTTAACCAATAATTTAATAATTCGTAATATTTTTACCCATAAGTTAATAAATAGGATGGTCATACGTTAACAAGCATTCATCCACTGGAAAATAAATAAAATAGGAGAATATTAATAGAGAAATAGCAAGGAATGTCCTATGCACCGGACATTTTGAATTTTATTCCCTAATAATTGAGGCCCGAATGTCAACCAAAGTTTGGATTGATACAAAATAATCACTAAGAAGTATATAGGATTGGTTTAGCAGTTCTTAATGGCCCAGCTACTCGGTGCGGTAGCTTTGGTCGAACTATGGCTGCCATATTTCTCCGGCAGATCATTGCTCGGCAGCCTGAATTACGAAAACATCTCTGAAAAACACAGAGACACGGGCATAAATTTACATATTTACATAGACAATCACTTCAATGATCAGCCAAGATCGGAGTGGCGCATAACTTAAGACCCGAATTTAAGCTGCAGGCCAAGTACAATGCAGAATTTTCCTAACAGATAGTCTGTCACTCCAGCACGATGAGGTCGTCCGTCGATGCCTCGGCAGGTTTCGTCAGTTGCACTGAAAAATGAATACAATCAATGAAATTAAATTAAAAATTAAAACTATATTTACAGCTCGAACTGTCACTAAGACTAAAATGAAAAGTCAGAAGATGATTTTACTCCGATTTCAGTCAACACAAATTCAAACCTGATTAATTTGGGCCAAAGGTTTACTTAAAAGTGGAATTATTCCAATTATTAATAAAATTATTAAATAGACGAGTTCTTTTGTGGTCACAATTTGCATTAAAGACAAGACAGCGTCTTCTCTGCATCAAATAAATACCGACACACATCAATTTAAATACTTGAGAAAAATATTGTGATATGCTAGCGGGAAAAAAGTGATAAACTTACCAGAAATTTCATGGTGATAGTCAGCTAAGTAAGCGGTTACTGCCTTCAGCCAACTGTCCACTTGTGCCTTAGAGTTGCGGTGCATAATAGAAGCGTTCTGATCGAGTTGATACACAGACACGCTAGCCAAACCTTCGCATGCTGAGTCCAATGTGTGGCCAAGTTTATTTGTGGAGAAAATACTCCGCCATGCAGTGGCAAGACCATCGAACATGGCCCGTATTCCATCCTCACTTTCGCGCGTGAAAAACGTGTTACACGATGAGCGGTGTAGTCGGTGAATAGCTGAATGAGTGTCTTTATCAGTTTTATCGTTAACGACAACAAAACTGCATGGGTATGCAGGAAAAACATTGGCGAAGTTCCCATCGGGTAGCTTGCACTGCAGTTCAGTAAGGAAGCTTCTCATTTTCAGCTGCGCTTGCAAGAGGTCACTCTTAGGTGCCTGAAATTGCCACAGCCTAAGACCCTTTTTGCAGCGGTTGACCACGCACGACGGGTTGGGGAAATGCTGCATTACAAGCTTAGGAAACGGAGCCGTGAGGCACCAAGTCATAGGATTGTTTCCAGACGTTTTCTCGGCCAACTGAAGAATAAATGCCCGATCACTTGCGTCAAACTGCAACCATCGTTTGTGGAGGCTGACTTTCTTAAAAGCAGTAGAAGAGGAGCGTTCGAATTTGAGTTCACCAACGACTGAGATTTGACAGAGACGAGACGTGTGCTCCATAGCATCAATATCTGCAGCCTGATCAGCAGCAGCGGCCACAGCAGCAGGACTCCGACTCAGGAATGGACACGGCGAACCGTAAATCGCGTTCACGATCACATTTTCGACAGCTACATGCCAAGACGTATACGTGAAATAATGTGCCGAGACGCCAGTCGCGCACGCCACAGCATCTACATCAGTCTGAGAATCCTTTATTTCCAAGAGATCAGGCGTCAGTATCCTGGCGACATCAGCACCAAGAGCACCTTTAGCGATCCTGAAGAGGTTTTCGTGCGCAGCGTTAGCAGCGTGCAGGGCAAGAGAGCGACAGAAAAGAAGCTTATATAGCTGAACAATCTTGTCGAATTTCTTAGGAGGAGCAGTGATGGCATTGGAGCCGTTCATGAGATGAGAAATGAGTTGGCGGGGTAAAGTATCCTGCAGGATGGTGAGGGGCAGGACAGGCGTGGTCAGCACCACGTCGCTGGGGGGCACATGCAGGCGGAGGTACGCGTGAGTGTCGTACACGTGGCTCATGATCTGCGCAAGACGGCCACGATGAGTTGTAGTCGTTTAGATATATAGACATATTCAATCTAATACAAATTATTCATCGTTTCATCGAACCTCTGACTCAACGCAAACACTAAGAAAGGCGCACAGGGGGCATTTATCAAAAAGTATACTTGTATGATTAAAGAATAGTGAAGCCATTTAATGATGATGAAGTATACATGTGCTCAAATTCAAGATTAAAATATACAAGTTTCTTGAAATTCGTATATTTCAGACATCAAACTTCAAGGATATCTTAATCAGTTATTATAGCAGATAGGAGTAAAACAACCAATACAAGGTAGAACAGATTACAGTACAAAAATAGGCACCGTGTTTGCACAAAAATGAGAAACTGTTTGTGAAACGAGAAACCAAAAATGAGAATTCGTTTTAGTAATAAAAGAGTCATGCATCTACATGGAAGAACAGAATGTCTGGTCTTCAGCCCACCTCGTCTATATCAGCAAACTCTTCAGCCACGTCCGATGCGATGAGAAGATCTATGCCTGTCACGATTAGCCATAAAACGTTCCGCTCAGGCTGCGACATTTTCTCACTATTACACTCAATCCTGCTATCGCAATCAAGTTTTTCACAGTTTCCAGGTTGCTCGTTATCCTCCATAACAATATCATCTTCAAGTGCAATTTCCTTCGATGGACCATTGAATGAGTCATAGGCAGCTCCAGCCCTCGAGTCATCAGTGGCACAAGATGTTGCTTGCGTTCTTTTCTTATCATCAACAAACCTCGTAACACTCGAGTCTTCTTGCTGGCTTAATTCATTTACCGGAGAAACGCAACCAGGAACACAATGTGCAACAGGCTCGTTGATATTATCACATTCCATTGATGGATTTGTGGTGCTGATACACGCGATGCTTGGCATGCCACTAGTGGCAATGGATGAGTTGCCAGCGTCATCAGCGGATTTATCTGTTTTCGCCTCGGCTAATGGCTCACAGCTACCGTCATCAGCGGATTTATCTGTTTTCGCCTCGGCTAATGGCTCAGAGCTACCGTCATCACTGGATTTATCTGTTTTCGCCTCGGCTAATGGCTCAGAGCTACCGTCATCACTGGATTCATCTGTTTTCGCCTTGGCTAGTGGCTCAGAGCTACCGTTAGTACCATTGGTGGGAGGTTCAGACGATGTTTGATTGTTCAAATCCTTCATTCTATCTGATCCATTAACAGATTCAAGTACTGCGCTATGTGACGAAGGATTATTAACGTCAGTCTTTGAAGAATATGAATTATTAACTTCAGTTTCGGTGACAGGGAACGAATTCCATGTCAGCTGCAGTTGCTTCACGGCTGCCATTCGACCGGCGGGGTCCCGTAGGAAGTCAGGGTACGACAACACTCCAACCTGAACACATAAAACAACACTGACAAATTATAATTAATGAAAGCAATACTTATTCCAGTGAGCCACCAGAACAGTTAATGGATAATTTAACATACACGAAGGACCGTGGCTCAAAAATCTGTTTTGTTGATGAGCGTCATGTATCACAGTGAGACATATTATTAATATGAGAGCGACATATCTAAATATTACAAATATAAATTTCAAACAAAAATCAGTGCGGATTTTAATGTCAATTATATTAATTAATGATGTTAGTACTGGCACTTAGATGCAGTATTCGTTTCAGAAGAGCACATACAAAAAAATTTTTCATTATGTTCAAACACATTAATTATAATATTAATCTTGCTAGTCTCAACAAAATTATATAAATATAATCGATGGAATTTAGCGATGGAAAAAAATGAGGAAATTTGAGATAATGGCTGCGAAATACACAATTCAAACTCTTTTCCTGTACGGAAGACGTCGCAAGAACATCTAGAATTAGCTCTTACTGGCGTCTGAAGCTTGCTATTGGGGCCGTTTCCGTTTTTAGAAAAAAGTTCTGATACCATTAAAATGGCTGTAATTGGTGAGTTTAAGTTGCCGTATTGGGCAGAGTGACTTCACTCACCCGTGGGTGATGAGGGCAGAGAGACTGCACTCACCCGTGGGTGATGAGGGCAGAGAGACTGCACTCACCCGTGGGTGGTGACGGCAGAGAGACTGCACTCACCCGTGGGTGGTGACGACAGAGAGACTGCACTCACCCGTGAGTGGTGACGGCAGAGTGACTGCACTCACCCGTGGGTGATGAGGGCAGAGAGACTACACTCACCCGTGGGTGGTGACGGCAGAGAGACTGCACTCACCCGTGGGTGGTGACGACAGAGGGACTGCACTCACTCGTGGGTGGTGACGACAGAGGGACTGCACTCACCCGTGGGTGGTGACGACAGAGGGACTGCACTCACCCGTGGGTGGTGACGACAGAGTGACTGCACTCACCCGTGGGTGGTGACGGCAGAGAGACTGCACTCACCCGTGGGTGGTGACGGCAGAGTGACTGCACTCACCCGTGGTTGGTGACGGCAGAGTGACTGCACTCACCCGTGGGTGATGACGGCAGAGTGACTGCACTCACCCGTGGGTGGTGACGGCAGAGAGACTGCACCACGCAATGGTTCACCTCATCCGTCACGATCACCACGTCCATCGCGGGGTGCCGGCTCAATCTGACGATATTGATACGTTAATCTCACAAGAATTAATTACACATTCGTTTCTGCATAACAATATCGTCACTAACAGGTTTGTTTTGATTATGTAAAATCAAATGTTATGATCGTGCTAGAACTATCAACCTTATAACTGGCCATACGGTTAGTATTGACTAAGCAAATCTTCATTGCATTCATTAGCAAATCATGGGAGACTTCATTAGATTTGTTGCGTTGGCCATAACCCCTTAGTTAAAATAGCAACTTACAGAGCAACTTAGAAAAAACTACCTACACAACTTAAAGCGTTCAAATTTTCAACCGAAATGCTTCAACTCTACAACAACTTCAACTCTACAACAACTTCAACTCTACAACAACTTCAACTCTACAACAACTTCAACTCTACAACAACTTCAACTCTTTAGTCTAGGAATACCGCGAAACGTGAGACTTAAACTTTCATGGATTGAGTTATTCTTATTTAATTTTAACGCATAACTTAACGCAGGTAGTCTAGAAATACCGCGAAACGTGAGACTTATATTGTTATTTCCTGAGTTAATCATATTTAGTTTTAAAGCATAGCCTCCTTGGGCATAGGTGCTATTGTCTGAGTTGCTTCATAATTATTTTCAATGATATATTCAAGGTAATGCTAGTATCAATGATGGTACCATATCGTTCTCGAAATGAAGGTAAAACTGCAAAAGACTTTCACAGAAAGGTATAACGGAAATGTTTTTGTTATGACCATGTAATTGATAAAAATTCTAGTTTGATTGAAAACCCAAGGCCTATTTCAACCAACTCAGTTTTTTTACTCCGGTTATGTATCGTGTTCATTCCTAGCCAGTTCGTTTCTTATACTACCTTAGGAGCCTCAGCGCTAATATCTGCGGTTATGCATGTATAATTAACATGCACTTCAAATGAGCTTCGCTTGTTTGGAAACTGAAAGCTATATTAACAAGTTATTGTAAATATGTTAGGACGTTATACCAAATATGTTAGGACGTTATATATAACCAAAACTTTCACATGTTTCTGTAACTAAACTAGTGTTACAGACTCAAACTCACCTTACTAGACTAAAATTAAAATTTTGGTCTCTCACATATGGATTCACGTAGATAGAGCTAAGACACCTCCCATTACCGTGTGATGGACAATTCTACTCGTCAGTTAAGATGAACTTGACTTAGCAAATAAGTTAATGTGCACTAATAAATAAATAAATAAAGAATTCAAAGGTGCTGTATGGAAAACGGTACTTAAAACCAAACATGGTCCAGGATAAACAGAGCACTAGACGGTCGGTAACGGATCAGTAGATCAAATAAAAAATATTAAATCTGTACCTCTCATTCATTCGTCATACCAAAAAAAATTGCTATCGAATATATATCAACGAAAAATAATCTTATTTTTCATCATTAACCTACTTGTTGCAATGTAGAAGGAAACAAACAAAGCGTTTAATGCTGCCCTCACATATAACCACAACGAACAAATTCACTGATGCATAGAGTTAAAATAATAAATATAAAAACATTTACAAATAATACAAATAAATGTGATTGGCACATTAATCCCATCTCCACATGCATAACCAGGACTCGGAACTTCAACGAGTAGTAACATGTTATAAGATGACACCATTGAATTCATGACAATTCTAAAAATATAAACATACAGTACATATACAGTAAATACCAATAATAAGTATTCAAACCAGTACCCAGTCATATACCTATGTTGATTTGATGGAAAAAAACATGTAAATTGGTAAATTAAACAGACTGACTCAAAAAAATAGGCTACCTAAAACATTCACCAGACGAATCACCGTATTGGCATTAAAATTAAACAGAACTCCCTACCACCACGTAATCACCTGAAATGACCCATATTCCCACCTAATTATCATACAATTATAGCGCTGGTCACCTTGAGATAGCGGCACGGCGCCCTCGATAGGACTGCGACCCAGCAGCAGGTCCGCTGAGGCGGTGTCCAGCCCCGCGGCGCTGCCCAGAGCGTCGCAGTGCGGCCACGTGTAGGCGTGCTGGTCCGCGGCTACGGCGTCACCCACCACCACGCAGCACACCAAGCATCTGTATACGCACGTCTGCGCCGGGAGATTTGCGTGGTCGTCAATGAAATACGCTGCTTTTTTCAGTTGAATTGTATGTATGTACATATGCATTTCGTATAAATAAATAATATGTTTTTTTCAGTTGAATTGCATGTATGTACACACGAATTTACTTATATACAGTATCAATTAAAAGGGCTTTTTTTCCAGTTGAATTGCACGTATGCACATATGCATTTCGTATAGATAAATAAAATTTTTTTTAGTTGAATTGCATGTATGCACACACGCATTTACGTATACATCAATTAAATGAGCTACTTTTTTCAGTTGAATTGCTTGTAAGCACATACGAATTTACGTATACATCAACAAAATGGGCTATTTTTCCAGTTTAATTGCATATACGCATTTTCGTATAGTATATTCAGCTTATTCATGCGAAAAAATAGCCAACCATATAACAGTTTTAGTCCAAGTAATGAAACAAGTCAATTAATCCGTGGGCTCTGTTGTATCTAAAAACCCCCGGTAGGTCTAATTATTGCATTATATTGACTATACAAAAAATTGTATTATACCCCCGGCACTGACCTGCTGTTCACTGTCCTGTGCACTGTACACCCCCACACGGAGGCTCTCACGCACGGCTCCCGGAAGCTCTTCGCCCTCAACTAAAGCAGAGCCTGGAGTTTCCCAGGGAACCATGGAGCCCTGTCAACACACGACGGTGTTTTACGTATTTTCAAGAAAATTATCATAAAAGTGGTTCACAGAGAGATCACCTGTACTTGCAAGAAAAAAATTACATATAATGAAACATTCCGAAATGCTTTGGATGGGAGAAAGGTTCATAAAAAAGAAAGAAATGAACGATGTTCAAGATTTGGAGAAACAATATTCTATTGTCAAATAACAAAATGGATGAACCACTCTTGCTTAACCGAAATTAAAGGAAAGTTCACATGTCGTTGCTGCTATTGATTGTAATTGTTTTGAAACTTTGGTGGCCGATTGTGCTGTTAAAAAAAATTAGTTTCTTTTCTTTTTTACGGTAATAATATAGTATCCTTAGCTGCAGCATAGTTAACTGCCGATGGTCTTCTGCCAATCATTAATGATCGCAGGAAGAGAGTCATATAGATGACTTAATGAATAAACAAAAAGAAAAGCACTAGAGCTACGTAAACGAATTGCTTGGCTTATAGAATGATAGCACTAATGCATGATGAATTATAACCTTATGTATATGGCTTGCAAAGCTTCGTTGATGTTCAATAACACCACTGTAACTACACAACTATTGTGCCGCACAAATAGAACTTACTTCACAATTATAGCAATAATAAAGTTAAACAACATTTCAACGTTTTGCTCATATAGCATCAGTGAGAATGAAAAGCGGCTTACTCTATTTCTCGCGAAGTCCGAGCTGAGTTTGAGAAGCTGCTGCAGTTTCTCCATGAACCACCTGGATGCATCTTCAGTGTTGCGGTTGACATAACCGCTCGGTCGGCGTAGACCGGCACCATCCTGCCGGTCCTCTTTGGTTCTTAGCTTCCTGCGCTTACCAAACCAGCGGTGGCCGATGAGCCGCGTTAGAGGGAGACTTCTGTAGTGCGTTTCTTGTGATGATTCATCAAGAGAGTACAGAGCCTCGGTGTCAGAGTCATCATCATCAGAACTCTCACTGCTGAGGGTGGTTGCAATGCTGGCTGCAACCACCGGCTTGTCGGATACATTTTTTCTAGGATTGGGGTGTTGGAGCTTCTTTTTCTGATAAGAATTGCCAGGCGTTTGTTGTGACGAGCTATTAGTTGAGCAATTATGCGTTTCTTCAATGATTTTAATGTCTTCTTCATCAGTGTGATCCTCTTCGTCTTCAAATACTTCAGTGTTGTCAATGCAAAGAATATTGCAATCCTCTTCATCCTTTGAGAGCGTTTCTTTACCGAGAGATGGCTCGGTATTCCGCTTTGAATGCAAAGTCTTCGCAGAAGAATTGTCTAACGCACTTTTATTAGATCTATGGCCAGTACTTTGGCGCGTGTCACGCCTGCTGGCAACATGACCAACACGTTTGTCTGACCCTGAATTGGAATCATAGACTAGAACTTCTTCGACCTCCTTGGAATCTTTCATCTTCTTCGGAACCGATTTGCTTTGTTCTTGTGTAACCGCCGCATGGTTTGTAGTTCTCTTTTTAATATCGCCAGCTATAGTCACGTCTTCATCATCTAGCGTTATAGGCATAATAGTCCTATGAGCCGGGGCACATTTCTTTCGAGATGTTCGATCCTCAACGTCGAAATCAGAGTTTTGAGACTCGGACAAAATTTCGATCTCAGTTTCAGGTGACGACGAACGTCTTTCAGGTTCTGCGGGTAGAGGCTCGGGAGCTGAATTGAAGGATGGGATTTTAGAGACGTAGCCAAGCTTCCAAGTGTTGGCTGCAAACTCGTTGAAGGCGTATATGGACGCCAGAACATGGCTGCACACTGCCGACACTTGGGTCTCGGAAGAGCCCTGCACACGTGATGCACACGAATAAGTTAAAGGCAAATTAAGAAAAGAAGTAATAAGCTGAATACAACAGAAGAATTCTTTCTATTATTAGAGCTGTGAATTCTAATTCATGGAGAACACACTGATATATTAATGAGTAAAAAAATAATTCATACTTACATTTTTCAAATTAAAGTAGTATAGAATACAACTAAGATTCCCCAGTTACTGGTTTATTTGGAGACACTTGGCGTGCAAGTGATCATACTTGTATAAGGGAACTTTAATTCCTCCACGACCCGCTGCCCATTTTATTGTAGGCTACGACATCATCTACTCATCATACCATACCTACGACATCATCTACTCATCATACCATACCTACGACATCATCTACTCATCGTACCATACCTACGACATCATCTCCTCATCGTACCATACCTCGTGTCCCACTTCCTTCAGTGCTGCAAAATTACGCGATCATTTGAGCGGAAGGCTAAACATCAGATAAAATCCATCGTCTCATTTTTGAGCATGTACGTAGTTTATCTCACTAAATGATTTCAGGAAGGCTAATTAGGCTACCTACAGTTTACGATTTTTTCCAACTGCAAATCTTCATCGCCCAAAACGTATGTATACATAATAAAATGATTAGTTATGTTGATATACCGTAACTAACCCAATAAAGATATTTCCAACCATCGAGCATAAATTTAAAGTGTCATAATTCGTTTTACGAGTGTACCATTAGTGCGATGCTCGAGCACCCATCTTTCGCTAGTATTCATCTGAACTTTTTACGTGCACAAAGTCATTCTAGAAGAGGCAGTTAATCCATTGAATTTGAGTCTGGTGTTTTTCTTGCCAAATTTATTGCATTAGCCAAGCTGGAACATAGATATGCAAAGCATGATATAATTTTAGAATATGACCCATTACGTATGAATGTGTTCTCAAATACTGAGGAATGTGGCTAGGGATTCAACTCACCGGGATTTCCTTGAAGAGCCTCCAAGCTCCAGAGGGGCTCATGGCGTGCACAGGGAAGCCACAGAAGACAACGTCGCTGTTGTCATGAGAGCTGCGGACGACGTTACGCAGCAGTAGCGCTGAGGACAGCACGTGCTGCATGAGCACGCGACGCGCGTACGGTACGTCGCCGTCGCTGCCAGGCCGACCTGAATTTTTCCAACTGGTTGTTGAATCAGTGGAAGTAAGAGTACTCAAGTCTTGAGGATGGAGCTGAGTTTGGAAATCTTTTGCTAGGTTGAGAAGAGCAAACTTGTGTTTCTTTAGCGAATCCGTTTCATTAGTAATATTCTTCAATTTTTCATCCAACGAATCACTTGCACTAGATTCCAGCATGGATGGAAACAATTCAAAATGTTTCAACATGAAAGCCAGCCACGGGACAACAACAAAAAGAACTCCTTCCTTACACCATTCCTTGTTTTTGTTAATGAGCTCAATGTAATCTATGGCGCTCAAATTTCGTCCATTGATGACTTTTAAGCCTTTAGAAGTGAGATAATTAGTGTCAATGTAAGGTGCCTTTTCATCCACCAAGACGACTATAGAATGAGGCTGCACGCCTCCAGGAAACACTCCACGAGGGCGGTTCACCACAAGCTCGTCCTCCACGCCCCTTGTTTTTCTTTTTCTCTTTTTAGAGCCTGAACTGACGCTTGCTTCTGATGGAACAAGTTGCTCTTTGTCTTGCTTAGGTTGCTCCTCTAAATCTATAAGAATTTCAGCCTTGCTATCATTCTTCATCAACTTGGGTCGGGAATTCTTGGCAGGTGAAGTTATGAGAGGCTTAGGAGCAGGGTCAGGGCATCTTTTTGGCTCGATTTTTGAAATGTAAACCGAATGTTCACCAACCTAATATGAACAGAGAGAGTCATAATTAAGCAAATAGGTACATCTAACAGTAATTAATAATATGAAGCTGAAAACATTAAATAGAAACTTCAGTTCGGAAATATTTTTAAAAATTGTATACAAATTTTAACACTACATGAATACCATGCTAGGCAATGAAGGTAGTACATGATATAGATTTAAATTATTCATAGTCAGCATTGTCATCACTGATACTGAGGCATCAATGCCTCCACACTATTCCCACTTTGAAACAGTATTTTCTCTTCTTGATTGCACTAATTAACTGGAATCAAATTTTATGAGATGCTTAGTAAAATGATTTTGACGGCTGAACTTATGCAGAATGCAATCATGTTTAACAATAACTCAAGACACTTTGGAAGAGTCAGAGGTTGGTTTATTTCCTTAAAACTGAACATGATTTTTTTTGTGAAACAAAATATATCAAAGTCCTGCCAAAGATACTTACATTTCATTTCTTACTCTTGGCAATACTGTCTCAATATTATCATGGGATCATGAAAAACAGGAAGAGAAACAAAACTCTAATTATCATGAACCACTTAATCTTTCATGACTATTCACATTTGTGCATAATTTATGAACAGAGCTGATATATAACTGAAGAAATTTCCCTCGACATATGAAAATAATGCATGAAGAATGTTTATTTCTAGTGGAAAAAATTACATTAGTTGACCTTTATTGGGTTGATGTTGCGAACAACTAGGCTCAACACCCAGTGGCCCGGAAACTTGAGTGTGTGGAAATGCTGGCAAAAGCGTGAATATGTGACAGGCCGTCCTGAGTACCCAAACTTTGACCGCAGGTCTTCATTGATGCGGCAGACCAGAGAGTTTGGAGAGCACCCCTTTGGAGTGAGTGTCATGAAGCCATCCACAGGCTAAAGAATGAATAATTATTAAAATATGGTTTTATATAAACAAGGATAATAAGAATTAGGATATAGGTACCTTAAAGGGGGATGACTACAACCAGTGGGGGACTTTTGACATTTAAGAATAAAAGGCCCCATAATTAAAAGAGTTCTTGCCATAAGAAAATTTTGTTGATGACTCTTGAAGTATTATGAGATACTGCCTACAAATGCAGTAGAGAGATTTACCTATTTTAAATTTTATTATGTGACTATTTGTTTCACAAAAAGTAAGCATTAAAAGTACACAAATTTTATAGGTCTTATCAATATTTATCCCTCTCATTTCTCAACTATTTGACAGAATAACCCCTAATTTTGATACATTACACTACAAGCCTTCCAGTTTCATGTAGGTATTAAAGCCAACCTAGCCAATTGTGATGGTAATAAAATGAGGGGCTTAGCACCCTAATGGGGTGAGTTGGACCCAATCATATAGTAATAAGAACCACATTTTATCATTTAACTGATGTTTTTTTTAAGTGTTACAAGTGCTTTTTTTCCAGGTTACTTATTGCTCTATATTCATATTGTGCCTATTAAACAGTGACCAGCTACATACCTAACTACCTACAATAACCTAAGACCTACAAGCACTCTTATGGTTCCTGCGCATACAGGAAATATTTGGGGGATAAAGTAGATGGAGTTTTAGATTTAATAAGGGACAAAAAAATAAGTATGATCAAAGCTGCCAAACAGTATGGCATAGGCAAGTCTGCTTTGTGCAACAGAGTGCATGGAAAATACAGTATGTTATAAAGCCTGGGGCCAATTGGTTTAGAGTAGACAAGGGGAAGATCATTGTGGAAAAACTCATAAGTGTAGTGATTATGGCTTCCCACTTCAGCCTATGGACCCAAGGATTATTGTCAAAAGCTACCTGGATGAGCAGAGGTAAACTGTCCCTAAGTTTGCAATGAATGGGCCTCACTGGCCTTCTGTTTAAATTACATAACTGCATTAGTCACAATTGACAGATTTACAATTAGACTATAGGTAGTAGTTAGAAAAGCCTAAAATCAATAAAATTAGTAACATAAAACTAAAATTAGTAACACACCTCATTTCCATCATCATCCAGCTGAGGTTCAGAATCATCTTTGAGCTTGGAAAGTTTAACCCTTTTAACTGGCCTTGCATGCTTTTCGAATGGAAGGCTCTTCTTTGGGTTGCTTACAACAGTGGCTAATACTGGAAGAACTGGATCAACAGCAGCACTTGCCTGACCCATTGATTGATTATTCCAGTAGCCATAATTGGACGAATTGTTTACATTTGATATTCCAAAATGTGTCCCATTACCAGACATATACTGTGGCTGATATCCAATTGCGCTCATGTTAAAATTGCAATACGTAGAATAGTCCATAGTGTTAGTCTGGTTATAGCTGGACTGAGAAGGATGTGGTAAAGCATTCCTGCCCACAGTCTGTTCAGGATAGTGTCCAGGCGTTGGATTCCTTCCATGAAAGTGGCTTTCTTTCCAATTTGCAGGAGGATTGTGTGGCACAAAATTTACAACTTCATCATTTGAATCATCTGATATAACAACTTCTTTATTTCCTAATCTATCAAAAATTGATTTCCTAATATTTCTATTGGATTTTGACATTTTAATGAATTTCTGTGAAACTAAATAGTAAAAAATATATCTGGAACAAATTAGAATAAATAATATATATTATATTTCAAAATATTATATTTTCAAAACAATTGTAATAAACAATAGCATTGTAATTGCATTCTGGAGCCATTCCTGTAATACTCTGTCACCTGGAGTGGAATATGATATATTTAGGTGAATTGGGCCACATGAGCTTTCTTGCCATTTTTGAAGCTGCAAGATTTTTGCCAGATGAATGACCTCCCATCTAATTGTTAAGAAATTGCACAATGGGGGGGATGGGAAAATTTCAATCCTTTATGCTAGGCTGTAAAGAAAGGTTAACTGATCATATGAGCGAAATTCATTTACTCATTGAGAAACTGACTGCATGCATTGGCATTTTTTTCTCATTCAATCATCCACAGCCCACAGGTGGCTCCTGTCTGATTTTCCAGCGTGAGTAAGTACACATATTTTAGGGAATAAATCTTGAAGATTATACACTATATTAGCTCTTACAAGGAATCCTCAATAGTAAAACTGGCAACACTTCAGGCCTGGTGCGAAATATATACTCTACCATTCAACATTCAACCCATGACCAGAAATACCCTCCTCCTTTTAGAAGCAATGAGACTCTTGCTAGATGAACTATATCCTAATTGTTAATAAAACTGCAATCTAGTGCATTCTGATGCAATATAAGGCATTCTGATGCAGTGATGCAGCATAAGGCATTATGATGCAGTGATGCAGCATAAGGCATTATGATGCAGTGATGCAGCATAAGGCATTATGATGCAGTGATGCAGCATAAGGCATTCTGATGCAGCTTAACTTTAAGGCGTTCTGATGCAGTATAAGGCATTATGATGCAGTGATGCAGCATAAGGCATTCTGATGCATAGATATATTCCATACTAGGTGGCATCCTGGGTATGGTAATAGAGCATTGTAATGCATCTAGTTCATTCTAATGCAATCTAGTATGTCCTTGTGCATTTTAATTTGTTCCAATGTGTTTTAATGTTTTGTAATATGTTCTAATCAATCTAATGAGACTTTGAAATCTGTTCAAATGTGAATTTGTAAAATGCTATAATGTGACTTTGTAATATGTTCTAATGTGACTTTGTAGTTTGTAATGTGTTCTAATATTACTTTGTAATCTGTTAGGTACTTTGTTAGGTACTTTGTAAAATGTTCTAATGTGACTTTGTAACATGTTCTAAGACCTTATTCAGTTATTGCGTCGCCGTCATTTGCGTGCTCTACTGCATTACAATGCATTCTAAGAGATACTGGTGCATTTTGTTGCATTAGACTGACACATATAGCTAAACAAAAGACATTATAACACAACAAAACCTAACACAACAGGATAGGCACGAAACAAAACCTAACACAACACTCAATGTCAACAGGATACTGCAGGCATGGAATATAACTACTTAGCGAGCCGCGACTGAATTTTTCGAGCCGTGGTTTTATGGATTTGCCAGCCATGATTCCATTTCTTTGAGCCGTGATTCCATTTTACCGAGCCGTGAACTTGATATCTTGGCCATGAAAAGCCACTTACAAGGTGCGAATTTATTTACAAAGTCCATGCACCTCTTATCCCAAATCACTCATTTTACCCTAAAACAGTCAAACGGCAACAATAAAATTTGTCTTTACTCTAAGTTGAACACGTATTAATGCAGTCTGACCGCTTTGACATGACTGCAACTACGCGCAATCTTCAACAAAACGTTTAGTTGTTTTGTTTACATTACGATGTTTAAGTTTTTTCTGCCGGATATTTTGGTGGGAACGGTAAAGCAATGCAGATTGCAGAAGTTGAAAATTTTATGAAATGACATGTTTGTGAAGTGCAAACCGCGATTTTTTTCAAGCAATCAAAAATTCATGACATTCGAGCCGTGAGATTTCATACCTACTGAAATTATATGATATTAGAGCCACGATATTTCAGACAAAAATAGGACTTTTCCACCCCGACCCCTGCAGGATAGTAGGCAGAGGCGCAGAGCCGCAGAGGCCGCCTCCGCCTATCCTGTTATCAATGTTATGGCCATCGGCAAAGTCCAACACCAACAAGAGACTTTTTAACGTTTTTAATCATTCTTTAGTATCAGATGCCATGAGTCAACTCGCTCAACTGTCACCAAACACCATGACGCTCACGCATGGCGACCGCGACTCATGTGCCATTGCCAGTATCGACTATCCAGTACGAGCAAAACACGCGGCCAACAAACGATTCATCGAATGCGGCGGAAAATCAGATTAATCCGTAATTTTATGACCTGGGTCAGTAAATATTATCTTCAGAAAACTGCAGCAGTATGAGCCGCGGCCTCTCATATTATATTAACTTTAGGTACTTACATCATATCGCTTGACACAAATCTACACATTGTCTGGTTTCCATGCCCTATGGTTATATCTATAAAAGTTCCGTTTATTTAATGTTTATTCAATGTTCATTCAACAACAGTTTTGTTGAGTCAATGAATAACATCGCTCTGAAATCGAGAAAACCAACTACGAGTTTATCTTGAACAATTTCATATCATTATCTAAGAGAGAAGTAGACTTACTCAGTCATCGCTATTAGGGGAACGGATTAGTTGTGGATCGTACAGGGCCAGCAATTGCATGAGTATTGTGGTGGAGCGAAAAAAATATATTTTCGAAATTCGCTTTCGGACTATTATTTCTTTGTATGGACACTTCGCAAATGAATACTCTTCGAAAAGGTTTTCGATCAAACTATTTCGAGATTTGTCGCAAAGCCATTGAAAATTCCGCGAGAGTGATTTTCAGTTCAATTTTGAATTCAATCAAATGTAAAATGTTTTAATTCTTTAACTTCAAGCATGATTGTTGCGTCGATTCTTCTAGACTAATCTTTGTGACTTAGTAACAAATATAATTTGTATATTCCAGGTCAAAAGACTGGAAGAGCATACAAGTCGAGGAAAAAAGCAGCTGTGCGACAAATAGGCTTTATCCGGGCTTGTCTTGGAACGCTTATTGTAGCCTCGGACGGCCAGCTATAGCTCCGAGCTAATGCTTTTATAAACATCATGCTCTGCTCTGCGCTTTATTTCGAAAGAATGTAAATATTATTTATTGGTGGGAACGGATACCCTTGCAAAAAATCGACTTCGGCGCTTACTTTTCTGTATTTAATTGCTGTTGACAAACAGAGGTGGGCAGTAGCGCGCTACATGTAGCGGCCGCTACATTTTCAGTAGCGGTAGCGGCGCTACATCTAAGCAATTGTAGCGGTAGCGGTAGCGCCCGCTACATATTTAAGTAGCGATACGAGGTTTTGCCGCTACAGCGCTACCGCTACATTTATAGATAAAGCCTTTAGATTTTACTTAATAGTATTAAATATTATTTAAAAACCAGCATGATACATACATAATATAAATTACAGAATAAAACTGTACGAAAGATTTCGGTGTAATGTCGTCAACCTCAGCCTGTTACTAGTGTCAAATGTTAGTTTTTACCAGAGGTAGGCAGTAGCGCGCTACACGTAGCGGCCGCTACTAGCGGCCGCTACATTTTCAGTAGCGGTAGCGGTAGCGGCGCTACATTTAAGCAATTGTAGCGGTAGCGGTAGCGCCCGCTTCATTTAGAGCATATAGCGATAGCGGCCGCTACATTTCAAAGTAGCGCTGCCCAGCTCTGTTGACAAATAATAACATCATAAAATTTATCTCCATCGTAAGTATCTGCATGGCGAGTGATAGACGACAATTTTTGATACAGAATCAATTAAGTTATCAAATGAATTGAGTGATCCCCTATGAAGATTCCGACGTAAATGTCCCTGTTATCAAATGCATTTATATCTGCCTTTACCTACATGGACTTCGTGCTGACTACAGCCAGTGTCCCATTCCTAATGGGACACTGGCTAATGCCAGTGCCCCCATTATGACATTTCTAACTAACTAATAGCTTATGCCCCCATTATAACATTTTATTGCCGGTATATCATTGTCACTAGGAGGTTTAAAGTATGCACAATAATCACGGGAAAGGTTATGTATAGAATGCATGGTTGTTGTAGTAATTGCCCATCCTGTTAGGCTGTTAGTGGCGACTAGGTACGTAAGGGAGGGGGTGATAGGTCAGTTTTTTCCGAGCACTTGGTGCCACTGGTAGTTCCACGACCATCCCTGGCTCGCTGACCCGCCAGAACCATTTTATTGCATTACACAACACACTGGACAAGCCAGGTACTCATTTATCAACCAGAGTTGGATGAATGGCTGAGTTGACCATGAGCTGAGCTTCCCAGAAGAACTTGTCCTCAGTGGGACTCGAACCCGGGAGCTGGGTGCTGGGTCTCACCACTGCACCACCGCAGCTCTAGAATGCATGGTCACATTCTTCGGTAAATCCTAATATATGTGAGGTGGATTTTCCCGACACACAATTAGAGATTGCTTTGTCAATCATTGCGATGAACGAAATCCGTGCTATTTTCATTTAGCCTTATTCGGACTGCATTGGTTCAACCATTGCTGTATACTTTCTATATAAATACATTTAATTAAATCGTTCCCAAATTTTGCTGCCTCAAAAAGTTTAATTTATAGAGAAGAATTGCATTGAATTTTTTCCCTGAGAAGATACCAGATATTTTTCAGGTGTGCGGGTTAGGAGCCTGACGCTGTAAGTTGAAAGGGTCGCTTTGGGCACATGTCAGGATTTGCCTCGGAATTTTAGTTTTGAAGGTTAAAATGTGCGACACTGAAAAACGGGGGAAATAGTACGATTTAAATATTAAAATGTGATTATTGCCATTATAAATGTAAATTACATTGAAAAATAAACTGGACGAGCTTACTTTAATATGAAGCCAATACCTAATATGAAGTTTGGTGCAAAATGTAAATTTCAACAAATATTTTTTTTTCAATTAGGTACTCAAGTTTTGCAATCATTGACTGGACTCAGAATGATGGGTTTGAAACGATCGGATTTAGAATAATAATAATCTCAAATTGCATAGCTACTGATTGTCGAGTGACGTCCGGCTACCCTCCTATAATATAAAAATAACTATAAAGTATAATATTGCAAAATTTTACTTGAACTGACGCTGTGAAGAGACAAAGCGCATTATTTAATGCGCATTATTTAATGAGCGCGTTATTTATTTTTCCATCAAGGAAACCTAAATCTGATGCTATAGTCAGCAGTGAACGTTGAGACCCAGATCTTGCTAACATTCATGCATGAGAACGACGGGATCAAATTTGTGGAAAGAAACATCGCAGGCGCGGGTTTGATCCCAGCTCTGTGCGCCAGTTTCTGGTCAGAATCGGCAAGGAGGCCGGGCGGTTAAAGCACAGCAGAATTGTAGCAGTGAGTTGCGAGTTCGAGACCGCAAAATGCTGTGAATGTTCTGCGATGTTAAGAATCGGCGACAGGCCTACGGCCTAATAAACGCTGAAACTGCTATTACAGAACGATGAGTCGTCACTTCGTTGACGCGCTCTGGCTTTGAACTGCAGGCTGCAGCCGGCCTCATTCATCTCATTGTCGCCCGCAAGACAATGTCTCATCGACGTTTCTTTCACGCAATGCTCCCGGAGTTCTATAGTCGTCAAACTAGAACTGTACTTCCTAAGCCGTGACATCCGTATATCTAATACATAAGCCGTGACTTACATATATTTAATACATAAGACGTGTCTTAAATCTCAGTACGAATAGAAACGTACCCTTGACCAATGAATAGAATTGATTGTCTTCACAAGAAACGAAGGTTGTCGTGCTTGAACTTGATATATCATGGCTGGTGCTGCTAGATTTGGGCACAGTCGTATGATCATCGCCACTACGTAGTTAAATGGTCCTCCGTATTCTGTCTGACATTGTCGAAAACATATATTTAGAACAATAATTTAGAGCTTGATTTTTTTGTACCCTGTATTTGCTTCAGTGCATCAAATTTTTGATATTGTATGTCTTTCGTTGTTCAACTGATGGATTCGAAAGACGACTGAGTTCATCTATAAGTCACACTATTTCCTTTGTGTTTCTTTTAATAATACGCATTCGGTCATAGCTTTCTGCGAATATTCCTGCCTTCATACTCTGCCTTTATTTTTAGGTACTACGGCAACATTATTCTGTCATAATCATTTAAATTAAACTAGCTGTTACCCTTTTGAATAAAAAACGATGGTAAATTTCAACGACCTTTTCGAATGAAGATTGATATTGTATTTCTTGCTTGGAGGAATCTCAATGAAAATTTTTACCAATTGTGTTCGTAGATTAAAATTTAATCTTATTTTCCAGAAGGCTTACGTCGATATTCATTAAACACTAAAATCTTGCTCATCAAAAGAACTCATCTTAGTAAAGCGCCCGACGTTATAGCAGTGCAGGAACGAACATTCAACTCGCTGATGAGTGTCACAAACTTTCGTAAGTCGTTATAATTATGTCATCTCCTCGTCAATGCACTATTGCTTAAGGCTCCCGAGCCAGCGCGTCTATATAATACGCCAAACTCTGTGATAAAAGAACAGTTGTAATTTTGATTCGCAATAAAGGAATGGCTTCAATCAAAGCACACACCATGAATATAAAATGTACCCACACTTTCGAGAAATGTTTACGTGGAGACTCTCGTGAATTCAATCAAAAGAAACATAATCGTTACATTGCCGTGTATGAGAGTTTTTGTATTATTGTATACATAAGTTACTGCAGTCACTATTGTGTACATAAGTTGCTACAGTCAGTATTGTTTACATAAGTTACTACAGTCACTATTGTGTACAAAGTTACTACAGTCACTATATATTGTGCACATAAGTTGCTACAGTCACTTTGTGTACATAAGTTGCTACAGTCACTATTGTGTACACAAGTCACTAAAGTCACTACAGTCACTATTGTGTACTAAGTTACTAGTCACTATTGTGTACAAAGTCACTACAGTCACTATTGTGTACATAAGTTACTAGTCACTATTGTGTACATAAGTTACTAGTCACTATTGTGTACATAAGTTACTAGTCACTATTGTGTACATAAGTTACCGCAGACCACATAATTGATAAGCCGCATTTTACAAATGGTGTCATATAGACTCTGCGTTCTTTTGCCAAACCAAACTGGGGCTGGATGACCCGAACAACGGCGTAATTTCATTTCCATTTCGACAAATATTCGCTCATTTTCTTTGAGTGTAATATTATTTTTTAAGCGTTAAGTGTTGCGCCAAGTTTTTCATTTTAGTCGCTCCCTTATTTGTAGCGAAACGTAATTAAGCGCTCTACATTTTATTTCCTATTTTGCGCCAAAAGCAGAATAGTCGTACTTGTTTCCAAAATATACCGACTTCGGATGGGTACGATATACCTTACGAACAAAGTTGACTATGAAATTTCTTGCCGAATTTAAAAATCTTTTAAATTCATGCAACTTAAATGCACTGAAATGAATTTTTGACCAGTACAACACGATACGGCGTTAAATGATACACGTCGAGTTTAGTACAGCTGTGACTAACTTATCATAGCAAGCTATAAGTAAGTATTTGACAGTATTATAATTTAGTTTCACTTCCTGAGCAGTGACAATGCCAGGGATCCCTGAAACTACGCCGAGCTCTGACCCGGCTGAGATCATGGCGCTGATGTTCAACCCTGTGTCGCTGCAGACGGTTATATTCCCGCTGTTCAGCTACCTGCTCGGCATCGGTGTGCTGCTCTACGACATCATCACCTTCTTCATCGCTGTCTCCAACGGCACGCGCGATCAGTACAAGCCTGTCGGCAGCAGGCTCGGCTTCGCAGCTCTTAACGGTTACTAACATTTTCGGTTGTATTTATATAAATTAATCTTGAAAATTTTAAATAATTAGACAACAACGGGTCACTCTTAAAAGCTGAAGGCGCTGAAGTAACTGATAGGATAATGAAAAACGTTACTTAACTTCTCGGCAAATTCGCGGAATTCGTTCAGCCGCGGCGTTCCATCGATCAATCGTTCGCCACTTCAGCGACTTCGGCGTCTTCAGCTTTTAAGTGTTACCCGACAACAAATTGGTACTGAAATATAAATAAGAAAATTAAGGGATATGTAATGATTCAATGAACGACTTAGTTCTCAGCGAAACGTTTATGAAACCATACTAATTCCTCGAGAAACATCTTGAATTAACACCTGATGATAAATCTGTGACATAAATTTTCCTCACGAGTTTCTTCATTGCCGTAGGAGGAGGAGCTTCACCATCGCTGCAGCAGCGCTCTGGCTCCATGTCACCAGTGCCTCCTGAACCGTGAGTTACTGCAGTGAAAAATCTATAAGTTTGACGATAATTTTTCATAATTAAAAGCTTCTATAGAGTCTTAAATTTCTTAGTAAAAAACGCTACCATATATTGACTTGATCGTTATGGGTTTCAGTTAAAGTGTAACTATATATTTATCGAGTTTTAAAGTAAAATTCATTAGTGAATTTATTCAACTTACGGACTTGTAATTTTTATTGGTGAAATCAAAGTGAGTTCAGCCTGCCCGTCCTCGTGGCGTCGAACATGAGGGGTAACTCTCACGGCTTTGTTATATCAGGGGCAATCCAGCACAACCTACTGGCTGCAAGGATTGGTTTCCCCCCAGACTTTGAATGAAAAACTTGTGCGTGCATCAATGAACCATTTGATAGTTTCTCATCTCCAAGAGTCGGCCAAAGTAAAAATATATTATGAAACTAATCTAAAGTAATTAACAAAACGCTGAACTTCTTTTAACAAATTTGAAAGCGATCGATATCTTTGACTGAGTTTGATTTATTAATATCTATGAAAACATTGATGACATTACTTCGTCTCTTATATACTTAGCTCTATATACGACGCAAGGTAACTTCAGGGCCAAAAAGTAGGGTAACTCAACTAAGTTGCGTGAACATCTATGTATAAAAATTCTGCGACGTTACTGAGAATCAATTTTTTGGTCTAATAGCTATTCTGAGACGCAGTGTTGCATTGCTAGAAATATTATTGCATAGCCATAATAACCTCAGCGGTTATTTTCAATCTAAATGTGTCAGACTCCAGGTTTAGGCGATTCATACAGCAAAATCTCAGCTTCAGTTTTCACAGATTATTTTTCAGCGCATTTTCTCATTTATGAAAAAAATGCACTATTGTGCTCGCCATGTCCGTCTGTCTGTCCGTCTGTCTGTCCGTCTGTCTGTCCGTCTGTTTGTCCGTCTGTCTGTCCGTTTGTCTGTCCGTCTGTCTGTCCGTCTGTCTGTCCGTCTGTCTGTCCGTCTGTCTGTCCGTCCTTGACTTCACGTTTTCGTCGACGAGAAAAAGCGCTCTCTGTCACTCACTTCAGTGAGTACTGAGTTATATTTTTTATTACATGGTTGTCTAGCGTAACATAAAGCTTTATTTCTTGTCTTAACAGATCTCTGGACTTGCTGAGCAACGTCCTGGCAGCTATTTCTTCTCCGGGGCAATTTGGTCCGAACAACGGGTGACGGTGTAAAAAACGTATTAGTTCAAACTTAGAAGCCTAATATTTGTATTACTTCTAATAAATAAACTATGCTTTTAATACGTTCGTAATTTCTGATAATTTCCACGTGTTAAAAATCTATAAGCAAGCTTTACCTAGATTTTTCTTGGAGGTGCCGCGACAGCGAAAATTTTTAAAGATGTATTGGCGGCAACAGTTCACCAGATGAACACAGTAATGAAAGCGTGAGGGGATATCATTTCATAAAATATGCACCAAGTTAGTTCTATAATAGCTCTTTAATTGCTTGCCACCCAAGTCACTTCTGTCACAATGGAAACTCACTCCAATTTAAAAGTGCTTGAAAATATTCTCAAGCGTTGTACAATGTATAAAAGAAATATTTTAATTAATGAAATAATAGTGAAAAATCTCTCTTTCACAACTAATTATTAAACTCTTTCATAACTAATGCTAACTCAACTAACTAACTCTTTCATAACTAATTAAACGTGAAATTTAATAAATAAAAAACGTGAAATTTTACGTCCGCTAAATAGTAATTAAAAAATCAGCGAAAATGAATTCAATTGTATGGGATGAATTTTTGCCCTTCTTGAGTCTGCCACCTACTCCGCTGGCGCTTCAAACTTACCTTGGAACTCAACGTATGTTTAACTGCATTTGCGAGTTCGTGAACTGAGAAAAATGAATGTATCATGTTGTCCTAATAGTGACACACATTCTTCACATAGCACTGATACGTTTTTTTGCTGGGCAAAAGTTGGTAAGGATGTCCCACACAAGGACAAGATGTGCATTGCTCTTAACTCTTAGGTTTGGTTAACAAGCCGTCAAATTTATGCCGTGCAGCGCCGCGCCGACTGTTTCAGTTAAATAATAAAAATAATGGCGGTTTCAGCGTTTATTAGGCCGTAGGCCTGTCGCCGATTCTTAACATCGCAGAACATTCACAGCTTGTTGCGGTCTTGAACTCGCAACACACTGCTACAATTCTGCTGTGTTTAGCCGCCCGGCCTCCTCGCCGATTCTGACCAGAAACTGGCGCACAGAGCTGGGATCGAACCCGCGCCTCTCTAGTGCGTCAATCTTGACACTCTGAACTGTAACCACTGGGCCTAATCAAATCCTAGTTCCTGATCAAATGATCCGTTATCTAATATGCGAGAATAGAGCAAATATTATCCGATCGAAGCTGTGAATAAATTAACGTTGTTCATCGAGGAAGACCCATTGAAGCATCTCATGTTGTTTGAGCTCTTCATGTGTTCTGATTCTTTCTCTCCTCACACTGCCCGTTAATAAAAATTATTATTATCATGTCACTTTCATACACTAAACTAATCAAATTATTAGTAATTATATTATATTCACGAGGAAATTAATTCTTCGTGAAATTTGCAACAGATAATTCGCAGACGCAAATGTTTTTCACAGCGTAAAATATCTGTGAAATTTTATTACTATTTTTCATGAAAATTAAGATTTTGATTAATTCACATTAATAAACTGAACAATTTTCTAATTAAATCAAATGTAATCTGTTTAAATTAATTAACCATCTATAATTTTTTAGAGCTTTAACTAAAAGATTATAACTTCAATGTTGTGAAGTTAGATACAAATTTATTCCGAGTTGAAACTTACGAGTAAATACGAAAATACATCACATCACTCAGATCGTCCTATTGCTTGAATAATGGGAATTTCAAATAATATTATACGAGGCAAGCTGTCTGACAAGTGAAGTATATATAAATAACAACGTAATTTACTATGGGAAGTTGGTTCTGCAAAAAGAGGGCCTGCGTTTAGTAAAAGTTTCTGTATGAATGTTACTGGTAGAGCATCATGTTGTTCATATTCCATACATGGATTTGAATTGATATTCAAAGCTAATCCTATGAGCAAAGTTAGATGAATGAGGCAAGTAAGATCATCTCTCTGTGCCATGTAAGATCAACTTGAGTATGAATGATATTTTTTATTGTTAAAAAACGAGTAGTAAGTAATATTTCTCGTATCTTCTTAAAGGTGAAATTTCCTATAATGCATAATTTCCAGCCCGCGCAAAAATCATAATTGCATCATTATGATATTGTCCTCCAATATACACATAATTTGAATGATGTCGAACTTTAACAGGTCTAAAAATTTAGTGCACCACATCCCCTCACACCCCATCCCCTCACACCACATCCCCTCACACCACATCCTCTCACACCACATCCCCTCACACCACATCCCCTCACACCACATCCCCTCACACCACATCTCCTCACACCACATCTCCCCTCACACCACATCCCCTCACACCACATCCCCTCACACCACATCCTCACACACCACATATCCTCACACCACATCCCCTCACACCACATCCCACCCACCCCTCACCCCTCACACCACATCCCACCACCATCTTCCGTAGGAAAAAATTTGTTTTTTTTACATTCTGACACAGAAATGCCTTACATAAAAGCAAATGAAATGTCTATACATGTCCAATTCTTTGACCCGCGATAGTTACGCTGTCACTGAACAACGGTTTTCTATCTCAAGTCTCTCACACGTGTCATTTTTGCTTTGTTTTTACCCTACATGAAATTTGAGTTCATGTGGATTTATGTTATAGATCCCAAGTTATATAGGTGCTAAAGCAGTCTTTCGTTGTAAAAAAAATATATAAAATAGGTTCTCTGATGAATGAAGATGCTAAAGGCGATGAGATTGGCTTTAAAAGTTACAAACGGCCGTCACTATCATACTTACTTAGTGTAAATATGTATTATGTAGGTTGTTGTTAAGAATATAAAGGCTTAATATGTTTATTGATGGATTGAAGAATAATAGCGCCGACCAACACCCCTAGCAGTCGTTCTCACGACGACGATGGCGAGAAAATGAAGCTAAGCCTGCTTATTTAGTTATTCATAACTGGCTAATCTGAATTGGCATTAGCATAATTGGCTTTAGAATCTTAAAGTGCTCATGTCGTTTACTGAATTTTTATTATTCAGAAATTACACGAATATTGTTCATGCTTGAAAATTGATAATATGTTTGATTTAACATTATGCAATTGCATAATAGTGAACATTGAAGTAAATAGTTGAATTTTCGTTAAGAAGGTTCCATGAAACTACAAAAAATATATTTAACGAGTTTTGGGATTTAATACAAATAATTATGACGTTTACAAAGAATTATAGTACGAGTTGTGAATTCGGGTCTCTACAACTCATACTTTTACGTTCTACAAAGCGAAGCTTTCTCTTCTAGGCGCCTCGGGGGCACCCCGGCGTCACGATCTCGTTGCTCTCCAGGCAGTGGGGCAGATTTCATTCGCGATTATGTCGTTAGCGCTACGCAATAGAATAGAATAGAAGTGTCGGCATTGAAGAAAATAGGCCCATGGCCAGTTGCCGATTCCTAATTTTTTTGTGACTTGATTTGCAAGGGATCCGGCCTTTGGAACCCGATCTTTTCATAACTGACGATTGATTGAGATAGCTGCTGGACTTATTGCCTGGTCCGTAATGAAACAACTCGTGTACTGCCGACCTAATTGCTAATTGTTTCATTCACAATTCTCGTTTATCAGAGAAATTAGTATAAATAGATCAGAGAAATTAGTATAAATAGATGTGATTTAATCTCAACTTTGTTAGATTGGTTTACAAATTATTGGCAATTGACGAAAAATTCTATGTCAATGATGACTTCAGTTAGCTTTTCAGATAAGAAACCGGAAATGTTTAGAATATTTTTTGCAGAAATTACTGTTCTATAAACAGCAATGCCAAAATTAATACTAGTGAAGCCCGTGTTATTTTTGCTATGTTTGATTTATGAAGAAGCGAATTGTGAGGATTACTGCCTTTGAACTCGATTTAGTTTGAACACGGCCAATAATTGACAGTCCTGCGAATGACCGAAGAACTGAATTGTAAACCAAGTAAGTTAAAAGCTGCTACGCTTCTCATATGGAGTCATTTGAACAGATGATTGAAAAATATTTAATCTGATTCAAGTTATAGAAATTAAAAATGGTATGCAGGTAGGTTAAACAAACGCTAACCATATAGCATAAGGATCATGTTTATTCAATTTATAAACCATCGCATGAAATTTTAGAATTGATGATCAATTGACTTTCTTGTTCTTCATAATGAAACAAATCTAGAGAAATATGTTATTTCCTTGTTTTAGTGAAAACTGCTCAACAGGTGTCATCAATTTGATCATCATAGTATGAAATGAATCAACACGTTTCACTCCGGCAAACATACAACTGGGTAAAACTGAAAAAAAAACTTTGATGATCACATTCACATTATTTTATTATGACTGGTTTTCTCATTTCAATTTTTATGCAGCCACCTGATATTTGTATGTTAAAAGATAATTATATCCATATTCCTTTCACGGATGACGTCAGAAACATAAAAACAGGAAATTCGCAAATTGGAACTCGTATATTAACATCTCACATCAATGACAATTTTTGTATTATAAATATCGCAAGTATCACTAAAACACCTACATCTTTGTATTTTTTAGGATATGTGAGAAAAGATCATACGGCGTGCTAACCGTTTATGCACTATTCACTGTTAAAAGAGGGCGCTCTAATCTGGATTTTTTAATTGCATAAGATGAGAAACAGGAGTTCGATGGTACTTTGAGTTATGTTGACTCTGTGTTGTGTACTTGTGTTACGTTGGAAGACGGACTCCACCAGTGTTCGTTTTGCTGAAAGTATTCTACGATTCGCACAATTGTTTCTAAGTAGGCATGGGTCTATGCAAGGATTATTATAGCCCTTTACCTATTAATCTATGCCTGCATCTCTCTTATAACTGCTTACCTATAATTTTGGTCTTCCCCTGTGAGATTATACATGTGTAGTTCTGTTTTTCATTTTTTGCTAGTTTTATTTAAAAAAAAAAACAGGAAGACACGGATGAAAACACAATACTTTTTTTTCAGATCATTCTTTGTGTTCTTTGTTCCATAATGTCAGTTAATGCATTTACAAGTGATGATTTTTTCTATTAATTTATTTATTAAAAATTTTGACAACATGACAAAGACTTGAAAGTTGAAGTAAATGTGGTCAACTTAACAGTCTCACTGTACAAACTACAAGAACAAACAATGCTACGCTGTTTTGAACCTATGAAAGACTAGGATCCTACAGCATAGGACTAGGAGACATCTTTAGGTCTTCATATATTTTGAGAAGCCAACATGCCACCTGTGAGGCTGTGAGCAAGCCATTGTCTGCCTGCAGCCTGATGGCTGATGCCTGCACAACAGTAATTGACTTGTCATTTTTATTTGTTATGATTTTATAATATTAACTCCAAGATCAGGCTCAGCCACAAATCCCACAATGGACCACAGAGAGCTCATTGCTGAAATGGCCTACATTGAGAAACTCTCAACTCAAGTGAGTAAAACTGTTAGCTTGTGTTAGCTGTCCATGCCCTGGCAGTCAATTAACTTACGTACCAATTATTTTCACGTAGGTATAATTTTTGCCAATAGGTATTCTAGGTTGGGTTGCATTTGGGAAGATATACATGTAAGTTAGGTATTGTAAAATTTTCCTATGCAGAAGAAAATTGAAATTAATATTGATAAAAATAATGTACATATATTATATAAAAATCTGAAGTTTGGAATTTTATGGCAATAAGGAACAATGGCAAGCAATAGATACTTACATAAATTAACTGTGATGTGCTTCAATAAGGCATGAGGGGTATTTTTCTCAGTCAGTTATTTACTCTTACATTACTGATAAATACTTTGTTATTAATTATCACCAATAAATAGTAATATTACATACTAATTTCAGGAGCGACTCAAATTGGCTCGTCGGCGGCGCATCCAGCAGCTGAAAAAACACCACCAGCTGGAGAAGGAAAGTCTCAGTGCCAGCAAGAGGGAGAAGACCAAGCAGAATGAAGCATACAAGCGCCGCCGTCAGAACAGCAAACGAGTTGTGTTTGTTTCCAGTGTCATGTTGCTGGAGGCAGCTGCAAGGAATGATATTGATGAAGGTAGCTGAAATAATAAGCATGAATTTCTGATCTAATGCTTAATGTAAAAGTAAAATCAGGAAATCAAGATCTTGAAATTGATCAATTTTAAGTTCTTGATCCCATGTTCCAGAATATGGCCTTTCAGCAGTTTGTTTCATTATCAACATTAATTATCAAATTGCTAAAATGAAATTCTTGTTTTCAAGTTTTAAAATTTCTTTCTTCTGGATAGTTCTAGCAGATTGGTGATCTGGCTTGTTCAAAACTTTTGTTTTCAAAATTATTGACTATTAGTGTGTGAAAATACCTCCCTGTCCTATATTGCAAGCATATATATAACTAATGTGATAATACAATTGCCAAAATTCTTTATTTAGAAAGATTTTCATTTTGTTGCTTCATGGTCTGTTATTGGAGACAGTTGTCCATTGATGTTATCACATGTGCAGTGCGAGAACTACTGCAGTCAGGCTCAGTGTCTCCGAATGCCACCAATGAGGATGGTTTGACTGCCCTGCATCAGTGCTGTATTGATGACAGTGCAGAGATGCTAACTCTACTGCTACACTATGGTATGAACCTTCTAATTGTACCACACGTGTTTCATTCAAGTTGATATATACCACTAGAGGCACCAAAATAGATTTTTTTGCATTCATACTACTCCTATCATATCGAATTGTTAATATTATTTTGACATGAATATTGATATCTTGTGCATAGAACTGCATCTCACGTTCCCCTCATTACAGGCGCTGATGTCAATGCTGCCGACAGCGAGAAGTGGACGCCATTGCACGCAGCTGCCACATGTGGCCACCTGCACCTCGCGCAGCTCCTTGTGCAGCAGTGCGTTACTGTCATGCTGTCCCTCCTTTCATCACATTAACTTGTCTTAATACTCACTAAGCTCCTTGAATGTCTTACTACCTATTTCATTATCATGAAATATTAAAATGACTTCTTTCAAACTTTGAACCTTTCTTTTTATCACATTATTGGAATAATAGGTTGCAATATACTTGTCTATTGAAATACTTGCTAACATCATAAAATTTTTTCAATATGTCATTATCGCAAGGCTTTCTGTCAAAATTTGAATCCTTTATTCATCAATATACGTTCAATGATATGTTGAAAATGAATATATGTTCATTTGCAGCATCGCGACCCTATTTTCAGCCCTATTTCTTTTCATAGCAACAAAGGAATTTTTGTCATAATTAATAATTAAGAAAAAGCAATTACAGGAAGCCCGTGATATCTGTTGCATGGAGTTTGGTCTCAAATTATTATGTCAACCCTATCCCTATACTCTAAAAGTGATTTATCTCACTCTCTAGTCTATAATCAATAAATACAGTAATGCAAGAGGTTCTTACCTTGGTTAACTTTCTGTATTTCAACCTAAATTATGGAATAAAGTGCAAAATTACGATTCTGCGCGACTTGTTTAGGTGACAGTGTAATACGATCCACAAGTGAATCTAAGTTTTCCCCTGATCTGGTGCTAACATGTCTTACAACATTCTCTTCTACCTCTTTTCCAGCATGGTTAACATCTCTACGATAAACCTTTACCCTCCTTCCTAGCCTTTGTTAATAAATCACTATGCCATTTCTTCAAGCAATTCCCTGTAGTTCCTCTCCCAAACCAGTTCCTTGTCTCCCCCAATCCGTTCCTCGCCTCCTCAACCAGTCCTTGTTCCCAAAATCCGTTTCTCATTTCCATAACCAGTATTCTTCCCCAGCCCATTCCCTCGTCTCCCGAACCAGTTCCCTTTCTCTTACAGCGGCGCCAACCTTCTCGCGGTGAACGCGGACGGCAATATGCCATATGACATCTGCGAGGACGACGCGACGCTCGATTACATCGAGTGCGAGATGGCACGTCGCGGCGTCACGCAGGCTATGATCGATGAGACCCGCACCACCACAGAGACCGCCATGCTCGACGAGCTCAAGCTCATGCGCGATAACGGAGAGTCGCTTCTTGTGCGCGATCATCAGAACGCTACTCCGGTCAGTACTTCAAATTTAGTCCTAATCCTATACAGTTTTTTTTTATTTCTAAGTTTTGGATAGCTGATATATTTGTTCAACATTTTTTCTGAATAGAGATACGTAGCGGCCGAAACTTCTGATTTTGGTCGCTTGAATTAAATTGAATGAATTCAATTAAAACTCGTCAATGAGTAGAGTTATTTATTCAAGAGACTCCGAAGTTAAATTCATGGTTCATTAATCTATATTAATTTAGCCGCTCACTGCCTAAAGCATAACGAGTGTCGTGATGAGTGAATTTATATGGCAGGCTACGTAGAAAGAAATTATGATATTTTTACAATTTGCCACTGTTATATATTTTCACATATAACATGAGTATTAATCGTTGCACTTATTTTCGCTTCATTGTCACAAATCTTGCAGTAAATTCGACATTCTTCCTGAAAATAAATGCTAATACAAGTAATTTTTGAGGAATTTGATTGCTATACATGTCTACTATCAATGTGAACATAAATGCTCAAAACAAGCCATTTTAAAGAAGGAATTTGAATGATCGTCGAAAGGTAGGAATTTAAATAATCATAATAAGGTAGGAATTTACATAACCATAAAAGGCAGGTATTTGAATGTTTTTCTTGTTTGTCAGTTGCACGTGGCAGCTGCCAACGGCTACATGCGCGTGTGCGAGTTTTTGCTGTCACACAACTTCCCGCTGGAGCTGCGCGACGCCGACGACTGGACGCCACTGCACGCCGCCGCATGCTGGGGACACCCTGACGTGCTGGAGGTCAGTTTGTTAACCACCAGCAAGTGGGGTGAGTCTCCTCACCCCCAGCAGGAATATACGCAGTCGTTGTTTTCTGTTCAAGTTTGACTAGGTACTAGAATATGTATACTAGGTTGGAATATACTTGCTTATTGAAATACTTGCAAACATCGTAAAATGTTTTCTGTATGTCATTATTGTAAAGACTTCTGTCAAACTTTGAACCCTTTATTTATCCATACATGTTCAATGATAGGTAGAAAATTATTGTACGTACATTTGCACCATCACACTCCTTTTGAATGTATGCTTATTTTAAATTTCCTTTCATAGCAACAAGGAAATTTTAGTCTTAAATTTTCAAAGATAAATGACATGAAATTTAATCACTCATCGTTCAATTTAGACCATTCAAGCTGATATGAACAACGGGTGCATTGGCCAACCGTTCAAGATTGGCATAGTAACTGAACCTTCTTATTTTAAAAGAACTTTGGCATGAAAAAGAAATCTTACTAGTGTTCAGCTATTGTTCACTTCTTGGACATGATGAAACGCATTCCAAATGAATATGAATTTCAATTTGATCACACTGTGTACTTTTTTTATTTGTTTCTTTCTTAATTTCTTTCTTTACTCTAGTTTGGGTTCATTTTATGATATTAAATGAACCCAACACATTGAACTTCTGTGTTGAAATGTATGCGTAGCATTTGTAGATGTTCATGCTCGTATTGCCATAAACTTGTAGGTGTTCATAAAAAAGAAGTGATTAGTAGGCGTCTTAGTCAGTATTCATCATCAGCTTGATATACAACTTATGCATGATCACCGACAATCTCAGCTGCTGGTGCTACACGGCGCCAATTTGCACGCGCGCAACAAACATCAGGAGACGCCCTACGACATCTGCGAGGACCAAGACCTCAGGGAGCGTCTGCTGCAGCTGCTCACCGAGCAGGAGACCCGCAGGCTTGGTGACCACCGCGGCAGGGTCAGTTCCATTTAATTCTTAACCACCCTCCGGAAATTTGTAGACCTTTATAAACCTATATAATATCATTTTATTGCGCTTAAAATTCACGTTTTCTTCATTTAATCCTTGCTGATGCAACTTGTTCGTGTGATCCTTTCCATATAAAATTTTCAAATTTGACCTTAGATATATTTTCGATACATTTGTTTAGCTCAAATCAGGTTTACAGTCTAAAAATATCTATGAGGCTGAACATAATTTCAGTTTGAGGTTTGCCCTTACCTCTTGACAAGTTTTATATATTTTTTTCGTCGAAGAATATTCATCCCTGCCTTACTCAGTAGATTAATTACAGGAGCGTCGTAATCTAATGACGAATAATTCTGATTTTTCTTAATTTTCGTCCATTGCTTAGATTCGTCGCGGTCACAGCGCCAACACGCGCACGCAGTCGGTGCGTCGGACCAGCATCAGGGAGAAGTGCCTCGCCACCAAGCGCGAGGCTCAAGAGGAAGCAAGAATGCGCTTGTCAGGAGGTGCCACGAGTACCCCTAATGGTGCTGTCATTAATGGGAACAATCTCTTCTGGGACAATAAAGACGATTCTGAAGTTAATGACATGAACAGTGACGCCGCTTCTGATGACGGCAAGAGAGAAGACGAGCTAGTTGACGAGCAGATAAAATCATCTGACGTCAAAGAAAAAGACAACGTTGAGCAAGGGTCTACTGATGATGTTGATTCTCCTAGATATTTGTCTGTAATCTCGAAAAAAACCCACGAGTACAAACACTTATCAGATCGATCTGAAGATGGGAACTCCACCAATGATGCAAATAATTCTCCATCTGACCATGATTCAGTAGAACGTTTGTCACCGAGACAACAGAACGAATCGCCACCTCTTGGCTACTCCGAAGCTAGCGTGCGCAGAACCAGTGTCAGTCGTTCTGCTTTAAGTGTCAGTAAAAAGCCTAAACAGGAGAGCGATTATGGGAGTTCCTTCTACAATCGCTCATGGGAAGATACGGAGAGTAATGAAGCTGATGATGTCAGAACTGTAGAACCTGCTGGTTCAAAAATTCCAGACGACGAAGAAGAGATTTACTACGATGACAGTGTGAACAGCGGCTACAGCAACAGCGACCTTGTATTGTCTCATTTCGGCCCAAACGCAGACGCTATCAAGAAGATCCAGTCTCTCTCTGACGTTTACGTCCCTAATAGTCGGACGCCCTCTTCTGGTTACTCTTCAGAAACTGTTTCTATCGGCCCTCACACCGGTATGAAAGACGTGACTGATTCACCTGATTTATCAACTGATAAATTGCATTCACAGTCCAGTATAGTTACGAATTTTCCCTCTGTGGTTACAGATCGTAACCAGGAAGCAGAAAATGCTTTACAAGGGAATGCCAATTTCAGCGTCATGGAAGACGTACAATCAAGGACAGTAAGTAGACAAATGTGGGTTGCTGAGGATAACTGCGAACGATCATCTGAGCCTGATATTGGTCAGGGATCGATTAGAAATATGGATGGAGGTATTTCTCCTTTTGATCGATCAAATGAGCGAGGACTGCTAACCAACGCTGAAGACTCCGTAGTGCCACTACTCGACCCTCAGCCTGATCTGATTCCAGAAAGTGCTCGTCGCAAACCTGCTCCTAAGCCTCCGCAGAAACCACCCAACCTCATAGCTGGAATTTCTCCTCTGCTTCAAATTGCCAACACCCAATCCAAGCCAATTTCCTCAACTGTGATTGCTTCAGCCTCTCGACAGTCTACGGTGACAGTCTCACACGCGACGCAAGTCTCCTCCAACATGGAAATGCGTTCGACGTCGGCAGCTGCTGTCCCGCCGCCGCCAAGCGAGTTGCACGCCAAGCTCGACAATGTTGTAACTATCAATTCTCCATTAGAAGGATCCTTGGCACTGGAAAGACGGTCGTTACAAACACGGCCCGTACCTCCGCCCAGAACCTCCTCCATCAAGAGTGATGACGGCGAGCAAGAGGCTTCGGCCGTCACTACCATCACTTCGAAAGCCACTGAACATCACACATTGAAAGAAATTGCCGAGCCGCGACTTGAGTCTGGTTATGGTATCTCAGAAGTAAGTATTCCAGAAAGTCAATTGCAAGTCAAGAGTCCTGCTATTTTTGACTCTCAGCTTAATTCCGGCGGTAACAATGCTATCGATATCCACGTCACAGTTACAGTAAAACCCTTAGCTCCTGGTACCTTAGCAGACTTGAAGCAGCAACGCGCCTTGAGCAGAGGACCTCACACATCTCCATCATCAGGTGACGGTGGTTCCGTCGCAAGCGGTACTCTGGGGCGAGCGAGTGGTGATGCTGTAGGCCCAAAGGCTTTAGATCACACCTCCCAAGTTCTTGTCGGCAATGATAACTTTGCTTACGACGGTAACAGCGTCGGTGGAGAAGTCGGACAGTCAGTATCGTCTGAACGGCCATCCTCTACTGCTACTTCCACTCTACGGACAGAAGCGTCACCGGCACCTCGCCGAAAATACACGGCTCCTTCTGTTGATTACCCTGCCCCTCCCGACTCCAGATCTTGCTGCGTACTGCTCTAGGCTTTTTGTTTCTAAAGGATTCGTATATACACGGCAGTTTTCTATACCTACATTGAGTGTTATTTTACTGCAAACGATGAAATATTCTCAATTGTTTTTTTCTCTCCCATCCCCATTTCTGTCATTTTTTCAGTGCAAGTGATCGAGTGGATAATTTGGTCTGCCTATTCTGCTCCTGCGATAAAGATCTCATCTAATTATATTGGCCATGATTTTAATTTATTTGTCAAAAAGTTGCTTTCTAAAAATCAAAGTTATTCCTAAAATTTAATGCCTCGATTTCAACATTTGCTCGCTCGATTTCAACTGCAACCTGCATTATAGTTCGTCGCGATTGCTGCTGTAAGCAGTGCATAGATCCTCGATAACCGAATGCTTCAGAATCCTCTGGAATTGATGCAGCATTGACAACCTTTACAGTAGTTATAAAATTGATGAGTGTCGAAAGATGTTGATAATGTTTTTGTTAACCGTTATTTGATGGTTAGACTAATATTACAAAAATATTTGTTGCACGAGATTCTGGACTAAATCTTGACGAAAAAACGTATGTGTACTCGTACCATATATGTTTAAATTCTATTGCGTTGCATGCGTCCGCTTTTTGCCCAGCATTTATAACACTTGATTAGTGAGTCTGTCTTGTGGCCTAACCTTGTTAATTTATTAACGAATAATGAGCAGTTAGAAGCTTAGAAAAGTAAAACACTCATTGAAAGTTAGCATGTAAATCATGGTGCAATATCTGACTATGTAAATCGCTTCGATGAATCTGATGAATGATATTATAGTAATAAGTATTAATTTGCATCTGCAATATCTATATTATGTGTTATTTTTAATCTTAGATTATGAATTATTCAGTATGATCGAGTGGTGTTAAAAAATTATTTATCTGTAAAATTTGTTTACGTACGATTTTAAATTCACTTTAGTGAAGTTCCCGCAAACAACCCTCTTGTATTCTTACTTGTCATTGCAAACTCGCATGTATTATTTACTTGTCTGTGATTGCGTTCACTAATGCTACTGAATGATGTAAACGCGTGCAGCTCTGTGCCTTTGGTCTGCATGTGCGATAATCATCATTCTATTTACACTATGCATTCCACTTGCTGTGATAGCTTCTATAATTGGGCGCTGATTACGCGCATGTTTTGAACGAATAATTGTGATCTATATTAGATATTATTATAAAGGTAAAACGTTGTTAACTTGCGTTTATTCATACTATCGTCGCGCATACGCGCCACAAGACTTTCGTTCAATCAGTTGATTAGACGCCACCTTGCAGAACGCGACTCATACAAACCTTTTGACTACAGAATTACCTAGTGTTGGAAGCTTTTTTATAGCTATGAATGAATCCTAGCACCATCATTGATAGTTCCTCAAACGAATTTATGAGTGCGTGTCCAGTCTTATCCGTCTTCCTTGAACTTCTTCCCATTCCTCATGACGGCAATTTAATAGCGAATATTGCGATAGTTGTCGAGGTCGTAATCGTTTGCCGCAGTGGTGCGCTCAAATATCGGGCTTCCTCTATATGTCGCTAAACTGTTCAGTGTTTCAATGCTATTCTACTGACGGAAGTATAATAGCAGTAAAATAGCTACTGCTATTATACTGCACGGTCTACTCTGTAACGGAAGCATTTATTTTTGTGCTGTAGGTAGATATGAATTTTTATTATATCCCGAATTAATCTCTTGTGATATGTATATTCAAGTAAGTGAGAAGCTTAACGCGTTTCAACAGATAAACTGTCGCCTCATTACAGGTGTTAGGATTGTGTTTGTCTCTCATTCATTGAGCTTGAAGTAATCAACAAAATATTTGCGCTTATTTTTAACATTCGATATGTGCAGGTCTTTCACGGACATTAATTATGAATCAATATGAGTCTTCCATTGCATCAAGAAATGCTTACTATTTTTTCACAGAAGAGATATCTAATCATGATAAATATTTGTGATGTAGACGTTGACATGTACTGTTATTGGTGAGAACATATCCTTTCAAGTGACTTTGAGGTCGCTCCAGAAATGTCTGCAGGTCAAATACGCTCAATATTGTCTGGAAGGCCAAATTTGAATCTTGCGTCGAACTTGCTGGCTCTCAGCTTAAGTGATAAACGTGCGTAACAACAATGAGGGTAAGAATAATGCTACATCGTCAAGGAATTCAATTTATAAATAAAGTCTTTGTGGTTGTACTTTGAGCCAAATGTAACTCTTGCCTTCTGTAAGGAACAACCGCGAAAAATTAGTATTTTGGGGGACCTGCTCGACCCAAGTTTTGTTTTGTAAACAAAAAGACCGAGCGGCTTCGTATGACTTGTTCTTAGAATGTTTAGTTACAGATCAAAGGCTATCGGATATTCTGGATTGGTACCTTCGTTGTTGACGTGACTTGTCTTTAGTATGCCCTGTATATACACTTCAAAGCATTTGCGCGGCGTCGACGAAATTGTGTAATACTCTTGACCAATAAGTTCGAGCCTTGATATTATCTTATTTATCATTAGTGCCTGTAACAATTTACCCCCAAGTTTGATGTAGAAAAATATATTTTTGTACATTCTCACTCTTCTGCTTATGCCGAAAGTTTAATTAATTTGCGGCTATGATTTAGTGATGGCAATTGCAACGCTTCATGTCTTGCTTTAAGACAGGTCGATATGAAGACTCCGACTTTTTGTTCTCATTCTTTGTGTATTTAAAATTTCCGAGCTGATATGTACTGCCGTCCCTCAAGAACGTTCCCATTGGGTGCCCAATATTATTCAGCCTAAGGGATTTTCGGCAAACCCAGACCAACTTGTTTTATCCGTATAATGCTGATATCCGTCTACTGTTCTCTTGTAATTAGCCTCCTTCTGGATCGATGCTTTGTAACGTTTTTATGGTTACAAGCAGTCGTCTCTGGGCAAGACTTGGTATATATACGTTTTCACACGGCTATTCTGATGTAATACCACATTTTCCCATGTAGTTAATGATGCTGCCTTCGTATATCCAGGTATATTTCTCGTTTGATTTTACGGAGTATGGATTTAAATGTCAACCTATGATCCCTATTTTTGCTCTCTCGTGTGGCTCTTGAGTTCCTGTTTCAGATTAAGGATAACGCATAATTTCGAGAGGCCGCCTGCTCAGTTAGAGTTCAAAGTAATTCACCAGTGAATCATTAATCCCATTACGTAATTACTGCAGGGAAGCTAACTATGAATTTTGATTTTGTGAACAATAATATTGGTATTTCGTCAATCCTTTCATTTTTTAACTTCCGCTATCATACAACAATTCTGTGTTGGGGCTATGAAAAATAATTCTTTGCAGTTAGGCGATATCATGTACTTACTCTAATCGCTCAGATCAACGCAACTTTTCACCATTGATTGACTTGGAGGATAGGTTTTCTTAAGTGAAGGGACTACAAGACGTAACATTCACAATAATTTTATCTTAATTTTAATTACATTGTACAAATATGTTGCACCCGATGAGGAATTTAATCTGTTTGTTAGCTACCATTGACATATGAGATGCAAATAGAATCTGCTATTGAATAGATTGCTTCAACAGAAGCAATTTTCTGCCTTTGCTGTGATGTCAAACTTAATGTTAGAACTATTTCCTGATCGAATAGTTATAGTCTAAAACACACATTCCGTCCGCTTGAAGAGATTATTTTTACACGTTTATAACTACTTAGCATTAGAGATTTAGTTCACCAAAGTACGAAATACAAAGGACGCAGCGATTCTCTCGGTAGTATTTTTAATGCATTTTGTACAGTAAACTGGGTTGGCTTACTCGAGAGTTTCCGGTAACCTATTTTCTCCCATTGCGTGTTCACGCATGAGACATGATTAATTATTAATTATGATCGTTTACTTACGATTTACAGGCAAGAGAAAGGAAGCAAAGACGCCGACATGTCCTATCTAAAACGGTCGGGAAGCCCAGGCACAGCGATGGCAATTAAGAAGTAATTGGATTTTGTAAATCGAGCCATGCGGAAACGCCGCTTTGTGGTCATAAGTGCGGAGTGTAATAATTCTATACGAAATTATCTACACGAATATTTTAGGCTTGGGAAATATACAAGCAGCATGAGCAAAAAAACTGCTGAACAAAGATGGAGAAGCCAAAATAATATTAGAACAGTGACAAATTGCATCCTTCATGCATCTGCAGATCGCTATTACACATAATAACTTCACTCGCGAGGGATACGGAGTTTGACAATGGTTGTGGGCGGCGAAATAGGATAGCAATTGTACTTTTTTTGGTCTAGGGAACGGCATATCTTAAGATAGAGCTCAAAATAAAAATGAGTTTAACAATTCCTCGAGCTATGGATTAGATACCGAGTTAAGAAAGTTTTTGGAAGTTGCACATGTTAAAATGGATGTGATGGGAATAGAAAACTGAAAATTTTCGGAGAATATTACTGATACTAATCTTGTGCAATAGTGAATTTGACTCTGCGCGAAATCCATAACCGGCGTGGCGACTGAAATGTACGAGAAAATAGTTTCGGTATCGATTTATGAAATAGTAACATTTCCCAAAATTGAATCAATTTCCGAGTTGAAAGGTAGTGAATTTAGGTTTCTAATCGTGGGTACGTATTCAGGACTATCACAATCGAGTAAGAAATTTCCAGCAAGGTGATAACTTCATGAGGGCGGTTAGCTAACGAAACTGAAAATATAATGTAATAAACATTCAATTATCCGACTGAGAATGCCACGCACGCTAATAATAACTTATAGGAATTATAGTATTATTATATACAAATGAATCGGTGAATGCAACCATTAGCTCAAAAATTGTAAAATTTGCCAAAAGCATCATACGCAAGTTCACTTGTATAAGATAAGTACAAAAATCGTGCGTACGATGTACAAAATTAATAGTGGATTTACAAAAAGCTAATCGTAAACGAAAAAGTATTTAATACCTACTTATATTCAGCGGTTATTATCGAGGCGCACGCGAGCCGGTGAATTGTACAGGTAAAAATGTCACAAGCTCGAAGACCAAATCTCGCAATTATAAGTCCATTTTGGATATGTACGCACATTGTAATTTATTTATTCAGATGATCTTTGCATCGGACACTCGAACTGCTTGGGCGTACAAATTTCCATGACGATCAACTCTCTCAAACTTATAATGCTCAAATTACTCAGATTATTTGTGTACGCCTAATAAAGCTCACACGTTTAGTGCGAAAGCTTACCCTGCAAATTTTCGAAACCGACTCACTAATTTGAAATTGCATCAAGATTTATTTTTGTAAATTCATCCAATACAAGCTTATTTTCTGAATCCCTTGTAATATAAATTAAAGTAAACCGTATTATTCACCATTAGAGACAAAGTTCAAGATTGTTAAAATAATATCCACTTGAAACCTCGTGCAAATTGCTTGTTATATCTCTAGTTGGTTGCCAATTGACGAATAATTGGATGACGTCATCATTAAGATACTGGAGGTGGTGTTGGCATCGAGAGCAGCGGGCTGTCGTTGCTCTCTGAAGGCTGCGGCTGCTTCTGTGCCTCCTGGTGAGCTGCCACCCGACGCCTCAAATTCTCGTAGAGCGTCTGGCTATTCTCACTCTGCACAAACATAATATACTTCATATACTTAAGCCTTACAAAATTTTGCCGCTTTTAACTAAGATTTTCCCTCGCCTTGTAAAATGTTACCAAATTCTAAAGATCAAAACAAACACGAAATTTTTCCATTACAATTATGTCATTTTAAGTTTAAAGACAATCATAGAAGTTGTACTAGATAGTGTTCGGACGACCTGACCATATTTTTTTAGCATTTATTGTAGGTAGAGTGTACTACTAATATCTTGCCATAGTGACTATCAACAGACTGATGAGCACAAAGTTACCTGATGGGTGCCAGGTTGAAGAGCCTTGAGCAGAGTCTCCCTACGATTGTCAGGCAGCTTGTGATGCACGTACCACACAAGCTTCATGAGGTGCCGCATGACATTTTCACGACTGATGTTAGTTAGAAAGAATTCATCAAACACAATAGTACAAAAGTCCTCAAGAGCGAACTCCTCAGTCATGGGGATAAGCGCCGCGACAAGAGAGTGCAGGAAAGTGTCGTGGAAGGCGCGGTCTTGGTGGCATGTGGCCAGGGTGCCCAGGACGCGCATGACGCCGGCGCGGTCGCGCTTAGAGGCGCAGTGAAGCGTGTAGTGCATGGCTAGGACGCACGCCACGCTGCTCTCCTGCAGGTACGCCTGGTAAGCGTCCGGTGGTGGACCCGAGTGTTCGATGACGGCGATGGCCGTCTCTCTCTCGTCCAAGGGCAGTTTAGAATTTAGCTTTCTTACCTGTCAAAAATTTTAACATTAACAAATGAATACAAAGAAAAATGCATTATATCCAGCTCGAAGTTTCGTTTAAGCACTCAAAAATGTTTATTTTGAAGAAATCCTGCATCCAGATCGTGATCGAACAAAATAATTTACATTGCTCATACGAAAAACTGATATCTTGAAATCAAAGGAAGCTCAAATACAGAATAATTGAAACTTGACTAGCAACATTATTTATCAAGTTACTCCAAAACCTAATAATAGTAAACCATGAGTGACGTCAACACTCACCTCATCGTCCACCATGAGTGACGTCAACACTCACCTCATCGTGCACCATGAGTGACGTCAACACTCACCTCATCGTGCACCATGAGTAACGTCAACACTCACCTCATCGTCCACCATGAGTGACGTCAACACTCACCTCATCGTCCACCATGAGTGACGTCAACACTCACCTCGTCGTCCACCATGAGTGACACAAGAGCAGGTAAGAATTTCGTGACGATCTGAGGGTCGAGCTTAGGTTCTCTGAAGACCTGACTTTCGATCATATCCCAGGAGTGCAGCCCCAGGGCCAGCATTCGAAGCACCAATACCAACACGCTGTTCTCCTGCACACGTTTCATCAATGAGAACAAGTTGCTTTGCAGGAAATATCCAACGGTTGAGGTGCTACGTACCTTCGCCTGATTTGACAGATTCTTCACTCGAGATATGATCAAAGAGTCCAGTAAACTTCCAGGGTCCTATTTTTTAATAGAATTTCCTATTTTATTGTTAGCCTGTCAATACAACAGAGACAAGCCTACTGACTAACAATAAAAGTTAATCCTATTAAAGCTCCTACTATACAAATCCTATATCTACTCCTACTATATTAAAGCTCCTACTATACAAATCCTATATCTATTACATCTACTATAATCCTATATCTTCTAGCTCCTACTTAACAAAAGTGCAACGAATATTATACCAATTTTATACAAGATTGTCATGGGGAGCATTCAAAGCAATATCGCTTCTGGTTGACCCCATTTTTCCCCATTTCATGTGCAAATAACAATGCTAAAAAGTTCCTTCAGGTGTACTCATTCAAATATTCCACCAATCCATATTAATTATCAAGCAATAATTGTTTTCATTTTCATGAATGTGTCATGCAACGGCAGATATTCCTACTCAAAGATCATCGGAGATCAAAATTCAAAATAATCTTTTGCAAAGGACTGTATACATAACACCTAACAATTCGACTCGTATTGCTGTGACGCCATGTAGAAGATTTTACAAGCCTGGTATCTGGATCTTCTTAGCAGATGAAATGAGTTAAAAAAAATATTTTAGGAGTGTTTCATTGCTCAGAAAATACTGCATTTATTCGCTTCAACCTTTTCACTACGAAATCTGCCATTACATTCGTTACACACTAATAACCTCATCCTAAGTAGGAAATTTATTTTGCTTTCAACATGAATATCGTCATAATTACTCTTAAAGCTGAAGCTGAGCTTGAGGTTATGACACTTGAGTACTAGCTAACCAAAAAAAAAAAGAATAAATCAAATTAAACCTCTGGGTTCTACTATATATGAATTGCGTCATCTCGAAGACCGCGTGGAACGCACCCTAGGCATCTGGTCGTTGTTCATGAGATGGTGCAAGAGCCTGATGACGGAATTAGCAAGGAAGTTGATGGCGTAAGGATCACACAATATCATGGAGAGATCGCCCAGCACTTGTTCCTGACCACGTCTGATGCTGTCCAAGAAGACTTGCAGCTCACGCGATCTGCAACGACATTAAAACTTCAATGAAAAGTGAAGATAAAGACAATCGGGAATGAAAAACCTGCAGGTAATTGATAAACTTTATACCTGAAAGTTTGTAATAGTTAAAAAAATGCAAATGTTGCAAATGCAAAATGTGCAAAATCACCAGTGAATATTAATTCAAGATATTTCAAGTTCAAATTTTGAGCTACATTCTCGAGCTTTGGATTTTACTATATTTCGAAATTCCAAGTAAAAATCACCATTATAAGAACAAACACAAAAACCGCCACCAAAGGAGAAAAAATTGCTACGTACGTGACTAATTCTTATTTAGTTATTAACTAACCACTGTTATTCAGTAATATATTAATAACAGTATAATATAACAGTGTAAAATATTAATATTATATTAATATGTTACACTCGTATTAATGAGTGTAACATTATAATATTACAAGTTTACTAATATTAATTAATATCATTTAGAATAAATAATTGTGTAGAAATATTTGTCTCGGGAAATACAATATTAAATCAATGGGACCATTTGAAAAGTCTGGCTATCTAGAAAATTATTACACCAGGTTCACAATACATTTATAGGCCGTCAGTTACGTCTATTGTCAATAAATAGATTACCCCAAGATTAAAATGTAATATTCAGACGACGTAAATTTCCTTCAGACTAAAACTCAATTCTTAGCCATTGTAAAGGTTAAATTTGCACCAAACGCAAGTGACAACATCTGACCTTTTGGCATCAACTCTGCCTTCTCTGATACAAGCATCGAGACACCAGGTAAACTTGTGGCAGGGATCCACGGCCGTGATGTCGTGCACCTCCTTGTCATGTAGCGCCATCAGCAGCTCGGCTCTCAATGAACAATAATGGACAAATCGTGTGCGCAAGAACAGCGTTCGCAAGAACTGCAGTACAAGATCGTAAAGTTTGACGTTGCGCCCGATCATGTGGACGAGTTTTTGTACCATCTCGCCTTGACGTCGAGCCTGGAGAATGTGGGAACATTGAATCAATAATGACTAATTTGCTGTTGAAGAACTTTATATGTAACTAAATGATCTACTGCACAAACAAATCGTACTGACCTGCACAAGCAAATCAATAAGTAAAACTTTGTAATTTTACAAAAACTTTGAGAAGAAAAAATCAATTATCATAAGTTAAAAAAAAATAATAACTCTAGTTCAAAGGGGAAATCTTTAAACTTCAATTTATAAATTTTATGAACAGGATATAGAAATATAGGTATACTAACTTTAGGAGAGGGACTGAAGAAAAGATTATGGAGATTGTCAACACTGAAAAGAGTGTCCTCCTTGCTGGTGATGTAGCCAGTGAGAAGCGGTGACACTTCGTCACCAAAAAGTGCCTGAGAATCTTTCCAAATTTGTCTCTTGACCTCAGTGTCACATGCATCGTACAGCTCGCGATCTCGAACCTGCAGGAAATTCATACAAGTGATTGAACTATTTTTGCAATTAATTATGCTTAAATAATTGGTTTTTGAAGCCAGTTGTGAATGTTCATCAACATTTATTCATTGTAATGAGGTTTATTAACACTGACCAATGTGCATTTTACTCTAGGTTACTTCCTTAGTATCCTATTAGAGATATTTTTAAAATTTTCATAAGTAAATATGTACTACTAAGACAACTTGATAACTCTCAACATGGACATCAAAGTAAGTACAAGACAAATCACTCACCAATATTTTTAGATACTTTTCCTCAACATGAGCCATGTGCTTCAGGATGCACATGACCACAGGTCTTAATGCTTTTATTTTGATGACAGGAAAGCTTTTGGTGAGCAGCTCCTTGAGTTTACGGTCCCTCTCCCTGCCTTCTTTGGCTCCCAGCTCCGTGATCTGAGCTATGAGCTTATCACGTAATTCCTGCAGGCAAGAAGTGCAGGTTTGGGAAACATTATCTCAAATTAAATAACATACTAGTAGTATTTAAAATTTTATATACACCAGCAATGTTGATCCAATGAAATGATAATACTTAACAATTCAAAATTATTTAGAAGTTATGAACCAATTTATCCACAATAAAGCAACATTCTAAAGGCATCATGAAAGCACGACCATGTTTGCTTCATCAAGAAACTTGTTCTTCTATCTATCTTATAGTACAAACAGAACAAAAATCTCAAGACGACAAAGCAATAGATCATTTTTACAGCAAGTTGTATGCACTGCAGTACCATAGAGCATGAAAGAGGTAATTATTCAAAAATGAAATGGCTAGCAAATCTGTAGAATGATGAAATTAATGACTTCAAAATAATAAGATAACTCCAATCATTCATATAACTATTGGCACTTCTATTAAGCACTACTAATAGCAAGTTTAATTAATAATTATACATATAGTCAATAATTTATTAAGGGGAGCGTCTACCCTAAATTACCGGTATATCTCGGTAATTTACAGAGGGATCAATTTGAAATTTGGTACACATGTGTAAACCCTAAAAAACTCAGGTTTTATTCATGTCAATTTTTGAAAAAAAAAATTGAAAGAAAACATTCTTAGAAAATGGCCAAAAAGGGGTACTTTAGAAAACCAATAGACTCCTCCTAGGATTTTCAAGCTACAACATCGAGACACATATCATTTGATGCGTAAAGACCATATCTACAAACTGGTTGTAGGGTTTTTTAAAATTTCGCATTTTTGTGGGTGTGGGAGCATTTTGTCCAAAATTTTTCGAAATTTTAGATTTACCTCCACTTCCCCCCCCCCCCTTTTGCAAAATAAAATCCGAACTATAATGAACTTGGAAAAAAAGCCTATGACCAGTTTGTATATCTTTTCTTTGCAAATCGAACGGTATATGTCTCATTGTTGTAGCTTAAAATCTCTAGGAGGAGATAGGTTTGCCATGAGAGAGGTTTTCATGTTTTTAAACTATTCAGTAGAGGCGAAAAGCCGCGGCGCGCTATGCAAAGGCATGTAATGTAGCTTAAATACCGGAAGTAAGCGTTATCTCCCTTCAAAGTTAGTCAGCGGTGCTTAGGACGACTACATCAACACCTTTCCGTGTGATGGCTGAGTGATAACTGAGCTGCAGGTCCAGTGATAGCATTTTATATGGCTTGGCCGTAATTATCCCCATAGACATTTGTGAAGGGACCCTACCACCCTCCCCCCTTTTGGGATCTGTCCTGAATGCATAAATCAACGTACAGAGATGTTTCTAGACTTCTAGTACCGTTCAATGCGGCAGAAAAAAAGCTTTAAGATGAGTTTAAAAACCGGAAATCCGAAAACTTTGATTTTTAGGGTAGACACTCCCCTTAAGGTGAAAACAACAAACCAACACGATTAGTTGCAAGCTTTAATAAACAGCTTTATCTGTCACTTGCAACAATTTTCATTCAAGTTGATATACCTATGTATATATTATCCAACATCTGGTATGCTGTGATTTTCCTACTTGAAAAATAAAAAAAATGTTGAAAAAGTTCATTGAGTAAAAATTTTCACAGAAAACTTGTGGTACCCAGTAGTGAATAATGTTAACAGAATTTGAGTTTAATTTCATTAGGTACTTAAAATACATTTATTCCAGAGATTTATCTGAGGAATAACTTCAAACTTGATGCATTTGAAAGAGATAAAGAGGAAGAAGGCTGTAGAATTTATCAATCAGAACTCACTTCCATGATGCTATTATGGAAATCAAGGCGTTTGACATTGTGAAGATCCAGTAGGTGCAACATTGGACGGAGAGATGGCAATAAAATACCATTTTCAACCTGAAAAATATGATAGATATAAATACAGTGCTGAGGTGCAGAGCTGGTTGCATCAAAGATGAACACTAAATAAATACCTAGATTTGTTTGCAAAGATGCTCATAGCCTGCAGGGTGTTCCTGACAACAAATAAATTGTCAGGTGTTTACACTCAGTATTGTTGCTGGGTCAGTTTAATTTGAATCATGGCCTCAAGGCTGAGAATCTCAAGAAAAGGGGTTGACTATGCTTTTAGTTTTCAAACTAAGGATCCATGTTCACACCTTCACACAGCTCATGCTTGAACTCTTGATAAAATTGAAGAGAAAAACTAATGACTAATTGGGAAAAATTCTGCTTGAAGAACTCAATGTAATAAGTGATTTGCAAAAATTAAGTATTGATTTTATAGCCTAAAATAACAGATGTTTTGAATGGTTTTTTACCTTGAGGATCAATAGCACCATTGAAAATTTGAATTTATGTGCATAATTAAATCTGTTCAAGTACATTTTAGAAAGAAAAAATTAACTTGGATTAATGGTATAACTAATCAGTACAATTAAGTATTAAAATCAATATTATTTACGCATTGCCATTGCTTAAGGTATGTTGCCTGGGAAAACTCAAGGTTGTTCTAGATTGCCACATTACCTCATCTTATGAAAAAAAAAACAATTAGTTTGTCATTTAGCAGTAAGCTCATTTATTTGGCAATAGTTAGTAGCATAACTCACCTGAAACTCTTCAATGGCCTTCAGAGGATCAGTGCAGTGGCTGAGTGAATCTTTAAGATAAGCACCCCCTGGGATGCCTATCTCTTCTAGGCCAAATCCTGACATTTGTCAGTCACAATACAGTTGGATGTTTAAGTTAGCTATTGCTAGTGAGAATCAGAAGAATACCATCAAACGGGGTGAAAAGGGACAGGTGGGGTAAATCGGGATGCGTGTCCCACATTTTGTAGAAATGCTGTAGCAGCTAAACTAATCAAAATATTGCAAAACTAAAAATAGTGGAGTAAACTTCAACATTTTTACTATCTATTATGTATGAAGCTAGTAAAGAAATCAAGCATTTACTATCTCTAAAAAATCGCTGAAAAAAGGATGAAAAGTGCGATTTTGGAAAAGTAGTTACCTCTGCTAAGGTCTGCAGCAAAAAAAATATTTGCTGTATTAAAAAATTTTACTTACATAAAAGATGCACCAGGTGTCGGCTTGAAAACTTAATTGATGGAATTTGCCTATCTCATTCCCCAAAAAAAAAAAATGGCAGCCATTTCTGCGCAACGGGGTAAAAAGGGACACCCCCCGGGGTAATTAGGGACACCCTTAAAAATGCATTTACAGTAGAACCTCAGTTAGCAAAGGCTCTAGTTAAAAAAAAATTTATTAACAACAAAGAATTTTGATTACATTTACCTCGCTTAGCAAAAAAAAATCACTCATCAAAAATTAGTGCATCATTGGTCGTCACAAAATTTTACATACAATGGTATATATAGAATTGTGCACTGGGCATCATAGAATAAAAATTAATTGACCTAAACTATGATTTATTTCTCCAAAACTTATGATGGTTGTCACTAAAACATTATTTTCTGTTTCAGGTATGTTTTTCAGGATCTTTTTTGTTATAGTGAAATCACTTGACTTGATTAAAATTGTGCGAACTTAAAAACCATCCTGTAAGCTTACAGATACAGAAGAAATGTTACATGGCTGCTGATATGAAGCTTGCAGCAGACAAGGTTGTTGACTCGTTATCAATGCTCAATGGCATGTCCATCAGTCCATGGATACAGTAATATCACATTAATAATATGGAAATTAATGAATATGGTAATATCATGTCAATAAAGGAAAAACAAGTAAAAATCACAGAAAATGTCATTTATTTTACATCTACATCATCTACAATGAAAGAGGAGGACTTCAGAGTACTGTTAGTAATGAATGAGTACACTCTGCAATCTGCATGCTTCAAACGTTTTAAAATTTAAAACTTTTATTGCAAGTGTCCTGGATTACCCCGTTCCCAGGGGTAAATCGGAACGGTTTTATTTTGCGTCTGGCACCTTTAGAATAGCATATGGAATTTTTTTGAAGATGCCATTCGATAGCCCTTGCAAAGATCTATAAAATGAGCCTAAATTTGTTTCTGAAATGTTTCATGGTAAGAAGTTATTAACAAAAAATGCTCAAAACCATCCCTTTTTAACCTGTTTGATGGTAATATCCTTGAACTAAAAATCTCAAACTAAATATGTGAATATTAAAAAAAAATCAAGATTCTTTCATTCAATCAAGATTTTTAATACTTTGCAAAAGGCCAAAATAATGGACTGTAATAAATGAGCCTGATAGCTTGTGAACAACTAACACAATAACAGAATATTTAGATCATAGATTAACATGATACACAGAGGTGGGCAGTAGCATGCTACATGTAAGCGGCCACTACATTTTCAGTAGTGGTAGCAGCGCTACATTTAAGGCAATGTAACGGTAGCGCCCGCTACATATTCAAGTAGCGATACAAGGTTTTGCCGCTACAGCGCTACCGCTACATTTATAGATAAAGCCTTTAGATTTTACTTAATAGTATTAAGTATTATTTAAAAATCAGCATAATACATACCTACATAATGTAAATACAGAATAAAACCATAGTGACAAACCAGAGATTTTTTAGAATCAGTTCATTTTTAATATCCTCATTTATTCAAGTTTTAAACCAATTTCTTAAGTATGATAATGCTGGTATGATCCATGATACTTTTAACTTTACTGGTCTACTTACAGGGCTGGAAAAGTCCTATTTTTGTCTGAAATATCGCAGCTCTAATGTCATATAATTTCAGTAGGTATGAAATCTTGTGGCTGGAATATCATAACTTTTTGTTTGATTGAAAAATTGCGGTTTGCACTTCGCAAACATGACACTTCATAAAATTTTCAACTTTCGCAATCTGCATTGCTTTACCGTTCCTGCCAAAATATCCTGCAGAAAAAACAAAAACATCCTAATGTAAACAAATCAACTAAACGATTTGTTGAAGATCGCGCATAGTTGCAGTCATGTCAAAGCAGTCAGAATGCATCAACATGTGCTCAATTTACAGTAAAGACAAATTTTATCATTGCCATTTGACTGCTTTAGGGTAAAATTAGAGATTTGGGGTAACATGTGCATGGACTTTGTAAATAAATTTGTGCCTCGTAAATGGCTTTTTATGGCCGAGATGCCGCCACTCTAAAAAACACTCTGCTTTGCCACTATGATTATTATAAAACTGTTCAAAAGATTTTGGTGTAATGTTGTCAACCTCAGCCTGTTACTAGCTGTCGACTATCATCAACATGTTAGTTGTTACTTGTTAAGTTGTTACCAGTTACCACTTACAGGTATTTTTTCAGGTTTCATTTTGCATACAGCTATTTCACACACACACACAGTTATTTTTATGTTTCATCTTCCCTACATGGATGTCTACTTTAATCTACCAATCTCAAAAATAATCCACATATATATACATATAAAAGACTGATTTTTATACATATATACGTATATTTGGATAATTTTTTAGATTGGTAGATTAAACTCATTAAAGTACACATCAATGACACTGGGAACCGGGAAGTGGGAAGGCCTAATCTTGTGACACTTTCTGGAACAATTTTGATGGGATAAAAAATTCTGGTACCATCAACTGGGGTGACTTTGGCCACTGGGGTCTGGGGGTGACTTCGGCCACCACTACAATAGCAACAAATGCCGGCAAAACAAAATAACAAACGTTGGCCAAGCCAAAGTGTGAAAGTGACGGGTGACTTTGGCAACCGGGGTGACACGGGACGACTGAAATAGCCCAGCATTGCCTAAAACCAGCATAATTTTCATACTTCTCCCCATGCGCAAGCATGCTCATGCTGCAGAGCAAATTAGCCAACATGATTACTTGCTGAAAGCCACAGGGACCAAACCCCTTCATGGATGTAAACCAGCGAGCCAATGAGCTGCAGGCAGCCAAAACAATGGTCGTAACCCACACGCTAAACCCCAAAATATTTCTATTCCATGCAGCCTAGCCCCTTCCCAACTTTCGATAAAGAACGCCCTGTGCCACAGTGCTATCAGTACACTGCTACCTCTCCAGCCTGTCCGTTCTTCTGGAGGCTAAACCGCCACGCTTACCCCCTGCTCCCCCTCCTTTCGGTACCAGCTTGCGGAAGTATTCTAACCAAACCTAACCTAACCTAACCCTTTTGTGGAAAGGTGGAGAGAAGGGGGTAAGTGTGGAGGAAGAAGTTCACAATATCTCGAGGAGCTCTTCTCAGTTTAAGAAATAAAGGCAAAAACCAAAAAAGTTGCATAAAACATTTTACTGAATAGAAGTCCTAGATAAATAAAACAGAACGTTTCGGGCTATGCCCATCATCAGCTAGTAAAATACATCTGAAAATACATGGAAATCAATTTTAGTAAATAAATTTAGAAAATGATAAGGAAAGAAAGGAAAAAACAACTAATGACCTAGAATCGAAAGAGGAAAAGAGCTGGATTGGTTATTCAATTTAGGTTTAAGTTTATGGATGTAAAGAGACTCTAAAATTCGTAAATNATTTCGATAAACTTAGTGCGGTCCGAAATGAGAGAAGTCATACTAGTTAGATACCTATCCTTATCAATAATGACCACACCTCGCCCTTTATCCGGCCTACTTACAATTATGTTACGATTGGAAGCAAATTTTCGAAGCTCAACTAAATCCTGCTTGGTAGCAATAGCTGAAAATATTTTAAATGGCTTGAAATTATAATAATATCTATTTGCAACAATTTTGAGCTTCTCAGTGAACACAGGGAGATCTTGACAATTTAAGGATTTCACACTATATACGAGCTTTTCAAATGCTAAAAAATATCTATGGAAATCCAATTTGAAAACTGGCAGACAAAAATCTAAACCAAAAGCTAACAGTGTTCTAATTCTAGGTGACAGTTGAACGGAACTAAAATTGAAAATAACTTTATCCGGGTCACATGACTTAACTCCTCCGTCGATGCCGAGGTTCACGAGCTTCCTCTTGTGGGCATAGTGGCAAACCAGGGCTTCTTTAGAATCAGTTCATTTTTAATTTCCTCATTTACCCAAGATTTAAACCAATTTCTTAAGTATGATAATGCTGGTATCCAGGATACTTTACTGGTCTACCAATAGGACTCAAAAATGAACTTGAGGCAGAGTCTAAAAAACTCTCTGCTTTGCCACTGTGCTTGTGGGTACGCGACGTCACGTGGGCGAACTCTTCATTCCTCGTCGACACATACCTCCCGAAACGTTCTGTTTTATTTATCTAGGACTTCTATTCAGTAAAATGTTTTATGCAACTTTTTTGGTTTTAGCCTTTATTCTTAAACTGGAGGAAGAAGATGCTGGTGAGCGTCAGGGGCCTCAGGGCTGGGCTTACGCTTGCGAAGTGGGTAAGGTGATGTGACAGTCCGGTGCGGGGCCGTTCCCATTTACGGCAGTGAGCAGTCTGGTGCGGTCTGCGGACCCTGTGGCGTACGGCATCTGTAAGAAGTGATGGTATGGGCTTAAATCAGTGGTGTAGGAACTATTGGGCATAGCCGCATAATCCGTTTGAGTATCAGCTTGTGGGCTGAGGCATTGCTTGTTTCAAGCTGGTGTGGCGAGATGAGGCAAGTAAGAACAGCTGCATAGGTGTTATGCTGACTATTTCTATTGCATGTATAGGGTTGGCATTGGCTCTTGGGCTGATTTAAGAGTCAAATTTTTGGGCTACGCCCCGCTACGGCAGCCGGCAGCGCTCCCGGTGACACGACAAGCTGACAACAAAACAGTATAAATAAATA